GGGAATAGTGTACTTCATATCATTGTGTTGATCAAGGTTCAGCTAATAAACAGCTCCACAGTTGGTACGACATTCGATGATATCAGGGACTTACATTTCAAAGTATTTTCATGACTGTGTTTGTGAAAAGTAAAATTCGTCAAAATAAACAAGTACAAGTAATTCAAAGCGTCCCTCAATCAATGAAGATGTTATTTTACTTAATGTGTGGTCAGTCTATATAGAGCTCTCGGTATTTCTTACCACGCAGGTACCAAGCAACATCATTTTAGGGGGATGATGCAGTTTGCTTTGCACCAATAGTGATACTACTATCACCTGAGAAATAGGATTTCTCACAACAGCTGCATGTAACCACTGTAGCTGACATTTAATCTATTTCAATTTTCATATACTTATGTTGTCTGTAGAATCTTTTTGGTTACGCAAATTAAAACATTTGATAGAAAATAAAATCTGTAACTTATAAGCGTCAGTGCAGAAATATTAAACTGAAAACACATTTAAATGTTTAGATGTATGAAGCTATATAGCATACGTGACCTTACCTTATCGTATGATATTCATCATACTTATGAAAACACTGATCTGATTGGAATACAATCTTGTGTGCGGATGGCTGCCATTATGAGTGAATTATTGTTCTTGTTTTAAGTGAAACAGATATCTCCAATCAGCGTTTTAAAATGATTAATGTTTACTTGTTGTAAAAGGAGTCCTTGAAAACAAGAGAGTACTGTTTTTCATAAATATATTTGATCAAGATTTTTTCAAAATACGGGGTACATACAAAGAGTATTTTAACTACTTTATATTAATGTTCACCCTGCATTAAGAGATCGTAATTATAGTATACAAGGCGACGGCGCCACATTCGCAATTAGTAGAAGGACAAAGGACATTAATCATTTATAATGACGTTTCATCAATACTTTCACACCCGTCATACTATTGGTATTCTAACTATATGCGAATACAGTGTAAACACGTACATATATACTTCCATATTCCTCACTCAATTTCCCCATTAGTTTAAACTCTATTTTTCACTGGATGTATTTTGATGATAGTAGTTGAATAGGGTAGGAGGCGGTCCCTCGGACTGAGTAACTAATGTGGCGTGTAACAAGCTATCAACGATAAGGTGTTTCATTCTACACACTACAAAGGTAATGGTGTGGTGAAACGAGTCATTTAACACATACAATCAAACCAAAATACTCTATGAAATTAATTTGACTGGTTAAGATATTTACGAAGGGATAGCAATTTACAGCAAAAGACGTTTTCCTCTTCCAAAATGAAAATGAAAGGCTTCACTTATAAAGCGTGGAACTGGATCATGAATCATTGTTGAGATGATATCAAAGGGTTTCCATCTCTTTTGTATAAATTCAATTCTATAATCATTGTCTCCTGTGAAATCGCATCAGAAAAGGAGCGGAGAGAAAAGAATGGTTTATTTGTGTGTGTGCTCGGAGTGGTATACCTGCATTAATAACAAAACTCATATCTCTATTCGAGATCTCGATGGCATTCATAAAGTGATAAAGCTCGTCCCTTTTCATGTCGTATTTTGCCTCCTATGCATCTTCGCTTCACTCAACACGCAAAGTGAGAGAAACCCATATAGCCAGAGGAAAATATATAATTTACTCAAGTATTTGAGGAAACATTTTTGAGTTCCTTTGAAAAACAAAATTAGTTTTTGCAGTTATATAAACAATAAAAACCCTAGAAATTTGCTCCCAACCTGTAAAAAAAAACCAAACACAATGCTCCATATTATTAAAAAAAATTAATAACGTCATTCGTACAGTTTCAACATTGATTAAAACGTAAAAAATGTGTTTCCTACAAATATGTCAATGGTCTTCTCATTCAGCTTTGTAATCAATATACGACATTTTACCAATATTACCTTATTGTCTTAATTTGATTTTTTTCATAAGACCTATGGATGCCCTCAGTTCCTAACACAAAATGACCGATAAAATAATTATAAGTCCTTCTGCTGAATTAATAGTATACTATTCATTACCCAAGTTGTATTGACAAGCCTCGACTGACACGGTTATATACTCGTAGTAATACAAGTCAAGTTTTAATACATGATTAATAATTGTTTATAAACTCTTCCCTCGTTATGTTTGCATGGACATATTTTTGTAAGATCGTATAATTTCGTTGCAAGTTTGCAACATTCCAATCCTAGTCTTTCTTCTATCTTATCATCCTCCTCTTGTCCTCTTTGTTATTCTTCTAACTCTCCTTCTTCTCTTTCTCTACCTCCTCTTCGTACCGTTCTTCTTCTTCCTTCCTAATTCCATCTTTTGCTTGGTTCATAAGACTGTAATAATGTGAAAAACAGTTCATATTGATTGAACTATATGAATAATTAATAACCCCTATTTCTGATCATCTTGTATAGACCACTCGTAGTAACTTGTAAATGGTTGGGTCATAACACACCATACTCTGTATTATTCACAACCCACATCCTTCCATCTAATACTTTGTGTACGTCAGTGTATACTACGAGGTAATCACTAACTTCTTAACACTCGTTTACGAAGGCTATTGGTTAAGCTGTGTCGAGTGACACCTGAAATTATTACTTCCACCTTACAGTTTTCGTCTTCCTTCTAAACCCAATATTGAGTTTGTCATTTTCGGCCAGAGCTATTGTAAAGGAAGCATGAAAAGAGGTATAACGAATAAGCCGTGGACAAGAAGCTTGCTTTGTATTGATCTTTAGAACACCAGTCTCGAAGTAAAAGACGGCTGAATGGAGTACTGGTAAAGCTCGTATTTGTAAGATAAGATTTATTTTGTTGAACAACACAGTTCAAAGTCTCAATCTGTTTTTATGAGTATGATCCAAATAAAGTTTTGATCCCTCGGAGACCGAACTCCAATTCTGAAGCGTCAAGTTCGGGTATAAAGACAGCGGTTAAATAGGATCCCATATGACGTAATCTCTCTTTCAGCTTACAATCTAATTATCTCCACACAAAGGCTATTATCTAGTTAGGACCTGAGCAGCAAATAACGTTAAATAGAATACACTTGTCCAGCGTACAAATAACAAACAAGCAATCACCGCTTGAGCATGTTTATCGGTAAACCGATATATTTACAGACGCGTAAATAATGTTGACTTAATACCTTGTCGAAAAACATTAACATTTTATCCGAAATGTTTATATCGTTTTATATCAGTACCTATCTTTATCTTACTAATCGTAATGTTTCAACATGGGAACTATTTTTCATAAAATGCATACGATACCTGGCTCTATATTTCTTCCGTGCTATCCACCGAAAACAATTATTTTCGGCATATAAAAATACAACGGCGACAATGGAAATTGTGGAGGTGATCAATTTACATCGTTCTTTCATACTACTATGTTGATAGATTTTGATTGTATCCCGCCAAGAGAATATTAGCATGACGGCTACAGACGACAATACAAAATTATCACAAAGTGTACAGGGGTATACAGAGAAGTAATTAATGGACAAAACTGAAACTGAAGTGGAATACTATTATAGTGCTAGGGCTTGGTGACATTATGTCGCGTTTATCATGTTTGAGATATTGTCATTAATCATTTGTCATAGCGGATTATCGATGTTTGGTCGTTACAACGTTGTTACCAGTGATCGTGCTGATGTAATTGTTTTAGCTCGAGGTGACCCACACGCAAATACTTATCGATTGACAAGCCACTTTTAAATACTAACGAAACTAGAACCAGTAGGTACATGCAGTTCGTGGTTCATTGTACACAATTCTGTGGGATGGAACAATGTTTGCTAACAGGCCATCTTATCGATTGATAAAGAGCGATTGCAAAAATCGAAATAGAGAGGTGAATAACCGGTTTAAACGAAACGAGACCAATTAGTCCACATTGACTGTCAAAACTTTCTCCATTTTCTCTACTTTGTTATAGATTTCCTATGCTATTATTATATTTAACGCAAGTAAGTATATCAAGGAGCTGTGAGTTAGGGTAAGAAATAGAGTTATATAATTCACTGAAATTACACAAAGTTTAACTAATTATTTACTTCCTCATATATACCCTACTCTAGTTTTATGTACACAAGCACTTCAAATCAAATGACAAATATTATGTTGAACACGATTTATTTTTTAGGGTTGATATTGCTGAATACATGTCAAAGTCCATCTCTATGTGTGATCAGATTGAAAGGTTGAAACGTGCCGAAAGTCGAAGCTATTATCACCATCTTACCCACAATCGAAATGTTAGTTCTTCGAAAATATTGACTTGATGATCTAGACATAATTACATGTATGCAAAGCTGTAGTCATGTCTGTTATTTTCTGATTTAGTGAACTTGACTAGACAGAGAAGTAGATCATCAACACAGTCTAACTATATTACTTCCTCAAATAAACAATATAATAATAACAACATGGTAACAACATAATCGCATAAAAGAGAATTTTGAGAAAAATAGGAAAATATGATTCCATCCTTCCATCCATTACTAAATTTATCATTTTCCACAGTGTCTATTCTTGAGTTATTAAGTTTTTTCTGGCGAATTACAAATGTAAATAATCATTACATAGTATGGCCTTAATTCTGGTACCACCAATATGTCAACTTATTGTCATTTGTTGTGTTCTTTCTGTCTAATTTGAACTGGCTAAATTGATTATCATGTAATTCTTTCAGGGTTTTGTTTGGTTGAAGACTGAGTGAATGTAAATCTCTGTCAGACAATCCTAATAAATTACATTGTATACATTGAACATTAACCATACTCATTACAAAGAAACAAAATGTGAAAGGTAGAGATGGGTTAAAGAAAATCGATGGTTTAGAGAGAGGACATAACGATAAGTTTAGACCATATTGCTGTTGATTAAATGTCAATTTTGAAAGGTAAAAAAGGAGATGATCATGAAGAGAATATGAGAGGACAATCATGAAGAGAATATGATCTGATGATCTTACCCTGGCCTTCAGTAAGTTCTTGAGTTAGAGCTAGATGTGGACGTCCAGCAAACACTCCAGCTTTCTTGACCAAAGCTTCTCGGACAGATTCATATCCATTGAGGACAACGACCAACTGACCAGCTAGGTTGAGAGTAAACACATTGCCATACTTTTTAGCCATGTCCATCAGAGTTAGATGTGGCTGTTTACCCAAGCTGAATATGCTGCCGATCAGCGGGAGACCCCATGGACCAGGCGGCAGCTTACCCGGTAAACGAGACCTCTGACGATACCAGCGTACTGCTAGCATCGTCACCAATGTTGTTAACACAAAAAGAAGAGCAGTTTGTAATCCGAGAACCGACATGATGAATAGTTTAAATGTTCAGCACGAATATAAGAACAACTTATGAATTAAAATCTGTCCCAAATTACTAATGTTTCTTCATAGATATTTACGACATGTTATACCAACTCCAGCGCTCAATAAATTCACATGTAGACTCGACGAAAGAGTAGCACAGTCTGCAGATAGTCCACTTGGCCTGGCCTGGTCAGTATCTGGTTGTGCTAATCCCATAGATGAATACGTTCAGTGGCATAGCTCCAAGCTAAATCAACTGCTTAACACAGTCATACATTTGTTCGTGTTTGATATTTATATACTTCTATCAACGAAAGTCAACACAAACAACTTGGTTGGTTGGTGTCATACGTCTTTCTGAGCTACCGTTGGCTGGTTTGCACCCACAGCGCGTGTCACCAATTAAATGATTGAACCTTGTAAAGTTTGCTCTCCATCTAATGCCCGCCCTCTTCTTCCTTATTTGGAGAAAAATATATGGGTGCGAGTTCGAGTGTAAGTTGATAAGTGGATTGTGATTGGTTGTTAATACATGGAATTTCTCTTTCACACGCAGTGAATATTTCCTTTGCCCAGCACACCGTTGTCAAGGTTTCCATCACCGTATAAACGTATAGCATAATATCAGGCACAAAGCATATCATTATTACAAATCTAGTTTTAGCACCGACCAGTAATAAGAAGACGATCAGACACCAAACGAATTTTGATTTTCTTGGGTTAATTTTACATATATTTTACAATATTATGGATTTACAAAGCAATGGAGGCTATGCTTGTGATCTCACTCAAGCTCGACCCACTCTCTCTCTCTCTCTCTCTCTCTCTCTCTCTCTCACCCTTCCCTCATCCCTCCCCTCTTTTTCTGTTTCTCTTTCCGTCCCCCTCCCGCACCCACCCTCCCTCTCTCTCGTTCTATAAAACACGGAGCGATAGAAAGTCAAACTCTTCCTAGCAAAACTTTGTGAGTGAAAAGTAAGTTCAATTTATTTATTTTTTTTTTTTTATTTTTTAATACTTATCATTGGTATCTGATTGTTTGTATACTCGGTATATACAATGGATTTATGGTCACATTGGGGAATAGCATGCTGATATATCGTGTACTGTTTCGTTCATCGCAGTCGAAGTAATACATTGAAATAACGTAGAGATGTAACAATATCTTGATTTTCATATCAACAGTTTAAATAGAAAATAAACACTTGAAATGACTTATGTTGTCTAAATGACACTTGATCTCTTAAAAACAAAGTATTTGAAGTCTATCAGCATGACTTTTAGTTGTTTGTAAGTTGCAGAAGAGAAGATATAGGAATATGATATGACTTTATTTTATTACGCATCTTCATCATAAATGTTTAACAGTAGTTCATTTCATTTTAAAGTGCAGGCCCTTTCATATTTTCAAATGGAGCAACGTTGAGGTTCATGTTGTATACTTTACATCATAGCAGGCTTCATTATAACTCATAACAAACCCTATTCCGGATTATGCTAGACATTCCAAAACCCTCTTCGCTTTATTCTTCCACGGCATTTTATTTCAGTTTTTTGTTACGTATCGGCCAAACTCCCGGTAAAAACTTTTTGAGTAAACAAAGCTCCAATGATACGTATTTCATAATTTGTTTAATTTGTTAAGCACTTGAAACGAAATTTGAATATTTGTGCATATTCATTGCACATTTTTTTCCTTTCAATTCAAATCTTTATTCAACCTTTATAAAACAATTTACAGTGACAATACACCAGATACGGGTTTGGAACGATATGAAGCAAAATCCTGCTTGTATTCGGGGCCCTGTAACAAACAAGAACAAGATAATGAACATATAAAACAAATTGCATAATACATGCACAAAGCAAGCATATACACACTAACTCACACACACATTATTAAGAAAGTATCATGACAAAAAAATATGATAGGAAGAAATCAAAGTAGAAGAAAGAAAGAAAATAGTATCTACTCAGTCATGAATATCCTGGCACGGTACTAATATCCTTTGGCAAGATATTAACCTGCGCTTGCTACTCTCCACCCAGGGGGTGTTTCAAAAAGATCCTAAGTTGAAGTTATCTCTAAAAGTTGGACTTAACAATTATTATGGAAAGCCGTTAGCATCTTTGAAAATATTTTGTAAAAGTTATTTTGAAAGGCATAAAATGTTGATTCAAATCATCCATATTTTCTATTATCATGGGAGATGTCATGTTCTTGGTGTGGAATTTATGAAAAGTCTAAAATACTTGAATGTTTGGTTTTAAATATATTTCATTATAAGGCTACAAATGGCTCTCCATAATTTTTAAGTCCAACTTAGAGATAAGTTCAACTTAGGATCTTTGTGAAACACTCCCCAGGTGTTAAATTGGTACCCGGTAGGATGCGACCGTCATAGGTGGTCAAACAGTTTTTGAGCATTAAGTAACACCTGGCTGAAATGCTCCCCAGGGAGTGGAGTACTGTGGAGATTGTGCACACAGTGTGTGCGGGCAAGTATTGAATCCAATGAACGGGGTAACAGTATATATGTAAAGCGCTTAGAGACATCATAGATGTATCAAGCGCTATATCAAGGCGGAATATTATCATTATATTATTATCATTCTTTGAAAAACTACCTTTTTTTTACATTGTAGAACTTGAGATAAGGTCATCATTAAATGGAGTCCATTCGCATCCCCAACAAATGATAACGAATTATGACGAAATTGAAAGTGGGTGATGTAAGTTTTGTCTTTGACGAGTGGGTAATTATAAATAGAAGAATTTGTTAGGGAAGATATTAACTAATAACGGATGGTAAAAGCTTTTTGTAAAACTTAAACATATTTATGAATAGAAGAATTTGTTAGGGAACATATTAACTAATAACGGATGGTAAAAGCTTTTTGTGAAACTTATACATATTTATTTATGAATGTATTTAGTTTGATCAAATTAAACACAGGAATAATTTGTTTCTTCTTATAGATAGGTGAACTTGGAGACAAAATAATGGCTATTTGTAATTAAGCGAGCTGCACGTTCCTGTTACATATACATTTTAAATAGTTGTGTTTTGTATGTATTGCCCCTAATAATATTGCTATAATTTAAGTGTATGGGGGAGAATTGTTGCATTGTAAATATTGATTGATATATTCCTTGGGAGAAAATTCTTCAGTCTAGACAAAACACCAACACTTCTAGAAATTTCAGAACAAACGTAATTGACATTTCCAATCTAGAGTTTTGTCATAACTTTGTCATAATCTAACAATAATTTATTACATTTAAACCAACCATTACATTTTCTTAACTCTTCATTTTAAAATAAAAACTATGTGTGTTGCATTGGAATTACAATAATAAACAAAATATTCGCATAAACGTATTAGTGTTTCAGTAGGGTAGAAGGATCGCCTTTTTACAGAGACAGTTTTTTAAATCCATTTGTCACTCTGGAAGTTTTCTGTTTTTTTACTGTAATTACCGAACACTAATTGCAGTCTGTATTTATCATATCCGGATCATTGCATTCGGTTTAAATCATAAGCATCTATGGAAATATGATTTCATACTAGTTTGATGATCGTGATCAATATATTTTTATAAACCAGTCATAAAGTTTTATCTAATAATCATCATTTTCATAACAATCTGACAACATAATCTTCTGACAACTATGATTTAATGCATAATCACCCAATAATGATTATAACTTATGTTGACATGTATTTCACACATGTTTGACTAATTATATCAAACTGTTAGTCATCAGACCGACCTTGAGGATACAAGAAACCAGTTAACTGAATTTAGTTTTAATATTAGTTTTTAGCCCCTCGCCCATTTTCAGGTATGGCAGAGGTGTTAATAAAATGGTGGGAGTATTTGCACTTCAAAATGTCGACAGACGTCTCATTTTTGTTATACTCTATACCCCCTCCCTCATCCAAAATGGAGAAAATTCATTAAATAAGCACTTTGGTATTAAATGAGACCATTATCTACTATGGTTCAAGAAGTGGGTCACTAAGTCTGTAATCATTAGCAGGAAATCAATGTCAGTCAGATGAAGCGTGTATATAGGATACCAGACAGGAAGGTCTATCTGAACGATTACTTACTCGTTCTCAAACTAACACACGAGAACGCATTGGTTTCAAAGAAAATGAGTCATTTCAACAGTGCATGACACTTTGCGAAGCAGATTCAAGAGAATTGAAGTACAGGGCTCCGTGGTATGGTAATTAGTACAATGACATTTCGAAAGGACTGTACGTGTAGCGTTTGTTCAGCCGATTACCGAAGAAGAGATGGCGCTGTGCATGTGTCCTTGTAAAGACGTATGATTGTACAATGTAGTATTATTATGGCTCGTAAACCTGACGCTGGGTCTAAAATCACATTAAACAAAAGGAAAACTACCCTCTTATATCAAACCAAATTTGGAACAAAAGCCTAAACCAACCAAACGTCGGGTTTTATATTTTTGTAGAATATAGGCCAGTAGGGGGGGGGGGGGGGGGGGGGCTCAATTTGAGAGGAAATATTTACCAGCGAATCAGCCGAACAGCCGGTCGGCAAATGAGCGGAAGAGGTGGGGTGGGTAGGGGGGGGGGGGGGTAAAGAGCACTTGACTTTATATTTAAAAAAATGTCATGTAAAATTGTTGCTACCATCTTTTTTTCCCACTTTTTGTTTGGCCTGGCGTGGGGTCCCGTCTTTAAACAAACAAAAAACTGTTTTGACAGGGACCCCCCCCCCCCCCCCCCCCCGTGCGTGGATCCGCACCTTTTCATTAACATTTCAATATTTAAAGCGGGACTGCACTACTTGTAGCCACTTGCGTCTTCTATTTAGCACTGCCTAATTAGCGGTACCCGGTCTAATCCCTCCTAGCCAAACTAGTGCACACAGGCTTTAAGCATTTTAATTTTGCATGCAATTTTTTTTTCGCTTTCTTTTAAGTCCAACAGAAGGTTTTGCTGTGTGCACACTGGAAACTGAGTAAAAGTAATACTCTTGCCTTTTCCCTGGTAAGTTAAACAGTGAGAGAACTACTCGAGGATATCCGATAAATCTATGACCAGGAAGCAATGATATCATGTGTCTGCAAAAAGCCTAATGTGGATTCGGTTTGCAGTCAAAACAGGATAGGTTTAGCTTACCACACTATAAAACACACCTCACCGCAATGATCAACAATTCATAAATTGAGCAGATAAATGAAAGCAATATAATGTGAATTTTATTTACAGTCCTAAAACGATAACGTCAGATGTGCGTAGGGGGGGGGGGGTGCGTGTTTGCACCAGAGGAAAATGCCTATAACTCTATACAGCAGTGTGTCGGTTTTAATCAGTGAGATAGGCTATAACAATGTTTTATTATGCTGGAGCAATACAAACTAAAACAAAAAGTGTGCACTTCAAGTTGGAGTAATATCTCTCTTACCGCAATCAATATCACAGTTGAAGTTTATTACATGGAAAAGCCTTTAAAATGATGTCCTAATCCTTTCTCAACTACAAAAAACAATGACAATGTTTTATGCAGTCTGATTTAAGAAAAATTGCAAAAAAATTAATGGTTGATTGAATTTGGTAAGGCGTAGCTCCTAAAGTAAATACATCTACAAAATAAGAACAAGGTAAGTAAATGTGTAATCATTAGGAGTCGGCAACGTTTAAAACTTGCCCATTAGTGTAAGCCATGCACCGCAGCATGACAAATAGTTTCTTCTCGTACAGGTGGTAAGAACAAAGAAATATATCGCGATTGCATATATAATTTCCATATACAGTAGGTCATAATTCGCTGACACCAGACAACGCACCCGTGGTCCCATCAAGAAGCCCTCTAGTCTCTATAGGAGAAGCTTAGGATGAGGGAAATGTAAGATAATGACTATTCCATGATGGTGTCGATTGGTACAGAATGCAGAGCACTACATAAGGCCTATTGTTCACACCTATTTTTTTTTTTTTTTTTATCTTGACAAGTTTTATTGGTCAGAAAACACAATGATTTACAAAATATGCGTTACATCGTTTTGCAGAAAAATAATGAATAATCATATTGTTCCACATTTACAATCTTGTGGTTTCACATTTCAGTGTAACATTAAAAAACATAGCATGGTACTTCTGTATACCCCGGCCGCACAGACAATACGACCATCAGACCGACACTAAATGGAAAGAGAGAGGCTAAGAAGTAACCTATATTATTAGGTACCTATTATTAGGTAAACACCCAAATGGTGTCGAATTCCCCATTACAAAAAAAGCCCACTACTATAATGCGTTCAAGAACACGCGAGCGCGGGCAGGAGGTTTTTCGACATTTCCAATGGTCTCTGCGTGCGGCTACGTTTTTTTATAATTATTTTAAAATGAGAAATCAAGGATTCTTGCAGGTAAGGAGGGAGGGGGGTCATGTTTGTGAGAAGGGTGCAAGACGCCCACGAGGAATTGTAAGAAGGGCGTATGAGTCGCAGGTTGTGACCATGGCAATATTAGGCGTGGCTAACAACCCATTACATGAATCTTAGCTTCCCCCTAAAAGCCTTCAAGTAACATTATTACCACTTATGATAATATCATAATCCATCTGTATGCTAGAAAGGACTTTGAATTTCATTGTATGAATTTCATTAATACTTAACAAATGAAAAATCGGTCTGTATACAGAAACTCAGCTTCGGCTCTTACAGAATTGACCAATACATAAACAATCCAATCTTTGTTCACACACCCTCTCCAGTCTGTGATCTTTACTGGCTTAGCGCCCCCTACGTCCTCTGCAGTGGTATTTTTTAGTTAAGAGGGCTAATATTCCAAGCTTATTTACGATGACAATTACAAATAATAACAATAATAAAAACGGTGCCTTTAAAGCGCTTACCACCGAAGTCTCTAAGCGCTATAACAAACAAGATACAATGACAAACAATTACATATCAAACAAAAAAATGCAAATGCAAATTACAATACATTATGAAATATACATCAACGTGAACAGAGTAAGTCATCAAAAGCAATTTTGAATAAAAGTTTTAATTTGGTTAACAGTCTGACAGTTTTTGACATTAAAGGTAGTTTGTTCCAAAGTTCAGCAGAAGCTTTGCAGAAAGAGCGATGACCATAAGAAAGAGTTGACACCGAAGTAGACAGGACGTTTAATATTTTTGTGGAGATGACCGTATATTGCGTGAGGGTTTGTATTCCTGGATTAAATGAATTTAAACTCTTCACCTTTCCAATGATACCTAAATTGCATCACTGATACATTATCATAATCGAGAAAGCGACACGTAAGAATGCCATTTTGCAAGTTTTTTAAAAATAGATGAAAATATATGCCTTCACTAATAGAAGTCATTTTATGTCCACTTATTAAAACGGAAACAATTACAACTCTTCTTATAATAGCCTATCCGGGGGGGGGGAGGGGTGCAGAAGCCCCCTCCCCCCGAAACAAAATAGAGAGGGAGAGAGAGAAAAAAAGATGAATGCTCCTTAGACACCAACAATTTTTGGACAAGAAGTAGTAGATAGTTCGTGACTCGGCAGTCTTGATTCTACCTTAAACAGAGCATCAAATATACCTGATATCAATAGGTACCCTTTCGGAATTGAAAGATAAATAAACAAATAAAAAATAACTGAATGGGGCTCCATGACCCAGCCCATGTGTTAACGTTGACCACTTGGTGATTCTTCTCGAGAATGCAGACCAGCTACTTTTCACTACTAGAAATTCTTTTGATTTCTTTAAATACGTTGGGATGCTTTCATTAGGCATAAATCTAAAAGACCTTTTGTATGCTCCAATGTGGGTTGTCGGGCCGTTCTTATATGACAAATAGATACCTGGCTATCATCGTTTATTATATTGAATTTTACAGACTAGAAAATGCTTGCATTTTTCTCCTCTATTCTTCTCTCTCCCCATCTCTCTCTCTCTCTCTCTCTCTCTCTCTCTCTCTCTCACTCTCTCTTACTCCCCTTCGCTCCCCTTCGTCTATTCCAGGATTCACTATCTCTCATGTCTCTTTTCATTTCCCCTGTTGTTCAGTCAGAGTTTCAGAAAGACTAGTAGATTTTTACGATCCAAATAAAAACCAGTATGGATGCTAAAGTTTTAAGAAAATGTAAACTAAGAAATCACCAAGGTTTGATGTGATATTTGGACTTTGAATTTTAATGATTAATGATGAAGCAATAATAGAATATAGAATTAATGATGAGGTCCTTTTATCTATATCTTTCAACATTTATTTTTTCCAACCACGAACAAGTTGAAAGCAACAAGTTTCAATCGAAAGGGTACGAATTTGCAATATCTAATGTAACACATTATTATGTCCGATAACTATCCTCTTCAAGAAAAAATACAAGCGGTTGTTTGTTTTGTTTAAATTTCCATTATTAGTCACAAACTGATGCATAATACAACTTGTAGTACAGATACGGTAGATAACCAATGTCAGCTAAATTTTCAAATTCAGGTCTTTATAATTTGAAGGTATATGCTGTCGAACGATTGGAAACTTCAATTAAAAGCCATGTAATAGAATCCTAACTCATTTCTATGAGTATGAAACGTAAAATGTCAATTATATCAAGTGATTTAAATGAATTTAAAACACATTTACCATAATTATAAACACTGATAACAGCTTTATTGCGTCCAGACGTTTGAGAGAATGCAGAAACAAATACATGTTATATGACTCAAAATATTGATAGATGGCGCACTTGCAGTAGTGTATTGAGTTGCAGGAGTAGTTGAGACCTCTTTGATGAACCCGTTGTCAGCTATAATCTTAGAGTAGACATTCACAGATTCCTTAGCTGTTCGTGGTCGCTCGGGATCATTGAAGTCGACGTAATGCATTCCGAACCGCTCACTGTACCCAGAGGCCCATTCAAAGTTGTCCAAGAGTGACCACGCAGTATAACCTCTGACGTCAACACCGTCTAGTTTGATTGCTAGAACGTAATGATAATAGCATTTGATAATGGGCATCGTTCGAGGGCGGATACAACAAATAATATGGTGAAAATTGAGGTAGCAATCGCTTTAGAATCTAAATGATTTCATCAATTTGCTTAATGAATTATGATACAATACTATGAAACATAGAAAGAAAGAAAAAGCAAATTATATATAAAATAATGTAGCAGACCGTATCTGGACACCTACCCCCTTGGCATACATCCCCCGAATTACCACCCCAGTCAACTACCCCCTAGGACAACTACCCCCTAGGAAAACTACCCCCTAGGAAAACTACCCCCGGACAACTTCCCCCGGATATCTTCCCCCAGGACAACTACCCCCGGAAAACTACCCCCCAGACAACTACCCCCAGACAACTACCCCCTACGACAACCATCATCTAGGACGAATACACCCCGGACAACTATCCTAGGGGGTAGATGTCTGAGGGGGGTAGTTGTCTGGGGGTAGTTGTCTAGGCAGTAGTTGTCCGGGGGTAGTTGTCCGGGGGGGGGGGGGTAGTCGCCCTACAGGGTTGTTGCCCTAGGGGGTAGTTGCCCTAGGGGGTAGTTGACTGGGGTGGTTATCCGGGGGTAGATGTCCAGGGGGTAGGTGTCCTAGAACTGTAGTAGACATATAAAAATACTTCATATTAAGAAATGAATCGTAGGTGAAAAATGTACAGATGTAACTCCGAAAAATGATTTAATGGAGGAGGGGGTGGAGATGTAGGGCCTAAAGAGTTAATTGTAAGCCATGTACATACTGTTAGGCACATACCTTTAAGGACCTCATTGATGTAGGCCCTGTAGTACTTCTGTCTGATGACGTCATCAAGCTCGTATACATCATGTGTGGATACGCCATTTTCTGTGACGTAGATGGGCACGTGATACTGTGAATCAATCCATTTGAGTATGTTTCTAATCCCCCATGGTACAATCTTTAACCAAGATGAACCTGCTGTCTCCCAATCTTCATCTACGAAGGTCAGAACATTACGATCCTTGAGGTAACCAGGGGGATTGCTCTCATCATCCGGTGTGTTATTAGCATAGAGGGTAGTGTACTGGTTCAGACCAAAGAAATCAGCCGTACCTGAGTCAAGAAACAAAGTTCATCAAAATCATTACTTTTTTCAAATGTAAACTCCTCTTTCTCTAGAATACATTAAGAACAAAATGACGCATTAAAACAAAAAATTATAATAATAAAATAAGCGGTTTGCGAAAGGACGCTTAAAAAGGGTTGTTAAACTTCAAAGATAATTCAAAAATGTACGATCATTATACCCGTATAGCATGGTCCAAAGCTAAGGAAAGCACCTCGCAAATCAAAGAGGAAGAGAGATAGAAAGAAAGAGAGAGAGAGAGAGGGAGAGAGAGAGAGAGAGAGAGAGAATCTGATAGAGAGAAGGAATGAGGGGAGAAGAGAAAGAGGAAGGGAGAGTGGGAAGCAAGATAGGCAAGACAATACGATCCCTCTCTCATATCCCCCCCCCCCCCATCAGCTTGCTCTTGTTTCTCGTACTCGACGACCAGTGTCCTGTTAACGACTTGACCATTCATCTTACCTCTATTATATTCCTTCTCTTCTTCGGTGAATTCAGGAAGTCTAGACTTAGTGAAGCCTTGAGCAGCACTCTTACTCGCTATAGAAGTCTTCATAACCTCAGGATAATCACCATTCTTGAAGATTGGGTTAGCCCACCAACCGAAGTGAAACTGTAGACATCGATCAGCTGCGTCAATATGATCTTGGTTGGTTGAATCGTATGGCTCTACGTGATCTGAGTTCATAGTGATCCCAACTTGGCCGTTCTATTATGCAACAGGAAAATTCCAGGGTGCAGAAAAGAAAAGAATTATTTTATCCATGTAAAATATTAAACGATTCTATAATTGTAAAGCAGATCATAATATTAATGTAGTAATGTGATATTTTTTTGCCTCCTGTGGCTGGACCTGGGTTTGGTGCAGGCTATTGTTCAGTGTGCACTCAGGCCTCTCTTGAATTTGAGTGTGTAATGGGTTTTTGCAATGCGATCCTTTTTTATAGTATTTGAGTGGCGTATGAAGTATATAATTAAGTAATTGGTTATTTGAATATTATGATGTTTTTAATTTACATCTGTTTTTACACTTGTGTTTCTACAGGGGCTGTTTTGTTGCCTTCAAAAATAAAATAACCAAACATCAACTGCAAAGCGTCTGAGAGTGAATTCATTGGCCTTTCTTTCATTAACTTATGTTAATTATCATGTCGATATCTAATAGATTCACTATCTTTACTTTCATTAAAAGATGAGAAGCAAACAAATCGTACTATGACATAATTTCCTTAGCTATTTTGTCTGAAATGTTCAATTTAATCGTTAGTCAGTGTGTCATTAAGACAGGGCAGGTATTCATATCGTTGGAAACAATGAACTATACTGGACCTGGTAAGAAGCAATCGCAGGGTTAGTTACTGTTTATATGAATTCGAAAATAGGCTGCTAACTTGAAATCTTCTTTATATTTTAAAACAGTAAAGTTTCTTTGAAAAACAAAAAGTGATTGGAATTTTGTCAACAATGATTTGGATTAATTTACAATCTTCTTTGAATGCAGAAAAAAAAGTCCGATGAACATTTAACAAATAATGTGAGACCTCCATAATTATGTTGGATTCCGATGAAAAGCACACTTCGTCAGGCACGTAGCCACGGGGGGGGGGGGGGCACGGGGGGCACGTGCCCCCCCCCCCCCCCAAAAAAAAAAAAAAAAAAAAAATCCAAGATCGATTGAACTTTTTTAGACCCCCTTTTTTTTTTGCCCCCCAAACATCAAACTCTGGCTATATACGTGCCTGCACTTTGTGCTGATCAAGATGTTCCATCGTACAGGTGGATGTATAGAGGTCTTACCTGTAGTTGTCTGTAGGTATCATTGTATGTATGCCATGCTCGAGCGTGTGATTTGATAATATTATGAGCTACTACATAGATAGTAGTCCCATCTTCAGATATACCAGGAGCAAAGTATCCCACACCATGGCCTAGTAGAGTGACAATCCATGGCTCATTGAATGTAATCCAGAAGGGAACACGACTACCAAACCTTTGATAACACAGTTCAGCGTAGTCATTGTAGTGATCAATGATGGTTTCATTAGCCCAGCCCCCTACGTCCTGTAATGCTTGAGGTAGATCCCAGTGATAGAGAGTGACCATGGGTGTGATGTCGTTGAGTCGGAGTTCATCGATCAGGTTGTTGTAGTAAGCGATGCCGGCTTCGTTGACATTGTTGAGAGTACCGTCAGGGAGAACTCGAGGCCAAGAGATTGAGAAGCGATAATACTTAAGACCCATCGCCTTCATCAAAGCAACATCTTCTTTATACCTAGGAAAAATATTATAATTTTAGACAAAATAATGTAATATTCGATTTCCAATATCGTACTAAAAGTTAAATTTTTACTTTCACTTTTCTGTAATAATCACTTATAATGAACTAAATAGCATAACGGAAGTAGAATGATGCATATAAATAAACTTCTTTCAAAACCAGTAACGGACTTGATCAGCAGAAGCAGGTTACATTAGACAAAACAAACTGTGTACGATAGATCTTCATATGCATTTCATATAACAAAATGAGTGATATCCCTTCTCTCGAGCAAAATGATATACTATGGTCAATATAGAGAAGGTTGAGTTCTGGGAAGAGGTGAAAAATAATTTGTGAGTGTTACTCATTCTTATTATGCAAGTGTGGAAGAACATCAGATAAGACATGTTTCCTGAAAAGCATGGCTCTTCAAATGCCTTCATATTCTAAATATGCATGTAACATCGTAAAAATCGGGGGGGGGGCCGACTTTTTACGCCATATGTTCGTGTAGTCCCATATACATCTTTCTGTGTACAATGTTTGTAACTTTATCAAGACTTGGCCAAATTTCTTATCATTTTGATGATTCCAGAACCTTGCAATACACACAAATTCTTATATGCTAGATGATCAACCTTTTCTAGTCGGTTCCACACCGTTTCTTTCACAATGCAATCGCATGACCAGAACTAAACTTCATCAGAGCCTACCCTGATTAAAAACAAAATGATTACAACTGCTGGATAGAATTTACGTTGACATTACATAATATAATTATATCCAGTGTACTTACTTGTGGTAACTGTCACAAGCAACATCTCCAGTATCATTGTTCTCAACATTACCTCCCTCTTGGGAGAATCTATCCCAAATACTCTCTCCTTTTCCATCTTCATTCCAAGCTCCTTCGATCTGATATGATGACGTCGCTGAACTCCAGATGAAACCTTCAGGGAAGGTTCCGTAGAGGAAAGCATCTCTCTCAGGGTCGTTGAATCGATCGGGGTAAACGAACTCGGGTTCCTCGTCGAGTCCGATCACGGGAATCAGTAAGCAAGAAAACACTAATGTCATTTGAAGAAGATCCATTTTGAATAATCGAAAGGAGATACCTGTTGACTCCACACACTCGTATAATACTCTGATAAATTCTTAGTGTATTTGACAAGATAGGATATGAAGCATTCTTAGAGTGAAGTGTGTTCGCAAACTTTGACTTACGCAATCAGCGTGATTTACAGCTTATATAGAATGGCATTCTTCGGTCACCGTGGAGAAGTATTCAACTTTGTACCCTATTAGGCTTGTTTTACATAAAGTAGAGTATTTGTAAGGCCATCATAAACCTTTTAAAACAAAAATGCAGAAAATGGCCAATGGCAATTTGTATAACACCACTGAGTTTATCAAAGTATATATCATCGACATTATTATCTACATTGTTTCCAGTCAAAAATCTATAGTTTTCTTATATCAAACAAACGAGAATAACTTCGGGGAAAGGGGTGGGAGAGGGTGTCTCCGTTAAGAGTAAAACTTTTGACTGTAAAAGGATGGTCATTCAGCTGTATATAATTCTTTTATTTTTTTATTACCAAACTAACTCAAATCAATTGAGTGTAGAATGCTTATTAAATTCCGATCATGGTTGTTTGCCGGATGTCTTTAAGGCAGTATTTGCCAATTTGGCAGCCGGTTCATTTTTTCAACTAACACAAAAATAGTGCTCTAAATAAAATTTGTTTAAAAAATATTATTCTGAATGCATATGAATAGAAACTAACAAAATGAAGAAGGCGAATCCATTTGAGATATTGAGATTGAGTTAAGAGAGTCTCACATCACAGAAAATAATGAGAAATTTAACGATTTTACACTTAGTTATCGTTCGATAAAGACATCTTTCAGGAGTTTAGTTCAACTTTATACACTATAAAACAATGTATCTTTGACCACCACCTATCGGACTTATATGCAAACACGGTTGTGTACATATTGATTGCCTTGATTTCTGTTTACATGTCTCTTTTCTGAATTCCCACATATATTTTGTATATTCCAACACATTTTCTCATGTTCATTTATACATTTTTCCAAAATGTCATTTATTTATTCTCTTTCTATAAATTGAATACAGAAATAAATATAGAAATATAATGCATTCACTGTCTAATAACGGTATGCCAAGAAATGAAAACGCTTGCAGGAAAATGTTCAGACAATCAAGGCAACCGATTCCCATCCCGTAAGCTCAACATTACTTTAACGTAAAATGTTTGTTTATTAACTTTGATTTGTAGAATTATATAATAGTAAAAATGCAAGGCAATCTATTAATACTGTAAATAATTTAGAAAATACCATAGGCCTAATACATGTACTTGTTTTTCTAATTCTGTCCAAAAAAAAACAAAAAAAAGACATCTTGTCCTTGTAATGTAGATTGTCGACCATGGTATGATTTTGTTGTGATATTATGCTCTACTTCCATATTTTGCCGAACAGGGCGTTTATCGCCGACCATGGTATCATTTTTTTATAATTATTCTCGATTTCAATGTTTTGCCAAAATATAAGAACAAAAATGTAATTACGTTAACATTATTATGGATGAGTTTTAGTGAGATCTGTCTTTTTTTTAAATTCTTGACCGTGATAGATAATAGGAAATTAATATTTTTCAAAATGAGACCAAGTTAAAAACAAATTAAGGCCAGTCTGATACTGAGTACCTGCCTTGAGCTCGGTATCAGGATGGAGTAGATAATCTGATTTTAGCTGCTCCCCATGCGCTTAAAATAATCTGAGTTTGTTCTTAAAAGCAAATCAAGATTATGTCATTGTTTGAAGTGCATCGAGCAACATGGTACAGATTGCTTACAAAATGATTAGTTAAATAAATTAAAGAGGTTTTAATACAAAAGTTAAATAAACTTTACTCATTGAAATTGTTTCGCCCAATGACCAATGAAAAAATATAATTCTTCCTGTCACATATATGAGTAAGCACTGAGTATTTTTTTAAAGTTTATCTTTCGGTCCTTTAATCTTTTTCAACCATTATATAACACCAAACAGGCATGCACGATTAGGATTGGATGAGAGTGAGGATTAGCTATCGCCACTGATAACTAGCGTCGTTTTAAAAGATATTTCCTAATCTCCTATTTGTTTGATAAATCTTAACCAAACATATCTCATTCGGTGATATCACAGGTTGGTCATTGCAAACCTTATTTTTATCATTGGTTTATTTAGAGCACTGCCTGAGCAGTATACGATTCTGCTGTGATACAAACACCGTCACATTGGGAGTGATTTGATGCCACCAGTCAGACATTCTAGTTCCTCCTGTCTTATCCAAGACTCCACGATGAGAGCGTTAATATTGCTTGGTGTTTTACAGTTGATTCTTGCTACTGTATCGGGACAAGAATCCGAACCGGAGTTTGTCTATCCGGATGTATTCAATGACCCGGAACGGGATGCTTTCTTGTATGGTACTTTCCGTGATGACTTTCTCTGGAGTACATCTACAGCGGCATATCAGATTGAAGGCGGATGGGATGCGGACGGAAAGGGACCCAATATCTGGGATACCTTCACGCACGAGCCTGGTAACATCGCTAACAATAACACGGGAGATGTTACGTGCGACAGCTACAATAAGTAAGGTTTGACGAGATCTCTCTCTCTCTCTTTATCTCTTTCTATCTTTTTTTTCACTCCCGAATTCCTCTATATTTTCATTTTCTTCTCTCTTCTTTTCGCCCCCACCCCCTCTCTCTCTCTCTACGTCTGTCTCTTATACAAGATGAAACGGCGAGCGATTCATGTCCACTTGAAATCGTTATTAATTTAAGCCTACAATTAAAAACAAAAATATGAAAGTGAGACGGTGAGACACTTACTTACAGCTTAGAACTTAACATATTCTATTCTTTGGTATTAAAGATAAACTTTAGTACTGGTAATGCGATTGCATTGTGAAAGAAAAGGTGTGGAAAGGATCAGAAACAGTTGATCATGTAGCATGTAAGTATTGGTGTGCACTGCAAGGTTCTGGAGTCATCAAAATCATCATAAATTTGACCGAGTCTTGGTAAAGTAACAAGCACTCACATAGAAAGCTATATATGGGACAACACACATGGTGTCGGGGCTAGTACTACCTTGATTTCCTTGTCTTTCTATGCTCATTACTCAGCCAGTATACATTTTCTTCCAAAATTGTTTGGCACATGTCATTTATTTGTAATCTTGAACATTCAGTGTAAGTTTCGTTTGATTCTGTGAGAATTTTTTTTTTTTTTTTACCAGTACTGGAGTTTATCTTTAATCTTTTTGGCAGATACATGGATGACATTGCTATCATGAAAGCAATGGGCCTGAATTACTACCGTTTCTCAATCTCTTGGTCTCGTATCCTCCCTGATGGCACCTTGAACAACATCAACCAACCTGGTATCGACTACTACAACAACTTGCTGACAGCCATGCTTGATGCAGACATTGCTCCTATGGTCACTCTCTATCATTGGGATCTACCACAAGCCTTACAGGACCTGGGAGGTTGGCAGAATGAATCCATCATTCAGCATTACAGAGACTACGCTGAGTTGTGCTTTAGTAACTTTGGTGATCGTGTGAAGCTGTGGATTACCTTTAACGAGCCATGGGTAGTGACCATGTTAGGGCATGGTACAGGTGAATTTGCTCCTGGTATAGAGGAGGATGGAACCATTACCTATGTGGTAGCACACACTATCATCAAAGCACATGCCAGTGCATACCATGTTTATGACAGCGCTTACCGAGAAACACAGGTCTGTATTCAAACCCTCAGAATGGCGCCATATTTTCAGTGCGCCCTTGTAGTTCATCTTTAAAACTACTTAACTCTTCACTAGGACATTGTGTAATATAAATTTTAACATCGGAAATATTAGGATTACACATTTTCCGATCATTTCAAATGTATACAAATTTATCACGTGACGTTTAATTATGAAGTAAATCTATTTTGATGCCAACGTATGTATTGGCCCTGTTGCATAAAAGTCACCGTTGATTGTAAATATGCCATCAATATCAACTAACATGGCAACACCACTCAACAGCCAACCAAATCAAGGTTTCCATACAAGTTACCATTTATGGTAAAGTTACCGTCTAAGGTAAGTTTTATGCAACAGGACCATGGTCACTGATTGGTGACTATACGTCAGTGCGTTGGATAGGATTTGTATCACTCAAACAATTCATTATATTGTATGAAACCATGGACCTACTCCATGATGAAACCGAATGGCTTAAGATATGCAGGGCTTTCAATCAGAGTGTTGGTTATTGAATACTGTTTACATTATAGATACACTGTATATCTTAAGGTCTACATATCAAGATGACATATTATTACCGTCCCTTTAAATGTTTAAAGAACTGTTTAACCACCGTTGTGATTGTCTAATTCTGTTTTGTTTAGGGAGGAGAGATCGGAATAACCCTGAATTCTGATCACTACGAGCCTAGCGATCCTACTGACCAAACACACGTAGAGGCTGCAGAGAGAGCATATCAGTTCTATCTTGGTTGGTTTGGTCATCCTATCTTCATCAATGGAGACTATCCAGACATCATGAAGACCAAGGTAGCTCAGAAGAGCCTTGGCCAAGGCTTGAATGAATCTCGTCTACCAGATTTCACTGATGAAGAGAAAGCATTCATCGTCAACACTGCCGATTTCCTTGGAATCAACACCTACACGACTAGTCTAGTGTTCCCAGCTCCTTCTATCAATCAGCCCGTTAGTTACTGGATTGATCAAGATGTGCTACCACTCAAGGATCCAGACTGGCCCTCTACAGAACACACAGGTTTCAGGATTGTACCTTGGGGTATCCGAAGACTCTTGGGATGGGCTTACAATGAATATAACGTGCCTGTATACATCACAGAGAATGGCATGGCAACCACTGATACTGATGACCTGAATGATGACATCCGGGTCAATTACTTCCAGGCTTACATCAATGAAGTTCTCAAAGGTACAGTATGCGTTGTCTTATTAATTCATATTAATTCAACCACCGCATTTTGGTGCATACATCACCTCTCATCTTTATGGAGCGTAAGAGGAGGCGCGATAGCTCAGTCGGTAGAGCAGTAGTCTCGTAATACGGTGACACGGGTTCGACACCAAGGCGATGCGCTAGTGCCCTTTGGTAAGGCATTAATTCCCATTGCCAGGTCCCTTGTTGCTTACTTACAAAAATTTATGCAGTCAGGTAAAATGACCAGCACCACATTGTTATTTTGATTTATTTTCAGCCATGTATGCCAAGCACAATTCCTACTCGTTCGTCGTATCGTGGGTCATGTGGGTCTCGCTATTAAATGGACACTTGCATCATGGGGATGGGGCATTGATGAGGAAGATATGAATTAACAAGGCTACCCATTTGTTGAAAGAGTGGGGAAGGAGCCCTCTCCCTTTCTCTCTCTTTTCTTCTTCCTTTCTTTTTTCATTTTTCATTTGATAGGGGGCAAAGAGAAAATGATCGCGCTATTTATTTGCTGTAGAAATATTACCACTTAAGGGTCTTACCCCGCCAAACATTGTAAATGTAAAGCTATATTCAGCAATACAAGGTTTAATTGACTATGATATGATCCCCTTGAAGCTTATCTCCTCGATGATGTTGATGTTCGAGGCTATGTCGCCTGGACTCTCATGGACAACTTTGAATGGGCTGTTGGTTTTACGGAACGATTTGGTCTTCATTACATCGACTTCAACGACCCGGATAGGACTCGCATCCCGAAAAAGTCTGCGTCGGCTTTTGCTGAAATCATCGCCAACAATGGGTTCGAGGTAAGACAGCAACGTTAATGTCATACTTGTGGTTTTCATTTATATTCATTTATATTACATTAAGTCATCTAGATTTGAAGTTAATACGCATTATTAAAATTGATGTTGTAGAGATAAAATGGTTACCTTTCGAGGCATCAGTATTCCATTGGTCAGAGAGTCGAGAATAATAAATTTGATCACTAACCACATACTCTCTCCTGACGACGGATAGTCAACCTGTTCGAAACGTCGAGCCACTCATCCACTCCAAGCGCTATAGTTCTCCTTAGAACTATAAGCTAAGAAAGATAACAAACAGTCCTTTTCAGGACTACACACCCCCAAGAAAGATTACCGAGTCAGAGTCCTTTCCAGGACTCCCCAACCCTCTCTCTCTCTCACATGGTGCACCCGCAAGCCTACTGTATATACATACTATATACTATAAATCTCCTTTCCACTTTCATTTGACAGATCATGAATATTATGCATGGTATCGTCACCCTGATCATTGGAGTTGATAATACAATAATCTATACATACTCTGCACACTCTCCACTCCATTGGGAGCAATCCAGACTAATCTAAACGCTGTAATCTTCACATCCTACCTGGTACTCATTTAATACATGGGGTTAGAGAGAACTAATTGAAACTTGCTAAAGGACATCGTTGTCCTGTGGGGGTCGAACCCATAACGTCTACATCCCAAGTTACATGATAAATCAACTAGACTACCAATGTTTGAACCTTACCTTACGCCAATTGGAGAAGAAAAGAAAACTAATTTGATATACTCTTACCGATCTCCACTCAAGGAAAAAAGTAATTTTTTACCGAAAGAACGACAACAGAATGTTGCGAGATAGTGTGACAAAATTAATTTCCTTTGTAGCAAAGTTGATTTTCCTTGATAATCTTGCTATCAACGATAACAAGATAGATGATTATTAGAACATTCAGGTAGTTTAAGCTTAGGGTAATCGATCAGAAATGACCTTATATATATATATATATATATATATATATATATATATAAAGAAATATCAGATTGAAATAATGGACGCGTGATGTTTTCAAGTTACCGATCATTTGGTACAAAAATGCCTTACAAATTGTTTTCTGTTATGTGTATACATATTACGTTATCTTGAAGTGCTTACATAGTATACTAAGTTTACATTCGTACGAAAATCAGTGTAATGTATGTTCATCGTTATAAATGTTGTATATCACATACATATATATTTTCACGAATCTGTTCCCTTAAATCTCCTGAATCCGTTTAGCAAATTAAATGAAATAGAGGGTAAACTTTGGCAGCATTTGCTTTACAATAATAAGGTTCAGAATGATAATATTAGACTAACATGATTACCATCTTGCAAAAAAAATTCTCATAAATTACCCCCACAGATCTCTATACTATGTTAGACCATTCCTTTAGGATGATGCAATCTAATCTAAACATTTAAAACATTATATCTGATATCAAAGTAAAATGGTTTAAGTTTTATTTGATTTACTGCTTTCCTTAATATGATGTGTCAAATCAATAACCGATAGTTAAAGGCGTTATGTCGTTCTTTGTTTATTTCATGAAATAATGTCTATATTATTTTTTAGTATGGTCGAATTTGTCTGGTTACCCCTAATAACCAGCGACATCATTATCATAAACAACAAAAACAACAACATTTTTTTTTTAATCGTTATTTCCGCACAATTTTGTGGGGTTGCTTTTCAGCCATGCTAAAGTCAGGGTAATAATCGGGAGTGCCACGAGTGTCAAGTCTGCCAGACATGAGCGCTATACAAGAACTTAATATCATTATTATCATATCATGACCATAGAAAAGTCCTAGTAAATTGCATGAACATTGTTCAATATTTTGAAAATATTGACTTGAGATTTTGATTGAATTAGCGAATTAATGAATTGATACATGGATATATCGGTTCTGCACAGGCCTTTACAACCTCTTTAGTCCTGGCCTAGCTTCCTCATTACGTTCTTTTTAAATGATGTTGATACAGGATGCCATTCTACGGAAGGGGAAACAAGGGTTATTTGATTTACTTTCGTAATCAGATGAATGCCTCGGATAAAATATGCCGAGAAGAGCTATATAGATAAGCTAAAGTGGGGCAAAGAGCTTAAAAGTTAATGAACAACATACGTGTACTATTAAACAGCTATAAAACAACCCCAATATGCAAATGTACATAGGGCGTTTAAATGTTTGAAAAGTTATTTCGCTTAATAATTCGAAAAACTCTGATACCCTAGAAATATATAATGGCGCGTTATGAATGAATGAATGAATACAACACTTTCCGAAATTCTCCCGACCACTAGAAATCGTCAAAGTCCAGACTTGCAATAATTAGATACAAATTTAGATTATTTTTTTAAAATAGAAGATCTTATCTGTTTACTTCGAATATCTAAATATACGGAAGAAACCTAAGAGAATATTAACCTTTTCCTAACCTGTGATCTTGGTTTGTACTAAACTGATGCATAAAATTTCAATAATAACAAATATAAGGCCAATAATAAATGAATCTCTATGATCCAATTTTCACGATTCATCCATCATGATGATTTTTGTTGGTAATGGCGGTTCTGATGTAATTGTAATCATGACATTAGAGACTCACAAAGTAAAACGAATATTTGCAATATTGTAATCAATGTTGATGTGTCAAATTATATTAGATGAAATCTTAAAAGGGGTGGAGTCAAATCTCATTTAGTCTAAACGTCGCGCATGCGTGCATCTTACCATAAACATGTCGAGGCAGGTGTGAAGCTCAAATGGGTTTTATGTAGTTTTATTCAGCAGCACATAAGAGAAGAGACATGGCTATCAAACTCTTACAAGGAGTTTTTATTCTATTACTGAGTTGTTTGTATTCAACTGTCTCACAGGAGGTTGAATTCGTCTACCCTGATGTCTGGAATGACACTCACAGGGATGCTTTCCTTTACGGAACATTCCCTGAAGGTTTCATCTGGAGTTCAGCGACGTCATCATATCAGATCGAAGGAGCTTGGAATGAAGATGGGAAGGGGGAGAATATTTGGGATAGATTCACTCATGTAGGTGGAAAAGTCTTCAACAATGATACTGGAGATGTTGCTTGTGACAGCTACCACAAGTAAGTACATCAAACCCAAACATGTATCTACATCTGGATATTACAAACAAGAAAACTCATTATTTACTCTGTGCAAAGGGTATTTCACACAAAGTATTTGAAAATGTAGCAAATTGGTGCAAAATGGATATGAATTTCACATCAATTAACGACTATACCAACAGCTATGAGTGAATATAGTTTTGTCATTTGTAAATAAAAATAGAAAAGATTACCTAGTCCACCAGCTTTAACGAATTCCCCGTTTATTTTTTTTTTTGCTATTGGAAATTAGGGTGTGAATGAAAAATCTTTGCATCAGGGTGGTGTTACAAAGATCCTAAGAAAACTTAACTCTAAGTTGAACTCTAAGTTGGACTTAAACATTATGGAGAGCCATTTGTAGCCTTAAAATAAAATATATTCTAAAGCAAAAACTGAAGTATTTTAGACTTTTCATAAATTCAACATCGAGAACATAAAATCTCCTCGATAATGGAGAATACGAATGATTTGAATCACCTTTTTATGCCTTTTAAAATAACTTGTTCAAAGTATTTTCATAGATGCCAACGGCTTTCCATAATTGTTAAGTCCAACTTAGAAATAAGTTCAAGTTAGGATCTTTGTGAAACACCCCCTGATGTTTATAACATTGAATACAGTTTTGCTTATTCGTCAGGTTGAATTAAAAGCAATATAATATAATGAAGTTACAATTTCCAATGGCTACATGATAAGACGGACACTTCGTATACATGAATTCTTTCGTTAGAGCTTTTATTTTCACCTGCAATGATAACATGCAAAATACGAAGTGAATTTCAACAAATAAAGCAACGAAACAAAAATATGCAAATGTGTGTAGGGTATTTTAAATGTGTCAAAATATCCATGAGATTATATATTTGGTTATAGTAACTTAATGTACATGAAGGTCAAATAAAAACTAACGAAAGAAACCAAAAAGAGATAAAAGGTTTTAAAAAATTTCCCGTCACATAATGACTCGAGCAGTGTATATTCATAATTCTTTCAAAATCTTGATAGTACAGGGTATTTGTTTAGTTCAAAATCAAGATTGTTCCATACTAAATGCCATCATATTGATTGTGGTGCGATAAATCTCTTACTTTTAAGTGACCTTTACAACCACAGTAAATTAAGCTATACATTTTATGATATATAAAGAGTTTCAATATTTATTCAACTTCCAAATTACTGCATATTTGTAAACCGTATTTTTTCCTAACAATAAATGTAGATACGAAATATTAATTATATTGAAATTGAAGGAGCAAACGACCAGGTAAATATTGGTGTCCATCGTGTCGCCTCTTCTGTTTACATAATAAACATTAATCCTAAATCCAGATAAATAAATCAACCCACACAGTTTTCATTAATCACTTTACAACACGTATCTTTGTGATTATAGCTACAAAGAAGATGTTGGTCTAATGAAGGCCATGGGTCTAGAATATTACCGTTTCTCTATCTCTTGGGCTCGCATCCTCCCTAATGGAACCATCAATAATATCAACGAGGCTGGCATCGATTTCTACAATAACCTCATCAATGAGATGGCTGCGAATGGTATCAAAGCTATGGTCACTCTCTATCATTGGGATCTTCCTCAAGCTCTGCAAGACATTGGTGGTTGGGACAATTCGGACATCGTACAACACTTCAAGGACTATTCTGAGCTCTGCTTCCAAAGGTTCGGGGATCGAGTCCCCCTCTGGATCACATTCAATGAGCCTTGGATTGTGTCTCTGTTTGGGTATGGCACGGGTCAGTTCGCCCCAGGGATATCAGATATTGGTTCCGCTCCTTATAGAGTTACCCACAATCTCATGAAATCACATGCTGCAGCTTACCATGTTTACAACGACACCTACAAACCTATACAGGTATTTACACATTTCAAAGTCATCATTGCAATTCCAATGCTGTTGTAAACAGAAACAATTTTTAAAACCTATTTCTGCCTTCAGCTTAACATACATATTATAATGTCACGTATACAGGAAGGCGCAAGGCTGCTGCTTATTATTTTAAAAGTGTATGCAAACTTTCCAAACAATGCTCTTTCTTCACCCATCGATCTGCAATTGCATAATAAATTAATTTTTAACCGCAAAATTATCAACACCGGCTGTGTAAAGGGCTTTCGTGCCCGATTGTAAGGTTGTTTTTTTTTGGGGGGGGGGGGTTAAAATTAAAAAACTACATAACTCTGATATGCTTTTGATAAGTTGGTGTCGAAACTTATATTTACGATCTTTCAACCGTTGACATAATTTCTCTTCCAGAAAGGGGAAATTGGGATCACATTAAACTCTGATTGGTCAGAACCATTGGACAGGACGAACCAGACCAGTCTTGATGCATCTGATCGAGCTCTTCAGTTTAACCTCGGTTGGTTCGCTCATCCAGTCTTCAAAGGTGACTATCCAGAGATTATGAAGACCAAGATCGCCAAGAAGAGCGCTGCCCAAGGTTTTAATGAATCCCGTCTACCTGAATTCACCGCAGAAGAGATAGCCTACATCAAAGGAACCAGTGATTTCTTTGGTTTGAATCACTATACTTCAAACTATGCGTTTGCTGTGCCAGAATACCTCTCCAATCCTCCGAGTTACTGGACCGATTCAGATGTGGGCTCCTATCAAGATCCAAACTGGCCTGGGTCTGGATCTACCTGGCTCAAGATCGTGCCATGGGGACTTCGTAATCTTGTCAATTGGATCTATGATGAGTATGGAGTGCCTATCTACGTGACGGAGAATGGTGTGTCCACAGCCGACATCTACGAACCCGATGACGACATCCGACAAAATTATTACAGAGCTTACATCAATGAACTCCTCAAAGGTAAACAACTCAACCATTAGACGTTGCACTAACACAGGCAGCTTAGTCTAAGTTTTAATCTTAACGCAAAGAGTTTCGAGAAATCAACGCAATGTCAATTGCAAAACACTTTTTGTATATCCCATAGAAATAATGTTCATTCGAAAAGGTGACGGACAACCGTTTTGACAGTCTTTTGTGTCCGTTTGTGATCGTGTTCATTGAATCTAAAATTTTGGATTAAGACAAATTAGTCTCTCGTCTTGAAGTTCCAACGGAATCCTGGACTTTCAGTTTGATACAAGTCAAGATTAACCATGAGATAGGACACCGTCTCACTTGATATCCTATTATAGTATGTGGTTTATTTTTCAAATCGTTATTTGTACGGTAAAGGTTAAGAGATTGTGAACAATTATTGATAGTAATGTCCAATGGATCACTACATGATTATCATGTGAATATTAAGAAAAATATAACGATTAATCTATACTACAATTAACAATGGGAAAAAACGGATGATAATATGACATAACATTCAAGTTTTAAACAATCTTTTGCGCTTTAGAAATGACATGACCCAACGGGTCCCCCCCCCCCTCTCTCTCTCTCTCTCTCTCTCTCTCTCTCTCTCTCTGTATTCCTCTCTCCCTCCTGTACAGCGATCAATGAGGATGGCGTTGACGTCAGAGGTTATACTGCGTGGTCACTTCTTGATAACTTTGAGTGGGCTTCGGGCTACAATGAGCGTTTCGGACTCCATTATGTTAACTTCTCAGACCCTGCCAGACCTCGAGAAGCTAAACAATCAGTCAGTGTATTCTCAGAGATTATATCCAACAACGGCTTTATCAAAGACGAACAAGTCACTACACCGGCAAATGGTACTGGTCGGGAATTTTACTAATTGGCTTTAATTTTCTTAAATTGCCTTATATCAAAAGCACAATGAAATATGAATTTTATGGACTGCACACTTGTATAAGCATGCAATACTTTTTCTTTTTCGACAGACTAAATGAATGAAAGAAGTATCATGCTCAATTACAAACTATGGAGCATGCTACAGTAAATATTGAAATTTATATAACTTTAGTAACAGAACATTAGAGGAAACCGATGCTCCTAAACTTTTACCAGGATGGCGCCCTTTAGCAATATGAGTAACAAAGAACAACGAAAGATTCAAGTTGAAAACGGATTACATACTACTGTAATATCATTAGACTCGAAGCTAAGAATATAACAAGGGTGCATCATTAATGCCAAGACAGGAATCCTACATAAATTCCACGTTTCTAGTCAATTGCAGTAGGAACATACGGAAACATCGAAACAATATGACTGAAACGTCGAGAACTAAATCTATTTATGTGGTTTTCAGTTCATAGCGGGCCGAAACCTTTTTTTTTACAGCTCTTATTTCTTTGACTACGATGCATGACTATTTTACTACTAAGTATAACATAGGAATCGAGTGGTATTATTAATATATTAGGAGAAAGAAGTGATATGTCCACAATTTTTTGTCAGATATGGGTTTTATAGTTAGGGAATGCTAATATAATGATCAACCTCCATTAATTTACTTAGTGATGTCGATATGTCACCTGGGTTCATTTCACCTTGATATTTCAGCAATCTTATAGATGATTGTGGTTAATTTGCTTGTTTAGAGCTGGACACGGAAGGGATTACCCTAACCTGTACCAAGACCCAGATGATTGTAGAGATACCCAAGTCTCTCTTGACCGGTGACATGATGGGTACAGATGTCCGTTTCGCTTTGGCTTCTGAAGATGACCAGGACTGCCGGGGAATCGATACGGTCAATGAACCTAACATGGACATCATTGAACTCACTACCAACCTTACAGATTGTGGAACTACAAGAACGGTAAAGATCAATCCTTTGTATAATATATATATATATATTCATTGTATCTCTTTATGTGGCGCGTGACTGAGGGCATTATGAGTACTAAAGGGCATCGGTGTTTTATTTCTAGCAAGGATGCCTTGTAAGAGAGTCAAGAACGTTCACTAATATGTCTTTGATTTATTCTTAGTTTCTAACCATCCTTATTAAGATGTTGTCAAGTGTAGACAATAATCACAGTTTTGACAATTCAATATGTTTCCAGGAATCTGATACTGATGAAACTTACACGAATCAAGTGATCAGTCGTTACGAAGATGGACTCGTCAGCCGCTTGTATGCCGTCGATATACCCTTAACGTGCTCTTACAACAGAAGCAAACGCGTGGAATCTGTCCGCTACCAGTTGAGTGACTACACCATCGACAAGACTCTCGATGAGAATGGCGAATATTCTTTCTCGTTCGAACTTTACACCGATGACTCTTTCGATGATGTGGTTGACCGATTTCCTCTGGTGATTGGACTGAATGAAGAAATCTACTTCTCAGCATCAGTAATGTCACTAGATGACACTCTAGATCTATCTATTCGATCTTGCAGGGCTACACCCATGTCACAATACGAGGATGACATTCATTATGATTTCATCGTAGATGGGTAAGTACAATGTAGTCTACAACAGAAAATGTCAATCAAATCAAGTTCAAATCAAATTTGGCAAGTTAATATAACGAACAATAAATTGTCATATTTTCCTTTTGTAACAAAGAAATAAACCATTTTACACTTATGTCTATCTGGACATAAAAAGTGGGATATTAATTGTCTTTCTTCTCTCTTTTTGGGTTAATCTGTTAATCACTTGCTCCTTTTTCTCAGATGCTCAGCAGACAGTACTCATACCAACATCACAAGACTGGATGATGGACATCGGGTCGGGGTCGAAATGAATACCTTCCGGTTCATCGACCAAGAAGACTTTGTAAGTCGCGTGATATCAGTCAATTCAGGCTATCAATTAAAATATATTGATATTAATTTTGATTAGCCTCGAGTTAGTTACATGCTCGATTGATGTAGCTGGACATCGATACTTGGACAATACTAAACCGTGATTTGTAGGTTATCAACATACACAGATTTTATATGAATTACCGTTTGTAATTTTCTAAACAATTAATCTTAGTTTAAATAATGCATAAATACATGTACATTGTTGTTCCCTGTGTCTTTCAAATTATTTTCTATATTTGTTATAATCGTTAGACCCTTGTAATCATTGATTTGCCTATGTATTGTGAAACAAAATATTCACGTACTTTGTTTTCTTTCTTTTTTTAATAAAAAAATACAAACTTTCAACCAGGCAAATTTAGTAAAACAGTATTCTTAAGCGACGGGAATGCAACAAACATTTATATTACAGATACATAAATAAATTTACTTCATTTACATTCAAAGGAAATTCGATGTGAGTTCTAATAAGCATTTGCAAGTCATATCTATCATAATATGAGATATAGCACGTATTTTCGTGAACATTATTTTTGTGAATTATATTGTATATCTTTAACTACACCCAATCTCTTCACTGTTCCGCACTTTTTTTAATCCGTTTTCCACACTCTCTCTCTCTCTCTATCTACCCGCAGGTTTACATCCACTGTAATCTGTTGGTGTGTGCATCTGATGACACTGATTCTGTATGCCAGGAAGATGACTGTGAGAATGATGCTTTCAATCGTAGAAGGCGTGATGTTAGTGATGAATCAAACACAAGACGATTCACTCGTGGACCGGTTCGTCTTATTCGAGCAGCCGAGGAGAAGAAGACAATCTCACGTATACAGTTCTATGAAAACGGTAACCCTAATTATGTTTATTCAAAGGCATGACTAGTATATTGTTTCCTTAGGTTTGGGAAGTTTGAGGAAATAGATAAATAAACACCATGATCCCCGCTCGAAAAAGAAACGGAAGAGGGATGAAAGGAGAGGTCTTTTCCCATAAGCATCCTCTCAAAGTGTCTTTATTCATCAGCTACCTAATCTCCATCTTTAAAAAAGATATGATACCAACCAATATAATATATATATATATATACATAATTGCATAAAGTCAATTAAAGTTATGTTGATCGGCAATATGATACAGTACTAATTAAATCGAATGTACGTAGAGTATCATTCTCTCTTTCTATCATATCGTCATTCAAACAGACACCCCTGATCAAGCATCTCTTCAGACTGCTTTCAACCCTTGGATAATCGCTTCAGCTATCATGGTAATCGTTGTCATGGCAATGGTTGCTATGATGTTGATGGTGATGAGGAAGTTAAACAAAATGGCGGTGACTTCACGACGCGAATGCCTCCAAGAAGAGTCTGCACATCTCTTGTCTGAGGACTAAGATCGAGTCACCATTCTCTACCGCTAACATGTTTATATTCGACGCTCCTAATCTTTCCTTTCATAATGAAATTAGAACTTTAAAAACGATTATGTTGAATAATAATTGTAGAAGAACAGCGTTTGCAATTAAGACCGATTGTGCATATTAAGCAATTAGTCTTGTGGCAACTAGCCACTAATCCGTTATTTCCTTTATTAATCTTAGATGCATGATTAAAGGCAACTAGATGTTGGAACAAATTCCTACATCGCTACAATTCCAAGACAAACTATGACTATTAACATGATAAATTACAATTCATTGTCGCTTATAATCATAATCATGAAAGCAATTATAAACTTTTAAAAAAGTATCTCATGTAGAATATTGATAGGTAGCAATGCTTCTGTTTCCATTGTTTTCAAATAAAATTATAAGAAGACAAACTTGATTGGCTTGAATGTCTGTCTTTTGTTTAGATATCATGTTGAAGAAGAGAGCATGACCTTCAATTGAATGTGTGTGTGCTTTAATGTAGAGGTTTAGAGGCGATAGTTTTTCGATGAACTTGTATCTAGAATTGGTACAAAATAGTTTTAAAATGCATTCTGTACACGATTCGTGGAGCCATTTTTTAAACGAAATTTATGAATGAGACAATAGAATAGAAACCAGAAGAACAAGACAATTGAGGGAGAGAGAGAGAGAGAGAGAGATTTAAAAAAAGATACCTGCCTTCGAATTTATGCAACATGAGACCTTTTTCACTGACAAATAAGTTATATAATACATATTTGACAACTTTTAGACAGAATAAAGCGTGTAATAGAAAACACTTGCCGGAAGAAGCAAATGGAATAATAATAAAAATAATAATGTATTTCCATAGCGCTTGTTCCATATGTACATGTACGTTCAAATGCGCTCAAATTGGAATATTAATATTCCTTTCAGTGATTATACCTACTAATATGTGAATTATATTAAAGCCACAAGAGGAAATGCCAAATTAGGTTCATGGTTACTGACTTCCTTCAATCGAACTATTCGTATTTCATATTTTGTGCACATGTTCTTCCCACTGTAAACATAATTTTTTTTTAGGACTTCTTATTATTATTTTACTTTTTCTTCCCCTCTTCTTCGTCTGCTTATTCCTCTTCTTGTTTTCTTCTTCATCCTCTTCCGTGAATTGTTCTTTTAATTACTGTATTCATTCCTCTTTCTCTTCCTTTTCTTCTTCTTCTTCTTCTTCTTCTTCTTCTTCTTCTTCTCCTTCTTCTTCTTCTTCTACTTCTTCTTCTTCTTTTTCTTCTACTTCTTCTTCTTCTTCTTCTCCTTCTTCTTCTTCTTCTACTTCTTCTTCTTCTTCTTCTTCTTTTTCTTCTTCTACTTCTTCTTCTTTTCCGTTTTCTTTTTCTTTTTCTTTTTCTTCTTCCTTTCATTTGCTTCCTCTTCTTCTTCTTTTACTTGGTTATCACCTTAAACAAACTCCACTGATTTGGGGGGCGTTTTTAATCGAAGCGAAGGGCGATAAAGAAAGGAAAGATTTGTTTTAAATAACAAACCCCGGCATTGTCAATAATTAACAAGCCACTGCAAACATTTTATCGGATTCGATTCAATTTGAAGGACTATACCGCCATGCTCTAAATACGTGAATGCTACGACATTGCAACATTTCATAATCACTGACTTTGATTCTTGAACCCTTACATATACAGAAACAAATTGCATTTATTTGTCTCGAACGTACGATCGCTATAATCTATTATTTGCACTAACTCAAGAGAGAATCAAGCAAATCACGTGATATGTAGCATTGCTTTATGGTCTGAGTAATAGAAGCCTCGAATATTTTGGGAATAGCTATAAGCTATCTGGTTTAGGTTGAATTTACATACCATTAATATTTGAATATCATCTCCCGATCAACTTATTAAATGGTATGATTTTAGGGGTGGCATACTATACAAGCCACTAACCCTTACATAGGCGAGAACAATTTAGAGCTATACAGTGTGAGTGAAAAAAAGGTATAGCTTGTCTTAAATATACATGAAATAATTCAGTTCCACACCAGTTGAATTGCGAGAAAAAAAATCTATTACATTCAAGTTTCACGGTTAAAAAGGATAGTTAATAATTTGCATACGTGTGCTTTCAGCTAAACTTCCACAGAAATACACCCATCGACACACCTTGATCAAAACCGCAGCATCGTAATAAAGGAACGCCCCCTTCAAGTAAACAATCTCATCCCATGCTGAGGTCTAGACACCTCCCTTAATGGGTGTAGCTTATTTTTAATTTACATTTTCGGACCAGAGCTATATTATTTCTCAAAGATACACGAAATTAAATCCATAGAAATGAATCGCGAAACAAAACTATTACATTTCAGTTACACATTGAAGAGGTTCATTTATAATGTGTATACGTGAGCTTTCATGGAAAATTCCACAGAAACACACCCTCAATTAAACAATCTTATCAATGCCGAGGTCCTAAACACCTCCCCTAATGGGTTTAGATTTTTTAAGTTTAAAGTTCACGTATATTATACATGTATTGTTTAATACTTTTATCGTCCGGAGTAGAAGTTGGTTAATCGAAAGCTTCAGATTACTGCATTAGCTTCGAGTTGTATGACGATAATAAATACGCGAGGAATATTTGTAATAATACGTTGATCATTATGTTATACTTCGGTGGTAAAAATGAAATGGACTCATTGCTTTCTATGAAGTTAACTCATACCGATTCATGTTTTCTCTCATAATTATTGGCATTGACTGATGGGACGCCAACAAGGTGGATTTGCGATACAGAAAACTTTCATTGGTTCGGTTGATTATTACATGGGTTTCCACCAACCTTAAGAGCTATTAGGCAATCTTTCACCCTCACCTATTACGGACTTTCTCAAGCTTGTGGAAATACACAGGAGTGGATGAAAGTTTGCCTACTAGCATAAATCAAAAATTACGGAAATGTTATTGAAAGGGGATGACGATTATTCATCCATCACACAAGCATCAATTATTGAATTGTTCAGAAATTAACAAAATAACAAATACAAAGTTTTGTAACTAATAGCAGAGTATAATTCAGGGTCAAATGGGTTTTTTAACAGGGGCGGATCCACGTAGCGATTTTCCGGACCGCCCCCCCCCCCCCCAGCCCCCAAAACGATAACAAAATAGGATAATAACGTAAAGTTAACCTTTATAAAACAAAAAACAAAAGCGCCCCCCCTCCCGCTTATTCGCCGGCCGGCTGACACGGCACTAAATTTTGCATTAAGATTCGGCTACCCCCCCCCCCCTTGATGCCAGCTGGATCCTCTGCAGGCGTGGATCCGGGGGGGGCTGACGGGTCAACAACAAAAAAATTAAAACAAAAAAAATCTTACGAATTAGGTCCAAAAAAAATAGTGGTCTCACCCCCCCCCCCCCCCCGCTTATTCACCGACGGCTGAGTCGCAACTAATATTTTCTCACGGATTGGACCCCCCCCCCCCCCCTCTTCCCGCCGGCTGGATCCGCCACTGTTTTTAATGCACATTATTTAGAGCGTATTGTTTGTTAGGGCTGTAGATAAGAATACTAATTTAAATAGACTAAAGAATCAATTACACAACCAAACCTAATGACATAAGGCATTTCTTATTGACGCTATCACAAGAACGGTGGTTTTATGATCAAAGAGAATACATCCAGCTTCTTTCTCGATCTGGACGTAACATTGATTCTCTCTCAAGATGGGTGTTCTGAAATCACTAACCATCGTCGCGATGGTTCTCGGTTGCCTTTGTACGACCATGGGTGATGATCCCGAGTATGTATACCCTGATGATTGGAATGATCCAAACAGAGATTCATTCCTCTACGGAACCTTTCCAGATGATTTCATATTCAGTTCAGCGACATCAGCTTACCAGATCGAAGGAGGTTGGAACACCGATGGGAAGGGAGAAAGCATCTGGGATAACTTCACCCACGAAGGAGGCCATGTTTATCGCAATAGTAATGGTGATATTTCTTGTGACAGTTACAATAAGTGAGTGAACCTTTGCATCTCGTTTTACCTGTATAATTTTAAATTGTAAAACTCCTTGTCTAAGGCCACACTTAATAGTCGACTTATAGGATTCGAACTCATAACCTCGTAAATGACAATCACAATGACCAAAATATTTATATATGTATATGGCTCATCTTAACAGTTTCTTGGACCTCAAAGCATGTCAAACATTACATGTTGTCATGGTTTTAGTGTGAAAAGTTTTCTCAGTGTGTTGCTAAATTGTGTTCTGACGTCTCTTCGGACTATCAACCCTGGAATACTACTCACCAGGCACGTGTCACCCTCAGATAACTAGTGGTAAGGTCTAGGGAGGGATTGTCTTGGCTAGGCTAAGAATAATTCTTGTTCTGAATCATTCAGGTAGTAGAAGTATTATTTAAGATTGGACGTAAAACGTCTTAAAGTTTTCAACATAGTCTTGTTGACTCGTATCAAACATTGTTTAATCGCTATGATAAAAGTATTGGCCAGGAAGAGTCCAACTTTCCTTGAATTTATATCTCACTCCAGGTACAAGGAAGACGTTGCTTTAATGGCTGCCATGGGTTTGAAATATTATCGGTTTTCAATCGCTTGGTCACGCATCCTTCCACAAGGCACTATCAACAACATCAATGAGGCAGGTATCAACTTCTATCAAAGCCTTATCGATGAGATGGCTGCCAACGGTATCAAGCCTATGATCACCCTCTATCATTGGGATCTTCCTCAAGCACTGCAAGACATTGGTGGTTGGGACAATCCGGACATCGTACAACACTTCAAGAACTATGCCGAGCTCTGCTTCCAGAGGTTCGGGGATCGAGTCCCCCTCTGGATCACATTCAATGAGCCTTGGATTGTGACTCTGTTTGGGTATGGCACGGGTCAGTTTGCTCCAGGAATCTCAGAGATTGCATACACTCCGTACAGAGTTACCCATAATATCATAAAGTCTCATGCTGCAGCTTACCATGCCTACAACGACACCTACAAACCTTTCCAGGTATTTATACATTTTATAATAATCACTGCGAGTCCTACACTGTTGTAAACAGAAACAAACCTTTAAACTTTGTTCCAACTTCACTTACTGGATTCCATGGCGATACTTACTTTATCAATCATAATTTGCTTTATTTCATTGTCTGTCATCTTGTTATTAAACGCGGGGGGGGGGGGAGATAGTTAAGCTGCTGAACAGTCTTACGCAAGGCAATTACAAGATTTGTGTTATTTATTAAAATTGACCTTGCACAGCTTACTAATTTAGTAACAAATATTGCTTATCCAAAGAACCACGTGTTCATTGAGTAAGTACGTATTATGATATGATCATGTTCTTTTTATCCTTAACACTTTCAGAATGGACAATTAGGTATCACATTAAACTCTGATTGGTCAGAGCCATGGGACAGGACGAACCAGACCAGTCTTGATGCATCTGATCGAGCTCTTCAGTTTAACCTCGGTTGGTTTGCTCATCCAATCTTCAAAGGTGACTATCCAGAGATTATGAAGACCAAGATCGCCAAGAAGAGCACTGCCCAAGGCTTGAGTGAATCTCGCTTACCCGCATTCACGCCAGAGGAGATTGCCTACATCAAAGGCACAGGAGACTTCTTCGGCCTCAACACCTACACAACCAACCAGGCAGTGGCAAACGTGGAAGACCTCTCTAATCCTCCTAGCTACTGGAAGGACTCTGACGTCATCTCTTGGCAAGAAGGGTCCTGGCCTGGATCCGGTTCTGGCTGGTTGAAGATAGTTCCATGGGGAATCCGCCGGCTCATTAATTGGATTGATAATGAATACAACGTACCAATCTACGTCACTGAGAATGGTGTCTCGACAGGCGACAAGTATGAACTTGATGATATCATTAGACAAAAGTACTACCGAGCATACATTAATGAGGTTTTAAAAGGTAAGTTTGTTTGCCTAGGCTTTTAGGTAATATAAACTGATTCAGATGGGAGTATTTTGTTCATATGGAATAAAAATAGGACTAACGACTTTGGTCAAGAGGAAAAGTCTCAACTACTGAGAGACGAGCTCTAATATGATCGTCAAATTTTAAGAAGACTCAACAAATTTCCAGATCGGCAGCATGAAATACAATTCCAGTCCCTTGATTATAATGCAAATTCCTTCCATCGGACATTAGATCATCTAAAAGTGTTTGACATATCAAAATTAAATAATGGTAATGACTCTATGGCAAATACCCCAAGACAACACCCGTATGAGAACGAATCTGTACTACTAAAGCAGACGAGTTGTACCCCAAAGTCATGTGCAGAATTTCTACCGGGATAGTTGTATTGGAAGTCCAGATAGTCGCCATTGTCCTTATTATATACGATGTGGTTATTCGTTTTTTTTTTGTCCTACCATAGCTTTATACTTTAGACGAGGTTTTGTGGGGGGGGGGGGGTGATTCTCATTCTTGCCTTGTTGTTCAATTCTGGTGACATGTCTTGTATCTTCTTGTTGTTGCCCACCCCCCCCCCCCCCCCCCCTCTCCCTCTCTCTGGCCCGAATTCACAAAGGAAGTTTGTCGACAAACCTTGGTTTTCGTACGTCATATGACGCGTTTTACGCGTTTTTTACAAACCTGGTTTGTAAAGAACAAAAGGAGGTTTGGCGAAACAAAAGGAGGTTTGAGCTCAAACCTTGGTGTGAGCTCAAACCTTGCTTTGTGAATTCGTGACTTTATGTCTTGTTCTAGATCTCTTTATTCCAGCCTAACTCCCACCCGTCCTCATTCATTGATCTCTTTTTTCCTTCCTACATTTAGCTATCGTGCTGGATGGTTCAAATGTCAAAGGTTACACAGCCTGGTCATTACTAGATAACTTCGAGTGGGGAGCTGGATATAGCGAGCGATTCGGTCTCCATTTCGTCGACTTCAATGACCCCGATCGAAAGCGACTAGCTAAAGGCTCAGTCGATGTCCTATCAGAAATTATCAAAAACAATGGCTTCATTAAAAGCGATGACAAAGGTAATGCTCATGTCGTCACGTCATATGGTCTCGCCTTCACATGCTTCGGGGTTCTTCTCTCTCAGATTCTAAATATTTAATTTCAAAGCATTAATAGTGAAGTGAAGTAAAGTGAAAATACATTTCTGAAACGTTTACGAAGTCTGTGTGATCAGATAGGGAATAAAACAAAACAATTATATGTTATCAGAATTGTAAACCCATTGAATACATATTTGTACATTAAAAAGTGAATTTTTTACACGTGTATGCTTTATGAACGGGTCTTTCTCTTTTCTTTTTTTCTTTTTTCTCTTTCTCTCTCCCCCCCCCCCTCTCCCTCCCCCCCCCCCCTCCTCTCTCTCTCTTTGCTTCACATTCCCATTATTTCTTTCTTTCCCTCCCTCCTTTTCTAAGACCTGAGATTATTCTCCTCTTCCATTCGTATGTTAATGTTGAATAAATATAATGCTAAGCTGATCGTTAATCAGCTAAACTGTAATGAAACGAAAGTCATTATAAGATGTCAACCTGTCCATTTACATTTCTATTAATTTCCAGTATGCTTTGAATCATATTGCCTAAAATGCAAGTCTTGAAAAATGATGTCATAAATAACTTATATTTATCTTGAAAATACAATTTACATGCCTTATGTTCTATTCTTGATTAAGGGTCTTATCACATCCAAAGCCTGTAAAACAACAGTTAATAAAGTAAGGAAACGATGTAAATGCATTCTTAGAGGGGTTATGTTACGTATCGGCAGTGATACTGGGTTGCTTTTAATGAAACTATAACAATAGTGGGTATACATTGAACAAAAACATCATGAAAATAAAGATAAACTTACAAGAATGATACATGGTGTAATAATCTTCCATTTACATTCATTATTTAACAATATTCATTGGATGTTTTTTTTATTTTATTTTTTTTTTTATTAACGTTTCATTTGTGTCCATGTTTATGTTGACCTGAACTCTGTTTAATGTAAATCATTTAATCAAAGATATATGGATGGTAGACGAATCGAGCATTATACAAACTGGACATTAGAACGACTGGCAATAAGACCAAATGAGTGATATACCAAATTGGTAGTCAACTTATCGGAAATTAGACCAAATCTAAATAGACCAGATAGACTGGCTGGGAGTAGACCATATGGGAATAGACCAATTAGGTAGTAGACGAACTAGTTGTAGACTAAACGGTAATAAACCGGATATTTTCCAATGTTATTCGTAAGATTGTTCTGAAGGAAGCTTGGATATCATCACATTCATTAAAAGAACTTTGGTACGAAAAAGTAAACAATACAAACATTTGGATTAGCATGAAATACGCCCATGAAATACGCACGTAATATGCCCCGAAAATGTATTTATATCTTTATTTGAATTTGATGAGTTCTTCATGATTGTAAGGTGTATTTGTATTTATTACATAACCTTCATTCACAATATGTATATTGTGTTTTACAAAACATAGGCATAATAATTGTAATTCACCGTATCACCACTGGATATCAGATTTATCTATCAGAGGAAGAGAAAAGCAAAAAAAAGAAGGAATGAGAAAGGAATAAACACAGAGAGTGACTTAGAGAGAGACACACAGAGAGACAGAGAGAGAGAGAGGGGGGGTCGAGACAAAAAGAAATAACACGAGAGTATGAACATCGACAGAAAAAAAAGAGATAATGAAGGAATTATAGAAAGAGAGACAGAGAGAGAGAGAGAGACAGGGACAGACAGACAGAGAGAGAGAGAGAGAGAGAGAGAGGGGATCGAAAAAAAGAAACAACACGAGAGTAGGGACATCGACAGAAAAAAAGAGAAAATGAAGGAGACCGAAAGAGAAAAAGAAAGAATGAGAGAGAGAGAGAGAGAGAGAGAGAGAGAGAGAGAGAGAGAGAGAGGAGGGAGAGGTGGAGTACGTAACAAAGAAAGTCAGGGAGGGGAGAATAAGAAAAGGAGATTGTAATTAGATCTACAAAGATTTTCAAGTTCTGGCACTGAACTTTGGAACTCACTTCTCACCTCCGAAGTGAGTACTCCTACTCACAGTTCAAGCAGGGATATGAGAATTAAATTTTCACTATTATTATTATTATTATCAATAGCAAATAAAGTAATGAATGGTTTTCATATTGGAGAGATAGAGAGAGGGAAAGTATAGAGGTGTCGTGGTCTGTAAAGGTGTCGATGTCTAGTGGATGTCACCTGACTGTGGATCACATGGTTCGCGGTTCGAGTCCCGCCGGGGCACTAAATGCCCTTTAACACTATATATATATATATATATATATATATATATATCTACATTTTCCACTCTCCACCCAGGCATAATAAATAGGTACTTGGTAGAAATTTATTCTTTAAATACTTTTATCGCCCAAGGGGAGCTGGGGTAAAGCCTGTATAACAATTGAACATCCCCTGAAACGTTTACGTGCGCAATATCAATAGACACGTGGCTATTTTATCATTGTTTAGTTGTCATAAATGAAAAAATTAACCTAGAGTAGAAAATAAGTTACACTCCTTGGACTTCTTCTTTATAACTCGTGATGAATTGTTTCTCTCCTTCCCTGATGAAATTTCCTTTGACAACTGGCAATTTTTAAACTGCGAAATTCAACCGTACCTCCTTAAAAAAGTAAATAAAATAATAAATAAACTAATAATACAATTCTAATGATAATGATAATAACGATAATAACAATAATAACGATAATAAAAACTATCTTAAAAAATTATAATAATAACAATAATAATAATGGATATTTTTATCGCGCACCCACCATGCAATGTTCTCAAGGCGCTCCAATAATACATTTTCTCTGCTAGGTTACCGATTTGGGTGCTTACAGCATTCAAGTAATTTCTTCATTCCGGTGCCCATTTACCACCTGGGCGGAGAGTGACAAAATGTAGAATAATGTGTTGCCAAAGGACACAGGTGCCACAGTGGGACTCGAACCACGAACCATACGATCCACAGTCCGAAGACGTATCCACGTGACTACGTCACCTCTGTGTAGTAGAGTTAGTAGGTTAAACAAAATTATGATGATGATAATAATAATGATAATGATATTAATATAACATTTATAAAGCACCTTTCCTAAAGGTACTATGTCCCTTTCGCAGCCAACCTCAAATTATGTAGAACTTCGCAGGAATTACGAATATGTCATGTATTCAAATTCAAATTCTCAAATTTTTAATTCAATATATTCTTTGAGATCTATTATTCACAATCAAATCATAGTTATCAATGTTGTACAAACTCAATGAATCTTCAGGCTTAAACCATGTTTCTGTTAGTCCTATTATAGTGAAATTATGATGAATGTCATTTAAAAACAGGGAAAATATGTCAAAGTTCTTGACGAGACTTCGACAATTAAAATGAATACAGGAAAAATTCTGAGAAACCTTATCTTTTGCATCTATGAATCCATTGAACTCATCACATGAATAGTAATTTGACTGAGGATGTAGGTCACTGTCCACTCCGTTTAAAGAGTCAAGGTCGTTAAATGTAAACGAATTGGGTCGGCTTAAAATTGAGTCACACATTATATACTATTACAAATGAAAGATAAAAACAAGTACACCAAGTAGACTATAAGCAATATAAAACAGTGCATTAAAAAAAAGAAGAGGAATATCTGAAAATATTCACTGATCAAAGTCCAGTTAGGAGAATAAAACGGACTTATATAGGTAAACGCAATAACAAATAAAGATTAAAAAGTCAGTTGTTCGATCAAGGAAAAAAAGAAAACACATATCAAACTTGCCAGAACTACAGATTTCAGTGTTCGGACGGTATGATGTCGATTCGAAATGAGAAATGAGAAAAATGGCAAAAGGAAAGCACTCAGAGTCATCACAATATGTTCAGACGTACAAGATCTGCTTCAGAAGACACAATTGATGTGTTCAACTTGCCGCCAGACGCTTTCACCTGTACAAAAATTCTACCATCTGCTGTCTAAGAGTGACTGACTGGCTTTTTTTTCTTCTTTGGTAATAACATACATAAAATGAGCTGTAAAAGGGTACATGAGCATTTGTCTACATCAATAACCCACTTCTTGTGATGGCCAAAATTAAACTGATTGAATCTTTGCGCAGCATAAAACGTACGACCATGCGGTATAATGGTCTGAAAATCAGACTATTACTTACTGGCTCTATAGCTCCTAAGTCGATTTGGCAACTAATAGTCGTTATTTTCCCATTTGAAGACGTTTTCAAGCCCCACCTTTTTTTAGGGCAGTTCTAAATTAGTATTATCTTTCAAATGCCGTTGGAATTTAACCTTTTCATTTGTTGGGGTCTGCAAATGGGACACAAAGCGCATAAACAAGAAATACTTACAAACGACGAAAGAGAACATTATCATGCAAAATTGAGTATTAAGTTATATAAAGTGAGAATTAAATTTTTATGTATGAAACCATCTCTAACACTAAGTTTTATAATGACACTATTTCTTTGTTTTTTTAGTATTCTTTCAAAGGATTTCCCCTTCAAGAATTCAACATCAAAGGAGTAGTCTATCCTTATAACTCTTTTACAAATCCGTTTTCTTTGACGATTTTGGAATATAAGCTTGCTGATTTCTTAGCTGTTCGTGGTCGCTCGGGATCATTGAAGTCGACGTAATGCATTCCGAACCGCTCACTGTACCCAGAAGCCCATTCAAAGTTGTCCAAGAGTGACCACGCAGTATAACCTCTGACGTCAACACCGTCTAACTTGATGGCTAGAGAAGTATATAAATGCAAAATAGAAGAAAAAAAACTAGAAAAATTCAAATATATTCAATGCATAATTCCTCAAAAGTTGCATACGAGTATACAAATACAGATTTATCACAGTCGAGTATAGCAGGGTGTTAACCAAAGACTGCTTTGATACATTAGTCTTTTTATTTAAATTTGATATAGATTTACACTTTTTAGTCGATATTTTTGAAAGTATAAGTTAAAAATGGATTGCATCAAGTCATAATGGTGCGCCAACCACTCCATTTCGGATATAACAATTATTCTGTCGCAAAATAAATATACATGTAGGCTTAAGTCATTTAAAGCCCCACTGTCCTACTTGTAGCTACTTGCTCCCTCTATATAGAAAACTTCCCCAATTGGTGCCTGTTGGTCCCCCATGATCCTCTTTTTCTTATGTTAGTTGAGAGCTGAGTTAATGAGATAGCCACCTGTCAGTGACCTCGCTGTGTGGTCTAATCCCTTATGGCCCAGTAGTATTGACGGTCTTTAATGGAAAGGGAAAATCAATCGACCGTTTACTGTTTACCAGCAAATTTAGTAGATACTGTCTAGTGGGTAATAGTTAGTAATATCTTAATAACAATATGTGTCAGTTCATTGTGATTTATAGGACGGACCTATTTACAAAAGTAGAAAAAGACCTATGATTTACCTTTTAAAACTTCATTGACGTAAGCTTGATAAAACTTCTGCCTGAGTTGATCATCAAGCTCAAAGACATCTGATGTAGAAACTCCGTTCTCAGTGATATAGATAGGTGCATGATAACGGTCATTTACCCACTTCAGAAGTCGCCTCAAACCCCATGGAACCACTCTCAACCAGCTAGATCCAGATTTTGGCCACCCCTCATCTTGCCAGGTCTTTACATCCGGGTCATTCCAGTAGCTTGGAGGATGCGACAATCCTTCTGTTGCGTCAGTTGCGTACTGCGTTGTGTATGCGTTGAGACCGAAGAAATCGCTGGTACCTTTGATATATGCTTTCTCCTCTTGACTAAACTCTGGCAGTCGGGATGTACCTAAACCTTGAGCAATGCTTTTCGATGCGATCTTTGTTTTCATGATTTCTGGGTAGTCACCATTGACGAATATTGGATGCGCGAACCAGCCAAATTTGAATTGGAGGAAGGTTTCTGCTGCTTCTACATGTGCTTTGTTTGAACGATCAAACGGTTCAGCGAAATCACCATCGAGAGTAATCCCCGCCTTGCCGCCCTAGATTGAATAACATCAAATTAGGCAAATAATGAGAAGTCGGCTTAAAAGGTATTTCATCCCAACTTACAGATGGTTGCACCTTTATCACGTATGACTTTATAAACTTTGCAGATTATCTTTCGTCACCCACACATTTCAAGTTTTCAAGTTTCATGATTTCAAGTTTTTATTTGTTCCACATTTTACAAAAAAATATAGATATACATATAAAATACAAATTATACAATACATGTAGTATATATTAGCACGTTTCAATAATTCTCAATTCATATTATAGATTAAGTAGAATGTGAGGAACCTCTTAAAATATTGTATATTATATGTTCCTGGTAATATAAACATTATTGTGAAAACCGTAGCAGTAGAGAAAGACGTAATTAAGAGGGGGATTTAAAACACAATGGAATACGAAAATTATACAACATAATGCATTAGCACCAATACCCAGAGTCATCCGGTTAAAACATTCTCTTAGCCCCCCCCCCCCCCCCCCAATGACTTGATAGTTGCCACTTTACCAACCCTCACTTATAATATGTTATAAAGTGACAGTCAACTTATTCTTTAGGAACTTATTTTAATTAACATAATATATATGTTACAAATCGGACCGTTGATACTAAATTTTATTCTATGTCCATTCTAAAACACTTTGATGTACCTATTTAAGCCATTCGAGCTGAAGAGTGATATTTTCAGTGTTGATATTTATTAGGACTGTATGAAATATAGCTAGATACTCTAATTAATCTTTCTAATAGGCCTACATACCTGCAGCTTTCTGTATTTGTCATCATAGGTGTGCCAAGCTTTAGCATGAGCTTTGATGATGTTATGAGACACCCTGTAGACTTTGGTTCCGATCTCTTTGATTCCTGGAGCGAATTCTCCAGTACCATAGCCTTTAACCGATGTGATCCAAGGCTCATTGAAAGTGATCCATAGCGGTACTCGATCACCAAACTTCTTGAAACAGATCTCGGCGTAGTCGTTGAAACGGTCAATGATGTCCTCATTGTCCCACCCACCGAGGTCTTCCAGGGTCTGAGGTGTATCCCAGTGGAAGAGAGTGACCATGGGTATGATGTCGTTGAGTCGGAGTTCATCGATCAGGTTGTTGTAGTAAGCGATGCCGGCTTCGTTGACATTGTTGAGAGTACCGTCAGGGAGAACTCGAGGCCAAGAGATTGAGAAGCGATAATACTTGAGACCCATCGCCTTCATCAAAGCAACATCTTCTTTATACCTAGGAAAAATATTATAATTTTGTACATCATTCAATGAGCGTATTATTACAGCACAACTATTTTCAATAATATTAATGTATATTTTTCAATTTGAACATATACCATCAGCGAGTACTTGAGGGCAAGAGATGAACTATTGGCACTACTCTAGACCATTCTTCGTTATTATTTCAATAGTTGCACCTTACTTTAAAGGTAAAGACCAGTATTGGAAACGCCCCAATTTCAAAAAATGAAATGGAAGCTCTCATTACCAATCATGTGAAAGAATATGTTGTGACTAATACATGATGATAAAAAATTTGCCGGGAAACCGCCTACTAATTCATATATTTGGTAAATTTGTTTCTCTCATGGTCTGTGAGAGATATAGGGTAGTCCCATATACATCTTTCTGTGTATAGTGCTTGTAACTTTACGAAGAATGGGCCAAATTTCTTATCATTTTGATGATTCCAGAACCTTGCAGATGCTAGATGCTAGATGATCAACCTTTTCTGATCGATCCCACAACGTTTCTTTCACAATGCAATCGCATGACCATAACTGGTCTTTACCTTTAAAGAAACGTTCGGTGCCGACATTGATAAATTGTCAATGTCGTGGTCTAGTGGATACGTCTCCGGACTGTGGATCACACGGGTCGCGGTTCAGAATGTTAGATCAACCCCTCATCTTGTCCAAATGAGACAAGTAGAGGACCAAGAAGCGTTTGGCACCCTATCCCTCCATGCAAACACCCACCATAATCACCCATTACTATTTGGTATCCCATTAAAAAGATGTATTGAATTTGGAGCATACATTTTCAACTGCTCTTCAGAATGTCCATACACTTACTTATGGTAGCTATCACAAGCTACATCTCCAGTATCACCATTCTGAATACTGCATTTGGTGTGACTGAAAGTATCCCAGTTACATACTCCCTTCCCATCTTCATTCCAAGCTCCTTCGATCTGATATGATGACGTCGCTGAACTCCAGATGAAACCTTCTGGGAATGTTCCGTAGAGGAAAGCATCTCTCTCGGGGTCGTTGAACACGTCAGGGAACACGTAGTCGTCTTTAGAATCGGTTGTCGACATCGTTCGTCTTACCTCATCAAACTCAGATTCGTATATAACCTTTACGGATACCTCAGTGCTCGTATTGGTTGAAGTGCGAACAAAGTCTTATTTACAATATTCTTTTGTACACGTTGGTTTTGTAATTGATCATCAAGTTTTCGCACAATGAGTTTGGGGGTCACAGGTCAGATTAAAACTAAAGGCAAATATACTTTCAACGTACATCGCAAACATCATAAAAAAGAGATGCCGGAAACTCAATTATAATATCTGATCGGACTTTGATACTCTCCATAGAAAAAAAAACAGCGTATAGCACAGTATAGCTTAGGATATACGACGACTAATAACATACTGTACATAGCGATATGGAATTGTAACAATTTATTTAGCCATGACTTTCTCATCCAACGTTTGAATGAATAGCAAAAATATTTGTGTGAAGTGCCTAGAGGCATTAATTTAGTTTACAGCATAGTGTGGATGTACATACACGTAACCGGACACCTGACCCCTGGACAACCACCCTCGGATAACCACCACTATATAGGATAACCACCCTCTAGGACAACTACCCCTAGGACAACTACCTCCGGACAACTACCCAGCAGGACAACTACCCTAGGATAGTTGTCCGGGGGTAGTTGTCCTAGAGGGTGGTTCGTAGGGGGCAGTTGTCTGGGGGGGGGTAGTTGTCTGGGCGGATCACCTCAATCGTCGCAACGACGAATTAAAGTCTATAGTTGTCTTGCTATTCCTATATTTTTCACTTTCTGACGTGTCTACATCTGTTCTTCAGTCTCTCCTTGCTCTTTCTCTCTCTCTCTCTCTCTCTCTCTCTCTCTCCCTCTTTCTCTCTCTCTCTCTCCCTCTCTCTCTCTCTCTCTCTCTCTCTCTCTCTCAAACACACACGCATTAACGCTCTCCCATTCACATTTTTAAAAAATGTCTATCTATTCATTCCACACGGTGTAAACATTACATTAAACTTTTTTCTTTTCTTTGTATATTTCATCTCTTTACATTCAACTTATTTTGCTGACAGTTAGAAGTGGATTTCTTGAAAATGTGTTATCACACACGCCGCTACGTCACTGCATCAATTGTAATCTTCTTCGACTCAGAGAGAAATAAAACTATTTGAGAAAATACATCGGCTTAAAACTTACCGAGGTAAATATTTATTAATCTTTCAAAACGTCAACATCGGTTTCCCCATTAACCCCTTCAAAACGACAAAGATGATTTTGGTCTCCATTGTATGAACTCTTCAATTCTCTAATTTCAAAATATTTACGAAATCTCATCAATTTTCAGTATAATGGGAAACTGATACAAATAACAGCTTCCTGTATCTGTTGTAGTTTATATTATACAAGTAAAATCTCAGTATCACCATCTATCTTCAATATTTGTTATCATTACTTTACTCATTATTGATCCTACAAAACCTTTTTGAGAAAAAGCATACAAGCTGGTTCAATTTTGTTCCTTTCGTAAATTTTTGTTTGTTTTCTTCTTCTTCTTTATTCAAAAATATCCCAGGTCAATGCATTTATAATTAAGCTGTCTTGGCAAGAGAACGTAATCATATTATTTGTGAAGAAAATAATTATGAAAGAGATTATTTTTCCAACGGCGGAGACATTTCATGATCATATTTGTCGAAAATGCATCACAACAATTATATATTTTTTTGTATTTGATGTGAAATGCATCGTATTTCTTTCAATTTAATTTAGAGATCACATTTATAAGTGTTTTACTTCAGAACGATAATAAAAGATTAAGGACATAATGAATAGTTTATTTAAAATAATAATCATTAATACAACAACAGTTTTATCGTATGTACAATACGTAGCATATTTGTGATAAACTGTATACTAACACATCCAACAGCTATAAGATTACCTTAGGTAAAATAGTTTTGACGATAAATATTTACACTATGTCAAATCACTTGACGTTTACATTCAAAATGGTATTACATCGCAGCCTAGCAAACGGGTTTAATTCTACACAATGTCACTTCTCAAGAGAGTGTCAACCGATATTAAAGCAGCTATTCTTATGTGTCTACATGTTAAACAAAATTGATCCGCAAATTGAATGGGTTATGAAAGTTAAATATTCTTCGCATTATGGAAATTTATTTATTTCTTCAATAATAGGTTAATGACTAGATTTTTAGAACATTTTAGTGATTACGTGAACTAACAATATCAAATATCCATTGCAGTGAATCCATTGCCAAGGCCATGACTTAAATATTTTCAATCAATGTTTATTCTTAGTAAAGTACAGAAAAGTGTAATGAACGATAAATGTATTCGTTCATAACTTTATAAAAGAGTACAAATAAGCAGAACTATAAACTATAAGCACAACGCATGCACGCTCCAAGATCAACAACACATAGACACAGTCACAATTTGGCACACACATACAAAATACACAGACACTTCATTGCATAAATTCAGTTGCCTTGCTTTACGTTACTTTTAGTCTTACATACACCATAAATAGTCAAACAAATAGAATCACGACAATCAATATTATCTTGATCGACTTGGAAGTCACAGAGCATTTAATTTCTTACTATTTAGTTTTTTTAATAAAATCAACCAATTTTTTTTTAAAACAGCGTGTCAACTGACCATTGAGTTTGTAATATTGCTCACTGTATAGACTTAGGAAAGCGAAATAATCACTAAGGCCATGCATAATCATTCTGTACATAAGTTAAAATACACCATTAGTATTTGAATATAATAAATCCAAGTGAAGAACAATAATATGACACTCGTCACTTGTTATGACCCGAGCGAGAAAATAAGAGGCATATACAATGCTGTCCAGTAAATTAGTCATGAAATCAATCACGCTTTCAAGTCAGTCAAAATCTCATACTTAATAGTATTTCGAAATTAACGCTGTGTCATTTGCACGGCTTTATAATGACCCCCACTTTGACTTAAACACATCCTTCTGGTACACGAAGTGCCTCCTCCTCCTCCTCCTCCTCCTGGTTTAGTCTTCTCTTTACTCCTTCTAAAGATGTGTTTTCATCGGTGAGAACTGTACGATTTTTAGACATCTGGCTATCGCTATCATCTCTCTGTCATCTCAAAGTTTATTCGTCGAATCAATCACCAACTTTCTCATTTCCAAGATATCTTCCCTGAATATGCAGCTCTGTATCTCGATGACCCTTTTATCACTGTCTTAGCACACACCTGCATTGTTTTTCCTTTTTCAATAATCGTCTTTTTTTTTAGCGATGAACTCCGATGATGAATACAATTCTTGGTGTTAAGGAAGGGATCAGCAGTTCGTATCTCTTTAACATTCTGATTGGGAGTATCGATTGCTTCTTAGTAATCTGTAATGGGAGTATAATGTTCAATAAAATCTAGTTAGCACGTTAAAGAATGTAAATGAGATTTAACTCCTTACAAAAATTAGATGTGTCACAATTTTTTTTAAGACGGGCTGGTAATAACAATTCCAATTGACCTAATATTTGGATGATCTCCTTTATTGTTCGAGAACTAAATGACAAAAATATTAAAACTCTAAAGATATTGCATTTATTTGCTCTTAATTTCAGTAATTAAAATAATATTGACGGATATCAGGCACGAGGGTTGTATAATGATTTTCTCTGACGTAAACCATCCACATGGCAGCCTGTACATTTTCCCATTGAACCCAAAGTGGCGTGTATATTCACCTGATAGGCATCTATATTCCATGTCGGAGAAGAAGACCATCTCCTGAGAGAAGCAATATAGTCCCAATCGTCCTCCGCGTAACGTTGAGTCGTAGAGGGGGCCAGAGTCTGCCAATACATTACTACCTTCCCACGCTGTCACCCTGAAAACAAAAGGAAAATGATTGATCAAGTTAAAATAAAAAAGAAAGGAAGCAAAGCAATAAAGAGAGCCACCAATCCACATGATTCTTGATGGAAAGCACACAATCACGGTAAGAGTGCCTCATGAGCCACTCTCTTTATAGTAATGCTCTGATCACGCTGATTGATGATAAATCCTACCAAGTTTGAAAGTCAAACCTTCCCTCAACAAAGACTGAGGGCGCTACATTCTTATTAACGACCAGATTATTACTAATTACGTCGGAAATGTCAAGTCGGGTCACATCACTGACAAAGGCTGCAGCTGAAAGGCTGGAAATTTCCGAGGGAAGATTTCGTATCGAGATCAAAAGTTTAACTTTCAAACATACGATTAACAGTACCACTGTTTTAAATATAATGACGTTAACATAATCTCCTGATACCCCTTGTAATACACCTGTCGCCATAATATATTATTATTTTAACATTATTATTTTCATATATTACGCTCAAGAGAAACTGTGTCTCTGCCATAGAGATATATACTACTAACACGTATTAATATATATCTCTATGGTCTCTGCTTATCTTTTGTTGAATCATTGCAGTCGTTTAATAGAGAAGTACGCCATCTACTGACGGTGTCTCGTTTCTTTTTAGTTGAAAAGATGGTGACGATGTCAGACACATGAATGTATGTATGAATATGTAACTTGGTAATTTGCATTTTAAAACTCTTAGCGCAACATGATAAGAAAGTAGTTAAGGCTTATCTATTGTGATGATTTCATGAAAATACAAACAGTTATCTACTTTTCCATTAATTTCATATGTTTTCCTTTTTTTGTTAGGTGTGTGGTTCGGCGTTGGATTGGAGAAAAAATAGGGGAAAAAAAAAAAGTGAACATGAACTTCCTTTTTCTCGTCCACACTCCGATTTTCGTTCAATTATATTTTGTAGTAGACCTATACTAATCTAAAATAACTCTATATGCCATCAGACAAGGATATCAACAGGACGTTAGTCTTCAGTCATTGGTAGCAGGACGCCTGTCCCTATTGCACAAGAAATTATGACGCCGGAAATAAAGTTATTTTAGAGCCAGTTGTAGCCATTTCTTTCAATCTAGTATTTCATAGTCCGATGCCGGTATTTTCATGTCAAACAGTCATTGCATTCATGGCGCTCGAGCGTTACGCTAGGCATGTCTCCATGTCTTTTCAACAATAGTCACTCTAGGCTCTTCCTGTCCTACATAAAGCTATTGTCTGCGGGAGATTCTTCAAACAACAACCTTCAGGCATGGATGACAGGAAGGGGAGAGGAAGGGGGGAGGAAGGGGGTTGTTCCGCTCTATGACAAACAGTGACAATTGACGAGGATTTTGACGAGTTTTTAACGCTACAATCATACTGAGCCAGACATGAATGAAAGATGTTAGTGATACAACTCAGTAAACCCGAAATCTAATAATAAATTCATCCCTTTGGGTTTCACCCTCAATTTAAGAAATGTTATGTGATACCCTTCTTTTTGCTTTTTTATTCCAAATCATGTCTGCATTTCTTTTGACATATAGTATTTTTTCTCGACATTAGTTCAGTTACCTTCATCACTGTCGAAGGGACATTTTTGGTACTGCTTTAGAGTGTTTTGCAGGAGCTCATAACAGAGAGAGGGAGTGAGAGATATATCGAGACAAACTTTGTAAAGCTGAATGGAGACCTTCCTGTGCGGAGAGTTCACCAACATAACCAAAGGATGGATACAAATATACTTTTCTCATTCTAGACTAATGTCTACTTACTGCATAAATCCATCAATGGGTCTGTGTTGGACTGTCCATCTGTAAGCTGTGAAATCTTTCCACCCAATCTTGTTTGGATCGCTCCAAATCAACTTCACCTGTAATAAGTAAAAACACAAATGAATATAAATACATCATGAAAGCATCTATCAAGTACGTGAATGTTTAATTACATGAACGAAGATGGATGAAAGAAAAGAAAACGTTTTATCAGTGGTAAGTTAACACCATCTGAGGAACCTAGTACTGATGTCAAATGACATTTGGTCCAGATCTTCTAATACTATTAAAAACCAATCTTCCTTCCGATGACTGCGTGGTCGCTTTTAAATTGATCTGATCGGAAAGCCTTTAAAGAACCCAATGGCGAGAGGGAAATCTTTAACACCCTAACTCCTACATGAGGATTAGATTGGACACCCTATGCATCCCCTATGTATTGGCTTGGACCCCTCCTTGGCCGGCACCCCTTCTACCATCCTGGTTACCCATAGCGTCCGGCTACCAACAAACCCACTGGTTGGCAGGTTGGTTTCTAAGGGGGCTCCCTTCCCCCTCATCCACTCCTCATGTGAGCTAAGGTCAATCTCAGCCAAGGAAGTTCCTCATTTGATACGCCTAGTTTGCCCCAGTTTGCCCCTCTATCAATTATCATTTAACTCTTTTAGGACAGTTTATTTAGACTGTGAATTTGGGACGTGCTGCCCATTTCATTCACTCACACGCTGTCATCTCTTAAAGATAAAACAAATAAAAGATGGTAGATCAGATAACTCGATCGATGAAATCAAACAATCGATAATTAGATCATATTTATTGAAAGGTTATGTTTTGAGCAGTTCTTTTTATTAAACGTTGGACCGTTACGATGTAGTTTAGACACTCATCGTATTTCAATACAAATATTTCAATACAAATATCTGAACATAACAGAATAATTATCAAATTATCTACGTGATACGGCGTAGAGGTCACAACAAGAGATATTCATATTCCTATCGTTATTTAGGTGAGTGACACGATGCCTCAAATTATCCAAAAACCCTCATTTTTGCAACATACAATGACGTATCGATAATTCAAGGGCCTAAATAATGCTTTGGCAAATACATTCAGGTTTATGAACTTAAATTTTGCCCCAAATATAAAAAGAATTCCCAAGGTAGCTTTATTTTCTTTTTTAAGACCACCGCGGAAATTAAGTTAGGATAAAGTTTCAAGATCGTTCGCAAATGTTTCGATTTCCGATCAGATTTCTCGGATGGAAGGCAAAGAGGTTTGAAGGATGGGTTTAAAGGGTGAAGAGATTTTCTAGGGTGACACGACAAATATTGGACAAAATGACTCAGGCTCTAGAGAATTTTATTTCGACTTCCGGTTTGGCTTCAAAAAGAAAAGGAAGGAATATTGACCTTGGAATACTGCCACCTTCCCACCTTAAAAGATGGACAATTAAATCTAGAACTTTCTTCGAGATTTCTTTTTTTTTGGGGGGGAAGGGGCATAAAATCAGTATTATTATCAGTAAGCATTACAAATAAACAACCTGTGTTAAAGACAACACATATTATGGCTAAGTTAATAAAACAATTAATATACCTGGTTTTCTGTATCTCCAGTGTGCCACATAGCGTTTCTCAGGTATTCTCCTGGGCCAGTTGTTGAGTTAATCAGCTGAAAATTACATAAGAACAAATTGATTGTCATTCATTCATAAATTTCTTCACAAAACAAAATGTACATACTGAAGCTTTGCTCACAACATAATAATCATTAAATTATTGATGATAGCAATGAAAAACTAGGGTCGGGTGTTACACCTCATCAGTAGTGGGGAATTTACTTTGCTCACCGCTACCATCACCAACAGTAGAGATTGGCGATTGTCACTTTGAGATTGGTTGGAGGTCTTGCGATCATTTCAAATAAGCCGGACCAACGATTCTCCAAGCATTCTGTATATATCGAATAAAGAATTAAATGACTTCTGAAAATGAGTTGACATTTACCTTGAGTTGAAGACCAGCAGTAGCTTCAGCGGGGCTAGGGTCAGGTTGCCAGTATTTCTGCGTAACCTGCTTCCACATGACAGCATAGAATCGATGATTGGATTGGTAGCCAAAGATGAACCCAGCATAATCATCATCTTTCGCTGTGTTCACATAGAATGTACCACTAAACTCTACGCTCTCGAACTCGTCATAGCCTGGGGTAATGAATAGAGTCATGTACATCATTTTTAAGGCTAAATAAATCATTCATAAATAACTCACAAATTCATCATTATAATACACGTCAAAGGGGTCTTATTCATCAGCCTTTTGCAAGAACAAATATCACTCTGACCTCTTTCCATATCTCTTGCATCAAAGAATGGAACAGTTTGCCTGATGATATAAAATATAGTACAACTCTTTCTAGGTTTAGAAGGTTATCTAAAACGTATCTACTTGGAAGACTGACATAATTCTACTTTGTATCTTAATAATTTCTCATTCTCAAATGCTTATAGACCACTAAGGACTGTGTGTATGTGTGTGTGTGTGTGTGCGTGTGTGCGCGCGTGTGTGTGAATATTTGTTTGTGTTCTATATTCTGTAGCTTAGTTTGTTTCCATCCCTTGTATAAACATTATATTCTTTTTATTCACCTTGCCATATCGTTAATGTATGTATTTTGTTGACTATAGGGCCCCGCTCACAAGCTTAGCTTCTACAGGGGTCCTAAAACCATTCACTTAATGATGTACTATTACCAGTCTCTTTTTCATGTAAAAGATTATATCATGTTTTGTGTGGTTTTGAATAAATGAACTTGAACTTGAACTTGAACTTGAATATGAATTCCGAGTTTTAAACGACATTAAGTCGGATCTGTATAGATTATCGTCCAAATAGGTTGCAAAAATGCTCGCTTAAACATTGGAGTTTATATGAAAAGATGTATGTAAGCAAACGGCGAAATAAAAATTACAGATGTCTGAAACTAGCACTATATCAATCTTAGTAGTTTGCGTGAAGTTCACTGACTTTTCACCAATGTTTAGTTTGATGACCTGTTAGTTATTTCAGGTGTTGGGCCATCTGGAATTGTTGTTCGACTGTAAATCCTGTTTTTAATTTGACTTTCAGGAAACCACAAAGAAAATCGACCAAACCATATCGATCGGATGTTTACATGGTCAGTTTGTAACAAAGATCGTTATCACATCCCGATTATAATGTCACTTTTCTTACATCTCTATTTCGAATATCTTTTTATTGTAGCTGTGCCAAAATAGCCAATTGGCCGCGTTTCCCTTTCTCCACGTTTCTCGCGTTATTAAAGCCTGGTTGACAGGCAATGAGCTAAGGTTTGAAATCTGGTTCATATTTGTATGGAACTCTGATGCTGAGGGAATGAATCAATGACTTTTGAGAATGTGAGTCTCTTTCGAAGATGATGAAGATAGAAATCGTTAGCATAGCTCGATTAGATATATGTATAATTATGACATGAGAGATATTAATTTTGATACAATAACACAGCGCTAGAGGAAGGTTATAGGGAGAAGGAGGAGGGGATAATGGAAGTAAAATGATGAGGGATGGAGGGGGCATCTGGAAGATGAGAAGTATTATTTTGTGGGGGTGGTTATTTTACCTGACTGCTAAGAAAGCATGAATGCTTGTTAGTAAGCAACCAGACGGCCAACGGCTTCAGGTCTTCTCCAAGGGACCTGGTAATGATGAGTAATGTCTTACCAAAGGCCACTAGCGCATCGACTTGGTTTCGAACCCGGGTCACCGGATTACGAGACCAAAAGAAGGGTTTCTCCAGGAGAAAGAAGATGATGATAGAAAGGGAATGAGTGAAGGAGAAAGAAGAGAATATGATGAGAATGAGACTAACCGACAGCTAATCCTGGATCACTGTTGATAGTCTGCACCAGCTCCAGACCATGATTCCTAACCATCCAGTTAGGCTCGAGTTGAGATGCTCCTGATGGATCCATAGGTACCATCTGGAATGCTGAGAGATCTGTTCTTTGGATCATACTATTCTCAGGACAAGCATCCATGATATCAGCTACACCATCACCATCAAAGTCAGATTCACACGCATCACCGCGTCCATTCTCTGTAGGAGAAATACAGGAACATGTCTTAAATTAAACGATCTTGTTCCCTGTTACTTATGTTGATTTTGGTATTTGCAGCGGAATGATAGCTTCTAATGCTTCACTTAAAATAATGAGAACATTTTTTAAAGCGGGGAATATTTCCAAATCAGAGTTTCGGGAACGAGGCACTACATGGGTTCTTGAATGTGGCTGCCTTGTGGTTTTTAGTAACAGCTATTCAAATTCTTTGAACAATATCAACAGCAAAGCCAACAATATCCTTCGTTACCGTCTAGGATAATAAAATTCTATTATTGGAGATATCGGAAATAATTACTAAAATAGAACAACAGTCATTGCTTGGCCGGCTACTAAGACGTCTAGCAGTTGTGAGCTTCAATAAAAATCATTCACATCATCAGCAATTGAAGAAAACGTTCCAACATTTATCTTTAGTATGGAACTATGTTCACTCTTGTTAGGGTAGAGACTCTATTTCACTACATTAACGTGGTTAAGAATGGAATCTACTTCATCTTGTATGATCATATCAATCAAATTCTCGTTGTAATAGAAGTGTTAAAACAGTCAATAACTTACCATCGGTATCGTTCTGACTAGGATTAAAAACCAGACGACAGTTATCATCGGCATCGGTCACGCCATCGTTATCGTCATCCGGATCACACGCATCACCTGAGGGAAATATAAATTAGGAATCAAATATTAACCCTCCGAAGAAAACCAGATAGAAATTTTAAAACTCAATTTATTTTTCAAACGGAATCTTACTTTGTCTAAACAATTACAATCATTAATCAAAACAGATATTAGAAACGAATCAGTGATACTCTCTTTCGAACGACCGCATATGTTACGTATATAGAAACATTAAATAAGGGGAAATGAAGAAGGATATGTTGAAAGAAAATTTTGTACGATATGTTATAATCTGAAGGAACAAGATCATGGTTACAAGTTCCCCTTGGCGACAAGGAACTATCCCAAACTTAGGTTCTTCACTCGAGATAGAGAGCTCAGTATATGTGATGGAATAACCTGGAATCTAGCCAAAGTGTTTTCCTCTTTTTTAAACGTCGGAAAGAAGTTGAAATTGCCCAAATTTCCTCCCGAGTTTCAACAAGATATGTTGCAAGATAAGGTCAATATCTCCACGCGATTGGACGCTGAGCAGTAATGCAATCTACGAGGAAATAGGTAAAGAAAATTCTCCTTGAGATCGACGTTTTGAAAAGAGCGTCTGGAGGATCATTCACATCTAATTATTGAATGAATAACAGGAAAACTTGAATTGTAAAATTGGACCGATCTATATCACTCATTCTCTAAAATGTTTAAAGAATGTGTTTGGTTGAAGTTAGTACATGGTGATACACAGTTCAGGTTTATTTTGGTACCTTTTCTGATATCTCTTTCTCAAGGCTCTACAAAATAAAGTAATTATATCTATATCAACTCTTCAATAGGTCACATTGTTTCATCAAAATTCCATTTGAAAAAAAGATCTTGTCACACAAATATCATGAAGATGTCATTTAATGCAAGGCGATTGATAAGTTTTGCATATCCTGCGTTGTGTATTTTTGGGGGAGCCTGAGGGATTATGTGAGCATGAGTATAGTGAATGAATGACGATACTCAAGTTAATGCAATTGGCTCTTTATCTAAATATATAGTGTCTTTTAAGGTGGTGTAGTAAATATAGGTGTCACATAATTAAGTGCTATTGCTGCAAATTGTTGTCTTATCTAACTGTGTACTTACTCACAGTCAGTGAGCATTTGAAGCCTAATGAACATTAGTTGAATTCATTATTGCGTCCAGCATGGCGATGGTGAATGTTATGATTCACATCCTACAACCCGTTCTGTCATGAAGCAAAACCTGAAAGGAAACCCCCTATTTGGTGTCCAAACTGTCACTTCGATAGTAACGCGCATGCATGCTCTAGAGTTTTCTATATTAACTCATACCTCCTCAGTATCACCCATGTTACAAGTCTAATAGCAGACTATGATTTAAACTTTACACCAACAATTTCAGACCAACAATTTGAAGAAGGAGAAGAACAAAAAAACCAAGCTGATGGTGGGAACTTTGACTGCATAAGCAAACCCGATCTTTATTAGTAACTCTAATAAAACCCTGAAACCGTGGAATCAATCAAGACGGTATCCCTAACATAATGATCTTACCGATGCCATCATTATCATGATCCTTCTGACTAGCATTAGGGATGTCGGGACAGTTATCTAGATTATCTTGATGACCGTCACCATCCACGTCTTCATCCGTGTCACATTCATCGCCAACGTTATCATCATCGGTATCGATCTGTACAAAGTAAGAGCAAACATATTTAGATGATTGTAATGTAGCTTTAAGATGTGTATTTAAAGAAATAAATTATGTAGAACTAGGCATGACCGTATAGGTTTACACAAATGCTGATGTATATTTCATTCTGCAATCTTGAGTTGGATAATCATGATTTCTGCTGTCCATACGTATGATATATCAGATCATTCTAAGAAAGTGGAATGTCACCTGACACACAGAGAGAACATTAATATATCCCTCTCATGGTAGCACATATCACGCCGTGTTGACACGCATCTTTGAGATACAACGCACACTGTATGGACAGCAAACTCGGTTCAAAATAATGACACATACTTTGATACATGAAAACAGATCTTAATGTGAACACCCTCAGACAATATGGATTAAGACACGTTACCTGTAGAGGGTTGAAGTCGAATGGACAGTTATCACAGAGGTCACCCAGACCATCATGATCACTGTCATCCTGGTTAGCGTTGGCGTGTTTCGGGCAGTTATCTATAAAGTTGTCGTGTCCTGCATAAATTATAAAACAATAATTTGAAGGTCGTTAATTTGAGCAATCTAATTATTGAGTTTAAAACTTTTATTTTTTTTTGCTAACCATGATTTGGAGAAAAAAGTCTTATTTTCCTTAATAACACTGTAATAACCAGGTTTAATTTAGGGCAAAAACTTTGGTTGAGGTCAGTGAAGCTACACACATCAGATATATACCATTTTTATTTCGTACCATTGTAATACTCGGGGCAAAAGGAAAGAGAAGTAGAAAATACAAGTTTTCAACCTAATTTTCGGTTTTCGGTAATGTAACCTACACTTTCAGTGACACGCCATATAGAGGACATCTCAATTTTGGTTGCTAGTGATCACAAACCCTCTAAAGATTAATTGTAAATGCAAGCTAAACCTAATCTGGTAATCACTGTTCATATGATAAATTTAAGAACATATCTCCAATTTGGCCTTATGGGGATTTTTCGAGAGCAAAATAGTAACTATTTTACCGTCATTATCGATGTCGTCATCGCATTCGTCACCGAACTCATCGCCATCGACGTTCTCTTGCCTTGGATTGGAGTGAGTAGGACAGTTATCACACTCATCACCAACCTTGTCACGATCTCGATCTCCTTGCCATCGGTTGGGAGTAAACTGACAGTTATCCTACCAAGAAAAATAAACATAATCTCATATTTTATCTCTTTTTAGCATAATACGTTTATTTTGATGTTATCAAAATAAACCCAATTGTAATAGAATGCAATAGTGTAGGCCGGAAATATGCGGCAAGCCGGTGACTACACACGATAGCGCGCCTCTTTTGTAAAATGATTTTGAGGTCTATAACCGAATGTTTCCCAGCAGGTCGGCAAATATCAAACATAGGCGCATCTCTTTGTAACCTACATTGAGGTCACAAAGCCGAATCTTTACCACGCGTGTTTTGTAAATATCAATGATAGGCGCGCTTTTGTAATACATATCGGGGTCGCAAGGCAAGTGTTTCCCACGACGTGTATTTTTACTAATCAATGGGTCATTCTCAGCTAATACTTCGTTGAGTTGGTCGTGTTTTATTGGACTCAGAATTATACATGCTAATTGTACACAGGTTGTCGCTGTTGAACTGACTGCACCGGTTAGTTTCTATTATCACTGGGTTTCACACCAATACGCTGGATATTCGGAATTGAACAGAGAGACAGCTACACGGGATATAAGGATTAAACGGTGGAAAAGTTACACTGGATATCTGGAATTAAACAGAGGAAGAGTTACACTGGATAATTGGATCTAAAAAGAGAAAATGTTACACTAAATATTTGGAATTGAACAGAGGAGTAATTGTATTGGATAGCTGGAATTAAATATTGGAGGAAGTTACATCGGAGCTCGGATTGCGGCATAGTCGTCTAACTAGCTCGTCTGTATTGTGTGGACGACAAGATGGGGAAGTCTAAGGCGTCTACGGGACGAAAGGGCAAAGGAAAGCGGAGAGAGCCAGCGCTTCAAAACAGTGACCCGATCAGGGGGACAACGCCAGCTCCACATTCTCGAGTGACGAGACGCGGCTCGAGGAGTAACCCAGCCGCTTCGGCAGGGCGGGAGCGCCAAGGAGACCAGACTCCGACGGGGGGGCCAACATCACAGAATCCCTAGAAACGGCGAATCAACCGTCTATTGTCCATCCTCCACCCGGTGAGTTACCTAGCCACAGGCTAGTCTCATCTTCTAATTCCGCAAACATATCATTCCCTAAGGAGATGGGGGAGATGGCGGAGTGAGACATATAAACTTTATGTCCGTTAATAGGTTGGACAAGGTCGGGTTGATTGTAGGCAAAGGAGATAGGGGCCTACATATAAGGTGTGGATATAATTATGGAGAGTTAGTACGATTGCTTACTGTGTTTTCAATAATTTTAACCAGCTCAGTGGGATGTTATTCATTTTCATATAACCACGCACTTATTTGGGGTTAGTCGTATTTCGACAAGTGATGTTGTACAATATTTAGTATGTTAAACAAGTTCGGTACGATACTAGAAATGCAATCGTGTCAGAACGATGTGCGTGCAATGACGCCTTGTTTTTACATGTCAAACGAAAGAGCATCTCTCGGACTAGTTACGCAGAGTATGAAGTAGCATTTAATGTCATGCTTGACCGATTTTTAAAAAAAAGTCCGGCTTCTTGATGCTCTGCACTTGGCCACTTAGAATGTGCCTGTAAAATTTCAAGAAAAATAAAGATCGTTCTGGGGTCCAGAAGCGTGAACCCGATTTGCCCCATAGACAATGCGTGTAATGCATTGGCGGAAAACGTACAGGATCTGTATTATGACCGGACTTTAATTGTTTGTTTTTTCTCTCTCTTTATGTCACTTTATCTGACGTATTTGGTATCATGGGAAAGAGAATTTCATGGTTGTTATTGTAAACAATTTTTTTTTTTGTTCTATGGTAATCCTATCGAAACACGTGATGTAAAATAGATTTATAGGACAAAATTGCGTCTTCAATGACCCCCTTGACCAATTTTAAAAATCCGGCCAAGAGGTGCCCTGCGTATTGCAACTCGGAATGTCACTGCAAAATTTCAAGGAAAAAGAGGGACGTTTAGGGGGTGAAAAGCAGTCTGAAAAAATGACGCCATAGCCGATACGTGTTATATTATTGGGCGGAAACTCGGCGGAATTCGTATAATGACCCTTGTTCAAATGTGATTTACTCAAAATTTTCTGTGTGAACATATACCATACTTGGTATCATTCGAAAGGGCACTTCATTGCGGTCAGTTTGACACCGTTGTCATCTGCGCGCAGTGTACTGCACGCATTAAAGGCGCTATTACGTAACGCATAGTAAATTCATCATTTTTGGCGATAACTTTGCGCTGACGTATTCGAATTTTACCAAACTTGGCAGGCAGTTGTCACGTATATGGATACATGTGTCTGCCAAGTTTCATTGATGTAGGTATAAAGATCGTTATTTTAGAGTAAGTTGAAGTTATTTCGGAATTTTCTCGAAAATGGCGAATTTGGAAGGCAATTTTTCTCAAATTTGGTCAGTGTTAGGGTATATAATTTTGTATATGGCTGGAAAGGACATATCTTCAAGTATCTAAATCCAAAAAAGGGTACGGGTTTGCCAAGCCATTATGAAGATACGGCCACAGAGAGAAAGCCAATTCCTAAAACTTGAGAGGGCGCTATTTATGTTGTGCAAAGCCATTGGAGCGTGAAATTTGGCACGGCTATGTGCAATTATGAGATAAAGATACTGTGAGATTTAAAAACAAAACGGAATTTATATGAGAAAGTTATGGCAGTTTTAGATTGTTTAGGGGTCCATTTTTCAAGAACTTGAGATTTATTGGAGGAGTCGGATTTGAAATTCGAGTATGAAGATGGCATTGTGAAGGTCAAGTCATCCGTCGCAGATGAAAGGACATCTCTCAGACTATCTAGAGGAATTTGTTAAAAGTTTGTAGGATCTAGGATAGTGGGGATGGGAAGGAAGATATAACGGCCTTAAAATGGACCAGAAACGGACAAAATGGCGCCTGGACGGTCATGCATGGGTGATTTCCAAAATCGAAGAAAGTAGTGACCTTGATGAGATGTTAGAGACTATGCCTATGAAATTTGAAAGGAAAAAGACATGAGGAAAGCACCTAACTAGGAATCACAAACACTACGTGCAAAACGAATGCGATTTCCTGACGATAAGGATAAGGGAAAGGAGAATATTAATGGGGCAGAATGTGAGCGAAAACAAGGCAATGACGAAGGTCGTCATTGCGATAATATGCTATATAGAATTGAATTTGCTTCGCTTATGTAATTATGTTAGAAACCTTTGGTTCTATAAGCCCATAAAAGGTACGCCATACTCGGAAGGAATTTGGTTTTTATCTTTCTCCAAATAGGTGCCCAGGCTCACCGGGTTTGGGTGTGCGGAGACATTCTCGTGAGGCGAGCTGGTGAGCGGGCGTTTACCAGAGGCTGTCGAGACCTGGGAATCGCTGGTTGTGAGGTGGCATGGCACGGGCGAGGAGGGGCGTCGCTATACGCGATTTCCCGCGTCAATTACAGGGCCAAGTGAGGTTCGGTCCTTCTCCATCGGAGCTAATCATCCATGCGGGCTCGAACGACTTGGGGCGTTATTTTGCAAAGGACTGTCGACAAGCGGTGGATGAAGCACTGAATACAGCGCGGTCATTGTTGCCGCAATGCTACATTTCATTTTCAAGCATCTTACTCGCCTGTATTACTATGGTCATGATGTACACGTCACGTCGCAGGTCGTCATCAATGATGTGCGGAAAGGTGTCAACAAGTATGCCAGACGGAGGGTCCGGCGTATGTGTAGTGGATCATTCATAGGCCACAATTTCAATGTCCAAGAACACTGGTATTTTCACAGAGATGGCGTGCATCTGTCTGATGAGGGATGTGATCTTCTCATGGAGAACTTTGCGTCAGCGGTTCGATTTGCTCTTAATCTTTGAAACTTTATTTTGTGCATGCCCTTTGTTTTATTGCGGGCAATCAGGAGTATATTGAAATTTAAAGAGTAGATTACGATTTAAAATGGTTTATTGACAGGCTGACAAAATGTAGGTCAAGAGGTTGTTTACATTTTTGAGGGAAATTCACGCGCTAGGAAATGTAATACTTTGTATTACATTGGAAGGAAATGTACAAGCGTATGTACGCTTATCAAGCAAGCGCGGAAAATACCGCCAGCAAATTACAAATAGCACGAAGGGGCTTTCATTCTAGTTATGGCTTTCATTTGAATGGACAAGAAGAAAAATGTACGGAGTCTGAAACATTCCCACCACCTCCCCGTTATCTCCACCAATAAAAGTATTTTTAGTATATTAGTGGCATAAATTAAATATTGCTTGGTGGTTCGAAGTAGCCAAGGTATACGTATTAGTACGGAAAGGATTTAGGGTTTCAGGTATGAAAGGTGCGGATAGGGTTTATGTAATAAATTGGTCAGTGATTTATGAAGTTAATGCAGAGCCGGGGGCATTTGGCCTGGTCGCACATCAAGCGTCGTGCACAAAGACAGTGGGCCGTAGGGGAATTTTCCCATTGGGTTTCGCCCCTACCCGGTTTTGTATGGGTAAATCACTAATCACATGGTACTGATAAGTTTATTGATCAATAATTGTCATCCAATAATTTTCGACCCCACTCAATTTTTACATGCGAGGGGGTTGCCAATGTATATTCAGTCGAATTTGTTCGCATGTCAATTCTTAGTTTTCCGGCCCCCATTCGATTTGAATGCGGGGGGACCTAGTTGTACCTACACATTTTCAAACTCAGGGTGTCACGCTTTAATCTTAGGCATCATCCGATCTTACAGGCGGAGAGGCTGGTATATATATACATCTATTTTCTATAACTTTAGGCATCACTCGATTTTATAGGCGGGGGGCTGATATAATGACTTAATGTATATAAGTTTAGCCTTGGCATCACTCGATTTCATAGACGGGGGGCCTAGCATTTGTAAGCATTTTTTATGATTCAATATATCTGTGTTATTTTGTTATGACACCCAGAAAATCAAAATGTGCAAAATAAGCGTCCATCTCAAAATGTTAATAGAGCCACAAAAATAACGCAAAGTTGATTGTTTGTTATTTTGTTAGCCGTGCATAAATTTTGCCACATGCCCAGGTTCTATTTCGCTAGGCAAAAAAAAAAAAAAAAAAAAAAATAATTGGGTTGTTGGGATTTGGAGTTTGTTCTTTTGTTTCGTTCCTGAACTATAATCATTTCCAGTATGCCTCAAGGAGAGGAATGGCCAAGAGCGCCATGAACCGACGGTGGGGACAGGCTGCGATTACCAGATCTTGTGTAGGGAACCAATGGCCCAGGAAACTGGGCCTGCTGGGTAGAGCACCGTCTTCCCAGCTGGTCACGTGACCCGTGACCCTCGGGTTCCCATATTTGTGGAATCGCAGTCTGTCGCCTTCCGCCATTGCAAACAAATAATTATGGAAATGGTTTTATATGATTTCATATCTATGTTATGTAATAATATGTCAAGTTGGAAATATGCTACCGCAAAAACTCGAACGGAAATATGTAAATGGTTTTTGTATGATTTTATATCTATGTTAATAGTATGTCAAGTTGGAAATATGCTACCGCTAAAACTCGAACGGAATTATAGAAATGTTTCTATATGATTTCTTATCTATGTTGATAATATGTCAAGTTGGAAATAAGCCAACTCAAACGGAAGAATTAAAAGTTGAGAAAAAGGCAATAACAGCATTTTCATTGTATTTCTTATTGCAATACGTTTATTTTGATGTTATCAAAATAAACCCAATTGTAATAGAATGCAATAGTGTAGGCCGGAAATATGCGGCAAGCCGGTGACTACACACGATAGCGCGCCTCTTTTGTAAAATGATTTTGAGGTCTATAACCGAATGTTTCCCAGCAGGTCGGCAAATATCAAACATAGGCGCATCTCTTTGTAACCTACATTGAGGTCACAAAGCCGAATCTTTACCACGCGTGTTTTGTAAATATCAATGATAGGCGCGCTTTTGTAATACATATCGGGGTCGCAAGGCAAGTGTTTCCCACGACGTGTATTTTTACTAATCAATGGGTCATTCTCAGCTAATACTTCGTTGAGTTGGTCGTGTTTTTCCCTCCCTCCCTCCCTCCCTCCCCTCAATTCCTTGCTGACTTGTGGACGGGCAGGATTAGGCTCATGATTATTGGGTAGGAGGTTGTCAGGGGGAGGGGGCGGTCCTTTATTGAGAAAGTGTATATAGGGAGACCGGAGTGGTACTTGCCCGGACTGGTAGTTCTGCGTATGTCATTGCCTTAGAGTTTGGGCTTGAATAAGTGACACGATGGGGCTGTAGTAGTGGACAAGGTTGATGGTTAATTGGGCTTGTTTTATGATATTGACATCATGTTTGTTTGTTTGTTGTTTTTTTTTGTTTTTTTTTTTTTGTTTTTTTCCTTCGGTTTCTACATCAGATTTGCTAGGTTGCTTTTTGTTGTTTTGTTTTTCTTTTTTTTTTGGGGGGGGGGGGGGGATTGTCAAATTGATTATGTTTCATTATTGTTCTTTTAATGGTACACAATCTGTTAATCACTGTGTGATTTTGTTCTTTTAAGGCTACAACATTCATGGAAATCAATGCAGATTGTGGAAAGGAGAAAAAAAAAAAAAAAAAAAAAAAAAAAAAAAAAAAAAAGAAAGAAAGAAAGAAATTGGGCTTGTTGTATTGACATGGTTGGTTGGTTGGGCTTGATTATTGACATGGATGGTTGGTTGGGCTTGTTATTGACTTGGATGGTTGGTTGGGCTTGCTTATTGACATGGATGGTTGGTTGGGCTTGCTTATTGACATGGATGGTTGGTTGGGCTTGCTTATTGACATGGATGGTTGGTTGGGCTTGATTGTTGACATGGTTGGTTGGTTGGGCTTGTTATTGACATGGACGGTTGGTTGGGCTTGCTTATTGACATGGATGGTTGGTTGGGCTTGCTTATTGACATGGATGGTTGGTTGGGCTCGTTTATTGACATGGATGGTTTGTTGGGCTTGATTATTGTGATGGTTGGTTGGACTACATTATTGACAGGGTCGGCCGGTTTTGGCTTATTGGCTGGAGCTTCTGTTCCGGAAGTCTTAGTATTCCGAAATGAGAGGGTTTTGTTCTTTTGTTTCGTTCCTGAACTATAATCATTTCCAGTATGCCTCAAGGAGAGGAATGGCCAAGAGCGCCATGAACCGACGGTGGGGACAGGCTGCGATTACCAGATCTTGTGTAGGGAACCAATGGCCCAGGAAACTGGGCCTGCTGGGTAGAGCACCGTCTTCCCAGCTGGTCACGTGACCCGTGACCCTCGGGTTCCCATATTTGTGGAATCGCAGTCTGTCGCCTTCCGCCATTGCAAACAAATAATTATGGAAATGGTTTTATATGATTTCATATCTATGTTATGTAATAATATGTCAAGTTGGAAATATGCTACCGCAAAAACTCGAACGGAAATATGTAAATGGTTTTTGTATGATTTTATATCTATGTTAATAGTATGTCAAGTTGGAAATATGCTACCGCTAAAACTCGAACGGAATTATAGAAATGTTTCTATATGATTTCTTATCTATGTTGATAATATGTCAAGTTGGAAATAAGCCAACTCAAACGGAAGAATTAAAAGTTGAGAAAAAGGCAATAACAGCATTTTCATTGTATTTCTTATTGCAATGTAGTTACTCTGACATTATATCAGAAATTGCAACATTTTCAACTTTCAAATTAAATACTATCATGGACGTATTATTAAAATCATTTGATCGAAATAAATCTTGTCAGGTTCTTTAATATTTTGAGTTTTTGGATTGTGTTGTATATTTTCATAATTATGTTGAAACGACCAGACAGATCAATTAAGTGGTAAAGAAACAGCACGAGAGCACATCTGAGGACGGCCTGTACATTATTATAGCGAAGAAGTAGAAGATAAAATAATGATTTAAAAACAAATATGATGTCGATTATCTATTTACCCTGTCGTCTCTGATACCATCATCATCGTCGTCGTCATCGCAAGCATCTCCCTCCCCATCGCGATCGCTGTCTTCTTGTCCACTGTTTGGCAGACGAGGACAATTATCCTATTATGGAAGAAGAAACGAGATTTATGTAATGAAGGATTTTACAGGCTACGCTACGAACTCATTTTAACTTATTGCAAGGAATTTCTCGGTTTAAAAAAGTTTGATAGTGAGTGGAATGGTAGAGGTGAAGAGTGTTAAAATATATAACGGCACTGTTGAAAATCGGTATAGAGCTAGGAAGATAAATGGATGACGTCATTATTGGTTATTTATGTATTGATACACTCACATATCCATACACTAAAACTGATCGATGATCTTGGTAACGAACCCTACATGTTGCCAACAGGGAGCACACGTCGATAATACATGCTGACAATGCATGGACATTTTTTTTAACATGTGTTTTTTAAAGAAGAAAGTGATTGCTAACTTCCCACTGTTGATCCCTAGGAGTTCCTAGGAGGCTCCACAGGTAGGGTGCAGTTTACAGGTCTTGGAGTTTGAACAGGAACGGGAAGGGTATGGTAGGAGCGGGTTATAAGGGATGCCTCATTGTTCTTAAAATAGATAATAGTATAATGTATTTTAAACTGTAACATTCTAGATGATTATTGCTTAAGACTACATCAATTCCTTATGGAATGTATTCATTCATGTCGAGGGCATACGCCTTGAATATCGAGGCCCCTATTCTAGTTCAGATGAACAGGTTTCTTTCAAGACAATGAAGAGATGGGAGGTCACACATCTCAGCCTTTCCCAAACAGCTGAAGTATCATGCCTTGTGGGGCATTGTTCAGAGCATGAGTCAAACATACATTTCAAGAGTATAGTTCATTATAGACTGTTGCACATAAAGTTGGAATACGTTTTCCCTACCTCTCTTCATCATTGTGGCATAATGATCATTCTTGATACTAGCGTTATTAATCCATTTCTATGACTATTTAGAGTGATCAATAAAGTTCTAGGCGGATAATTTATAAGCTTCATCATATTGTCATAATAATCATTTCATGAAAAGAGATAAATAAAAAGTTTATTCCAACTATAATCTTTGAATGGTTGGTGATGAAGATTACCTTATGACAATGCATGTAATCACCGAGTCCTTGGCAGTCGAGATCGACATCAGGTCGGCCATCGAGATCACTGTCTAGTCCACATGCGTATCCATCTCCAGCGTATCCTGTTCGGCACTGTAGTGAAATGATAAGATAAACATGAAGAAATATGAATACATCTCAAGAATAGTCGTATTCGCGGTATTGAAAGATGTTTTAAATAAATAAATAAATAATATGGTTATTTACATAGCGCCGGTATCCGCCAGGTTCTGACGCTCATGGCGCTTTACACATATTACCCTGGTCGTAGCCGAGCTGCCAAAGTAACTAGCGCTCAAGTATATCAGGTACCCATTTACACCTGGGTGGAGAGTGGCAAATTTAGATTAACGTCTTGCCAAAGGACATTAGTGTTGCGGCGGGACTTGAACCCTGTACCCTGTGATCTGCAGTCGGGTGACTTATCCACTAGTCCACAACAAAAATAGATATATTCATGTTGAAGAGTGGAACCATGAGGGGCTAGCATAAACACTGAGTTACAGAACTGTCTATTCTGATTTCTCAGCAGAAATGGCTCTCACATTAATGTATCATTTCTTTTATTGTGAGTAGTTTTAAATAGCGAAAGTATGAATCATACAACCCTGTTATTTATATCCCCATCAAAAGTTTGGGATTCGGAAAACAGTTGCAGATATATTGGACATAATTCTGTATCGCCTAACATTCCTAAGACAATACGAACGACTCCTGGAGGTATTTGCCAAGAGGAAACCTTTGTTACAGGTATTGTGGATAAGTGTAGCTCGCTTGTTCAGTTGGTCTTGATGCAAACTTTTAATGAGTAATTAAGTGACTGAGTGAGTGCGACAGAAACTTAAGTACGTGACATTGAAGACTAAGAATGTACTATTGAACCCAACAATGCTATTCTTATTATTCTGTATGTTCCTCCTAATGTGGTGAAATTATTACGTAATATACGGTCAAGAGTCAGACCGTAATTCAATTTAGATAAACTACTTGCCTAACATGTCAACATAAATAAATTGACATTGGTATTTTGCAGAATAAATTTTGTTAAGCACAATTTGTATTAAATGTTGAATAAATTGGCTAAATATAAAATATATTTGTATGGAAAGTGTGCTGTATTCCTTATCCCGTTTATCCATATAGGCCTATAAGCAACCAAGGGGGTATACTTTGAATTGACCTTTCTTGATTGCTAATATATCTCTTTCTTTGGTCGTGCTGAGATACAAGCAGGTGGAGAAGAGAGATGAAAACAGGAAAGAGGTACAAGGATATGAAGAGGGTTTAGAAAAAAACAGGTATGGAAGATAGACGGATAGAGAAAGGGTGAGATAATTGAAATATATCTTAATTAATACAAAGAGAATGTTTAAGTATCCTCCAAAGTTAACTGTTTTGGCAGAAAGAGTGTATGTTTTTTGGCACATGTGATTGTCACCCAGATGTTTTTCTGTGGAATAACACCCATGATTATAATCTCTATTGGCAAAGCCTACTACGAGCGCTGACGTCACAGCCTGTGTGCGCACAATGCTCGGTGAACATAGATTGCGCAAGATAAGTTGAGTATCTTACTATTTATGGTGAAAGGTTTCGAGCGAAATAAAAAGTTCATGCAAGAATCATCTGATGGGCGGGATTCCATGGAGAATATATGCCAGAAGAAAGGGATTTACCCGGAGATTTCCATCAGAAGTGGCAAACGTGATCTTATCTACTATCTATAAGGATCTAAAAGAAGTCACTTTAAAAGGAACAGTGTTTGAAGTTTTCCCCCACATAAAAATCCAGCCTCTCTGGCAAAACGTTGAAATGCATATGGAAAACGACGATGTTCAAACTTTTAATTTCTGTCAAAAATGCATCCAAACGTTAAAAATTGATTTAATTATTGGTCGACATTAATATATATATTGCCCTAACTATTAAGAAAGAGGTCTATGTTCTTGCCTGTTGATCCACGCTTTCTCAATTTTTATTTACGAAAACATTTCTATCTAACGTTTTCATGACTCCTTCCACTAGATATCTAAACATCTAGATTACAAGTTACCTAAGCATCCCTGTTATATCAAGCATAGTAAAATCGTCACTTTATTTTTTTTTTAAACATGAATTTTCAAGATTAAAAAAAGTTTAAAAACTTTGAGTATATTACTGAAATTAAAAAAAGAGTGCGCATTTCCCCTTTAACCACCTATGTAATTCAATACACGTTGATAAACATGTGAAATGCAACATATAAATTCCTATCAGTAGTAGCAACCAAGAGATAGTGCTAATATTTCATATTTCAATTGATTTATCCATGACCTCTGACGTCAGTGTTACATCGCTGTGGTATGACAGAGTTCCTGGGATGATGAAGCTAAACCCAGCGGGTTGGTAGCATGGTGGCAAGCCGACAGACTCGGCTAGAAAGAAGCTATATACAATCTCCTGCAGAGAATACCAACTCAGTGTTTCTTTTTTCGCACTTGTTGCTTTGGTTCCCACCACAAAGACACAAATCATCATCTTTTTTTCTGAAGAAGTATAAACCGATTGTTATCATTTCATTTTGATACTCTTCATTTTGGAGGAGAGGAACCGTCAAATTGAATTAGGCGAGATATGCGATGGCTGCCAAAATAGTAGGTGGTATCACTCTAAATATGGATCTATTCTTCGTTCGCATTCACAAAAGCTTTGTCAATGATCCATTCCGATTCTCAGTTTATTAAAGTTTTGTTTGTAGTTTTTCAAATATTCCTTTTTAAGAAGCGTGTGCATTGCATTGATACACAGGGTCACACTATAACCAGCTAACAGGATTATATTTTACTCAAGTCAGATTTGTTTTTCTCTTTGATGATTATTCAACTATAATCACCAAAGCATACCTCTACAACGAAGATTACATGACACCTTCTGAAATCAGTCATGACACTGGATTAATCATGATGGGTTCATGATGTGTTAGAATGGAATAAATCTCGTATTTGGCCTGGGGATCAAATCAACAATATTTTGACGAAGTATCTTGACATCCCCGCCCATGGAGCTAATGGAATGTCATATATTGTTGATATATTTAGATATCTTAGCTTTGAGGTTGTTTGAATTTGTTAACGTTTGATGACAGTTTTCTAATGGATCGTGTGGTTTCCTAAAGTGCATGAAAGGGCGTGAACTTTGACGTGTTAGCGGTAGAATACATGTTTCACACTGCATTGTAGTTATCAAATACAAACGGATTTAACGACGAATGCGTGTTTCTCCAATCGGTAGACATATACTTTATAAATAAATTACAATACTGGACCTACTGAACATAACCGTTTATGGCACCCTCCCCTCCCCTCCCTCTGAAAAAAAAACATTTCACGACTAGCGGGCAAAATTCTACGCGGTATGGCAATATCCGATGACGTTTCTCGGAAAACTTCACGCACATTAATTTTGACCAAAATGCCACAATTTATTCGCAAATTTGATTGATTTGAAAAATAAACACAACTTGACTAAGGTAACATTGCCTGCCTGCTGTGAAAGCTGATGCACAACCATAGAAATGAAGTTTGGATTCAGATGGAATCATTTCACATCTACTTGCGTTTCCGATTGCTCCAGCAGTCTGTCTAAAAACACACTCACACATTATGATCGAATACACCGAATAAAAGGTCTGACAATTTTATGTCATACAATTATTGTTTAATAGATTATTGTATTTATACAAACTAAACAATATTCTCATCCACAATCAAGGAGACATTGAATTTAGCTCTAATTTCTAATTCAAATATTTAATGAGTTCATTTGTATTTTCGTCGCATGAATTCAATGATTTATCGACTATCTAACAGAATTTACAGAAACCAATTGCTTTTCAATGTTCTTTGTGTAAGTATTTTTATTTTTCGATACACCGCTGCGTATATCATAAGAGCAGTTTACGTCCAAGCTAGAATATGAGGAAAAGCACAGGAATGAGGAATATTAAATAAATCTTTGTGGAAATAGGGCTGTTCACATGATGAAAAGGCATTATAGATACACAAGAGATATTTCGTTTTGATTAGAATGGAAACTTACCCGACATCCGTATTGAGGTTGACTATAAGGTCCGAAGAATGTACACTTAGCATCAGGAGCACAGTCATGAGTGCCTTCTGTACATGGGTTGATCGGGATACATTGCTGACGTGGGTAAATAAAAGACACAATATAATCATAACAAATCGAATAAACCAGGTTTAATCTTGTTAATTTAGAACATGAGTTGTCTGTAGCAGGTATAAAAGAAAGTAATGGGCGGCAGGGACAGTTTAAGATGAAAGAGATACTTGCAAAACTAATTCAATTTTTAATATTTTTTTCAAAGCAATAGCGATGAACCATTTTATTGTAAATATAGATACACAATATCTATCGAACAGGAAAATAAGAGCCAACATACGTATTCGTTGGGATTTCAGAATAGTCAAAATAAATTTTGAAGGTGTTGATTTCGAGGGCTTGATTTCGTTAAAAAAAAATATATAAAAAAAAATATCCGAAACAAAAATATCCAAAGTACTTCTCGATAATATCGTTAGTTTCTCCATCGCTTGACGTTAAAATTCTCAAAATGACATACTTCATCTTCGATAGATGTATAACAGAGTATGACCTAGCTACTTCATGTCTGGTATTGAAATCATCTCATCACGCATCTAGACCAACACACTCAAATTTACGTTATCCCATTTCTGGTAAAATGTTATTTTCAAACATCCGACGCCTCTCTACTCATCAAAACAAATTCATCTTATTATTGCCGCTTCACTTTCGATTGGATTTGAATTTAGTTGCAGTCAGGAAAAGTCATCATGATGGTTTTGTGGTCTCAACTGACCATGACAATGACATTAGAAGGGTGAACCTTGACCTTTAAAGATTGACTTTCAAGGGCAAAGGATATCAACCTCTTCTCCAGGACTGAGTCTCAAGTAAGTTATGGTCACGGAGAAAGGAAGGTTATCATTTCAATTCAGCATGATACCAGCGATGCTCGGTGTGAATCAAACAGATAACATTTTTATTATCTACCGTGATCTTGGCTGCCCTCCTTTCATATAACCCATCTGCTTTCCTGTCTGTTATAACATCTACCTTTTGTACTTTTGCCTCCTGAACTATTAATACTAGACTTGAAGTACGTGACTCTATTAACTCTGTTTACCCCTCTTCCCCCGTTTTTCTCTCTTTCTCTCTTTCTTTTTTTTTCTCTCTCTCTCTCTCTCTCTCTCCCTCTCTTTCACTGTTATAATGATGTCATGTTGGCCACTCTCTATAAGAACATATAGAAAATAGAGAGCTTCCTTTTTCAATCGTAGCCGTGCCCGAATCAGACAAGCGAGGTTCTATTGGGTGGGAGGGAAATGAGGTCCAATGTGAGGTATATTCCAAGCAACAATCCATCCTATCAAATATTTCCTCTAAACACATGTCATCGATATCCCTCCGGATAAAAACAACCTGGAAAACACGTTCAGATCAATAAACATTTTTGGAGGCATTTTGAAAACGAAAATATGGTTTGAGGACACAATGGCCTTGAATTTCCTAAGCTTGCATATTGGGTGTACGGGTTAAGTTGAGACTAGGCGACATGTCAGCCGAGAAGTCAACATGAATATGACATTGTAGGAAACATTGAGAGGGAGGTTGGCGTCAGGGGAATGGATATGTTTCCGATTAGACCAGAATGGTTCTCCTCAGAGAGAAACTTTGCAAAATAATATAGCGGATATAAACGCTTAACCTCATCTTTCGATATATTTTTCTAAAGTCAAAATGGTATTTAAAAAACAGAGAAATAAACGTGCAAAAAGATCACGTCAGGTAGTAAAAGAAATTGGTTTTCCCAGCAAAACCACAGTCTATCCGCAATAAGACATTCATCCAGTCAACCGTCTAAAATGTTGTTATTTTTGTGGTGTTCTCGTCGACATGACTAGAAGCATAATGCTTACAGGGATGTATTCACTTGATGAAATATCGAAAGTTGCCAAATGTAATAGATATTACGATATAAATGATAATATTGAAAATAGGGCATAGTATTATATGACCTATTTTTCTAATGTTTTGAAGTGAGACGCGTCTGAATAGTTGTAGGACAAATGCCAAAACTATATGAAAAGAAAAGGATGTAAACTGGTCGGTGGAAGGTATACGAGGAGAGAAGGAGGGCGTTTAGCATACTGTCTAACATTGAATGTCTGCAGGGTAGGCATGTTTCCTCTCGGGATGGGAGGATAAGGTCATCAGTAAAGCGGTCTTGTCATCGAATCAGGGTGTACCCACCCAAAGACATCAACCCCACCCTCCCCCACCCCCTCCCCTCCCCACTTCCCCATCCTCACCGCACAATGAAGAGTTACGTGGTGATGGGAAGGCGGGTATTGACAGGTGAGACACCACTAAATTATAATTACCATTAATAAATTATCGAATCATCTGATGCACTATTCACATACGAATGACGCAATATGAATCATATTGACTTCCAATTACTTTAACGGGGTAAATAAAAACGAAACGATATTTTCCTTCCATTTTAAACTCATCCCATAACACAGTTATTTTGCCACTACCTCAGAAACCACTTGTTTACCAGTACCTCCACACGGAGGAAACAAATCGTGACATTTCTTGTCGAAATCCTGTTTACATTATACTTAACAGAAAGAGCGGAAATTGCTGAGAGAGCTAGTGTAAAGTGGCTAGACAGAGAATGCCTTACACAATTTACTAGGTAAACGGATAGCCCCAGTTTATTGTTGACTTAGCATAACTGAATAAGATGGATTTACAAGGAGAAAGATGCCTTATTTGGGCAAATCTACATAAGCGCACTGGCGGTAACATATTTAACTCGCATGTTTCGCATGTTGCTACCTTTTTTCATGGTACACGTATTGATTAGTGTGTAACTCCTAGGCAAGGATGGTCGAATAGATTATATTAACTTGGAAGTATTCTTTAAAGATAAAATTATTTCATACACATAGGCCTACATAAAGGGCTTTAACTTAAAAATTACATTATCATGAAATGTCTCGGAGAAGTTGGTATATTTTGATTTTTAAAATAAATACACTTCTGAGAGTTTAACCAATAAAGTTATTTAATGAAGTAATTCAAACAAATCGTTGTAACTATGGTGATGAGCCTCATTTTCGTAATGCAGAATCACCTTACAAAATTACTAAGCTGGAGTAAAATATAACAATAATGAAACGCATATGTGATGATGATCGAAATACTGCGTTCAATATTTTTATGAAGATGACGCTAGCTAAAAGATAGTAGCGGCGTCAGACATATTGACCGGTTCAATGCGATCGAAATCTCTACACCCACGATAATGATAGGTCTTCGGTTATTAGACCAAACCATGATAAAAGAATTGATTCATCTACCTTCAAATGATGACTTGTGTGAAATACTGGAACGAAATGAAATTGTAGTGATAAATATAGCTACCAAAGATAGGGACTAGCTTTAGCTCTTACCTGTCTGTATCTGCTAGCATGGAAGATACCGATACCATTAGGTTGGTTACCACGGTAACCAGTTGGGCATTCTTGACAGGAGTATCCAGGGATCTTATTGATACATCTATGTTGACTGTGATGATGGAAACATGTATTTAGAACCTCAAGACACTGCAAAGACAACATAGAGAAACATAATTATGTCTTCTCAATAAACATTTGGGAAATTAATTTTCGGTTATTTATTATTTTTTGGGTGTATAAAAACTGACCAGCAGCACAGACTAAAAGGGCCAGATTAAAATAAATGATCTCATACATTATCCAACGCGAGGAGATGTCGACATTAATAAATCGCGTATGAAACTTAACATAAGAGAAAAACTGATTAAATCAAATCATGATATTTTTTTTTAAAGAATGGCAATATCTATTTTTTAAATCGCAGAATAGTTTCTATATAATACAGAATGATTTGATGTATCCGTACCTCATTGACATCTGTACATGATTGGCCATCCCCTCTGAAACCAACAGGACATGGGCCACACTGGAACACACCATCATCACTACTACGGCAATCAACACCTTCAAAGCATGGGCTTGAAAGGCATCCATCTAACAAGAATAAAGGGCTTCATCAATTATACAACTATTTGGAAATTTATGTGAGATGATTTAAACTTGACCAATCAATATGTGCTTGTTCTACCATACACAATAAATTACATTGAATTATGCATGCGTCAAATGTGAAGCTATTATCGCAAGTTTCTTATCGTGTTTTTCAACGGGTTATCCGTTAAGAGGAATATAGCATAAAGTATGGTTTAATAAGCAGTATACATTCAACATTAATGGCTGAATTGTGACATGCATGTGGTCGTTTATCTCAAACGCTACACTCAAAGGACAAATACTTCGGGAGATAATTGATAGCCTCAATTAGTTTTTCTCTTTGAAATTATTGTCTTCTGTTCTATACTTTGCCGCCATCCCGCCCTCTATATGACCTTAAATCACAGGAGAATATAAAGAACATAAAAGTTCACATCGTAAAGACATTCAAAGAATACATTAGTCTGAATAAAGATGTCTACTTAATCGAAAAATGGCGAATGACATTTTAATCTTCCAACTGAAAGTAGAAACATGTGTGATAGAAGGAAGGAGATCCGCTTTCACAGACTAATATCACTTTGTCTTTCCTCTTTCAAGTTCAGCGTCAATGGTTAACAGGTGTTTGATCAACATTAACTGTCTCTACGGAAATATTATGTATATACATTATCAGGATATAATGAGTGTCTGCCATGCACATGCATTTCCCATCAATTTAAAAGTATTTTTATTGGTAGTAAGGCACAATAATCTGTAGGCATAGTAGGAATTTTATTTTAAAATCTTCTGCATGTATAATCTATTTCAGTTCTCTCTTTCTCTATACGTCTGAATTGTTCTCTCTCTCTCCCTATATATAGGATATATTTGAATAATAATGCTTACCAATCGGACATGGTCTCTGGTTGCACATCTGTTCTTGCCTTTTGATACCTGAACAATTCCTACCACCATGTGCAGGGGTGGGGCTATCACAGAATCGATACCTCTCCTGATTACCACCATCACAAGAATGGGTACATGCCGTCCACAGCGACCACTCCCCCCAAGCTCCATCAACTATACCAAGAAAGGGGGATTCAGTATCATAATCACATGATTGCTCTTATATGAATCAGCATTATGAAAAATAGTAGGCCTACCGCAAAGGTAAAAAACAATCTTGATTACTATTTCATTAATTTTGTTAATGATTACTGTTATATATTGTTAAGTTGATCCAGAGAATAAAATACTGTGAGCCTCACAGTCAACATAAATGAAATATGATTATGACTTTTTGAAGTACCATGCTGTCCATGAATCAATTTTTGGAATGTAGTACGTGTCACAATGATCATCAGGTATGTATATTCATTTTAAAAAATGAAACATTTCACTCGGCTATATTTAGAGGATTCTTGGCAGTCACACTTAAATCAATTCTTTAGGAAGCTAAAAGACTTAAATCAATTGAAGAACGCGATAACTAAATCAGCTAAACGTATGATGATGGATTGATGAACACTGTTACGGAAGTATCACGCATAGGAGGATTATTCTTAGGGATACATGATATCCTATAGTAGAAGTATACTCTCCAGACTGGAATATCCGACTACATCGCGTCAGCGGAAATACATTCTTGATATTATCGTTTTTTAATATTTCAAATCATAACGGAGGTCTGAAGAAGTTACAGTTAGAAATCTAGATAATTATAATGTAATCAATAGGGATATCGCTAATTTAATATATAATTCGTAATATACAGTTATATAGTTATCTTTTACAAACACATAAACTGACCATTGTAAATGCATCCATCTCCGATAGAATAACCAAAAACGGGAAAAGGGTTTCCAAAGTGACTAATGTTTACGAAAATTTGTCTTAACATATTGTATGTTATAACTACCCAAGTGCTAAGTGTTGTTGGTTTCGGAGACGGAAATAATGAGGTTACCATGAATACAGCAATGTTTAAACATAATCAGTGGTAAGTTACAATTTTTCTTTAAAAAAAATAAAATGAGGGTGTGCTCAAAGTCAAGAGTTTATATTGACCATGAATGGATGACAGGTTGAACGAAGTCAACGAACTATATAAATAACAAGATTAGTCTAATTGAATAACCAATGTTTATATTTTTCATCCACTGTAGCCATGCAGACTTTCTGTTTTTCTGCCATCTGCCTCATCTCTCACCCTCTCTCTCTCTCCATCTCGCCTCTCTTCATCATCTCCCACTCAACTCTGAACTACTTTATGTCAGCTTGATTTCCTCTTGAGTCTCCTTCAAGCCCTCCTTCAAGCCCTCCCATCCATCCCACCATTCTCACCCTTCTTTCCATCAATACATTTGACTACATTGCCATCGGTGAGAACAAATAAACAGATCAGAGAAAAATGTTTATGAGGAATAAGTGAGATCTGTCTTACCAGGGCACGGGTCTCGCTGACACAGTCTCTCTTCACGTCCTGCTCCAAAGGCTTCACCCAGACACCTTGCCCCGCCGTTCTGCGGGGGTGGAGAGTTACAGGATCGTACTCTAGTCTCAGTTCCTACACCACATGTGATACCACAAGCCCATGGTGTCCAGTTACTCCAACCACCATCAACAACCGCTAAACAATGAAACAGACACACAAATAATTAAATTGGACTTGATCAAATTCTTTACTGTCATGTTGAATTATCAATGATATAGACTTTCTATTCTCTCCCGTAATGCTTCCTAGCTCATATGTTGATTACACAATCTTTGGGGGCAAATTTCTTGGATAGCATTCTTGTCTACAACCTGTCAAACACAACAAGATTCCAGGCATGTATCCAAGAGACAAATGTCTTGATTTCGGTTAAAACTTCTTGGAATTGTATGTGTACGTTCAATGTTTGTGCTACTCTTAGTAATATGTTTTAAGGCTGGAATTGTACGTTCAATGTTTGTGCTTCTCTTTTAACACCTTTACCCCCAAGTCAACTAATGTACCATTCTGTGAACATGAATATCAAATCATTTTCATTTCAAAGTGGACATTTTTCAATTTCATTTATTCGTTTCCACAACGAGATAAAAACAATGTTATCTTATCTTCAAAATACTTAAAAAATGATCCTCATATAAAATATGCAAAGTAACAAAAACTTAACATAATTTACGTAAAATAAAGATTTAAAAACAAAGAAAGCTACCGAAAATAGGCTAAAAAGGAAGAAAGTATAAAATTAACCTTTAATTTATAAGAATTTCCCCCCAAAATACCTTATTTAGTCGTTTAAATTGGTTTATTATTTTACTATTCATATAGGAAGGTTATTCTATAAAACTGAGCCAAAGCTGAAGCTTGAGTTATCGAGATACGATGAAATGCAGGGAATGGATGAAAAAAATTGGGCATTCTCAGTGTTATAACAGTTTACAGAACATTCTAAAGTGAAATAATTATTTAAAATTTCAGGAAGCATCATTGTTAAGTAGTTTTAACATTAATGTTGCAGATTTCAAAAATAGTAATTCATGGATAGGTCAATTTTTTGCTTTGGAAATAGAGGTTTACTAGAAGATAAATGCGGTGAATGCGTTATTTAAAAAATAAAGTTTAAAAGTAACGCATGCTGAAGGTGTCTGTTACATTGTCCAAGATGAATGATGCAGAACTTATCTCTTTCCCTTTAAACAGAGAGAAGGTAAAAAGTTACAGTTTACTTCATCGGTGAATTATTTCAGTTATGTATTCACCTCATCCTTCTAAATCCTTCCACGTAGGAGTCTGATCTAGGTTAGTATCCGAGTCTGTGCACCCCTTTCCCCCTTGTCACGCAAGGTATGCCATGCACAATTTCACTCTTATCCTGGTCTTTGCGTGCGGAACATTCAGACATGCTCCTTATCATCACTGCACTACATCTGGCGTGAAGTGTCGAAATAAGTCAGATGAGTAAAGACATGCATAGTCTCATTACATCATCAGCCAGTTTTAACTCTCACTCTCTGTTTCTGATCAGTTTCTATTTCTTATTCTCCTCAACTTTACTTGTCTTTATTCCTTTTTCTTATTACAATTGACATTACCCTATGATCTCATCGTATTATCTTTCTCTTCTTTTTATTTATGCTATTTTGTTTCCTTTTCATCTGGATCATCTATAACATCTAATTCATTATGAGTTATGAAGCATTCTATATTTTTAAATTCGTTGTGTAGAACTTATCCTTAACAAACATCAAGCGGTCTCATTCCACTGAAACTTTTAAACGTGTTCAATAACAAAAATGATTTTATACGGAATAATGCAAACTAAATATGCATAATACAAAACTAATTACATTCAATCTCTTCTCTATCCCTATTATAGGGAATGCCTGCACGAACGATTTTTGGGGTCTCTATACCTTTTGTCCGTTTGCCATCTTTCAGCTAGTTCCCTTCAAGTTTCACGCTCTCATTTGAAACCAGTTGATTTCCAACTGAGTATTCCCACTGAATCCAGTGAATACTATAGGGCTTTTGCATGATGTCATCGAATGCAATAAATCACCCTATCTTCTATTTGTCGATTTGGTCTTTTATCCGGTGAAATTCTAATGACACATGAAAAGTACGTTTCTTTCATTCTCTTTCCCTCTCAGACTATACACATTTCCCTTACCATTAAGTCAATTCCCCTGTTCTATTAAAATGTCTTCGCTGACAGAAGTGTATTACTTTTCTCCAATTTTTGTTCTAATTCATTTTTAGTTTCTTGAGGGATATTAAAGACAGACTTTGGAAAATAGAACACGAGAAAAGTCCCCCAGACTAGTGCTGATGAATGGTATGAAAAGGTATTTCCGCTTATGAATTTCATATTACTTTGTCAGACTTCTGGTTTCATAAGTCTGTTACACAAACTGATGAAAGAGTGAATTGATTGATCTGTTGATGGTAAGAACTTTTTTTTTTAAAGAACTTAATTCCAGCGGCGAATCCGGATATTGGTAAGAAACGGGGGCGGGGTAATCCTCTTCAGACCGGAGCAGGTTCACCGTCAGCAGGTCACCCGACTATATCATTTCTGTCTTCTTCTTCTTATTTCTCTCTCTCTCTCTCTCTCTCTCTCTTTTATTCATTCTCTTACCGATCTTGATACCAGTGATGGATACAAGTAAAGAGACTTACAGACACACGAGTCCCGGATGCAGTTCCTGGTCTCCACACTTCGTCCGTTACAGGGATACCTCATCCTATCACACGAGCGTCCTCTCTGCATGGTACCAGAACCACAAGTAACTGAACAAGATGTCCATTCGGTCCAATCACTCCATCCCTGCTCCTCATCTACACGTTAAAAACATCATATTAAATTAAGGAAAGATTAATTACATCTATTAATTTCCAGTTGCGAATAAACATTATCTTCTAAAAGTCATGGGACAGATTAAATGTGGAAGCTTTGACTGTTAATAATACCTGGGGGAAATAAACGGTGAACATTACATGTTATGGTACGAAATCAAGGGAGTTGACACTCTTATCATGCTTACAAAGAAGAAGAAAAAATACAACAAAAACGGATTAAAAAAAAAAATCAAATTCTACAGAAATCAACTTAGCCGAGAATGTATTCAAACCTTACTTGGACATTGAGGGCAGCATTCTCCTGGTTTGATGATAGGATTCTGGCATGTGATTGGTTGACATTCAATCAAACGACACGTCACAGCAGGGGCCTGAATAAAAAAGAATCAAATGTGTATTTCATTTTTCAAGCAAATTATTTCGAAGATGAATCCATTTACTGTATTACCAAACTTACAAATCAAATGCAAAAGTGTCATTATGCATATTGTAACCGAACCGGCGTTCAAAACATGGAAATCTATGTTAAAAAGGAAGGAAAAGGTACTTACATTGCATTCGCAGGTAGTACAGGCATCGTCCTTCCATTCCTCGAAGTTTTGTCTGATCTCATTCTTATAGAAACATCCATCTAACCAGGGAGGAGTTTGACTTGGTATTCTGTTATCCTGATAATGAAAACAAAAAAGATCATAAAAATCATATTCTTTTAACATTAAATCTTCCCATTGTTTCATAAAGTGAACTACAGATGCACGTCAATTTATCATAAGAATATGCTTGGGAAGAAACAGCTGGGACCCCCCCCCCCCCTTCCCCTGAAGTTAGATCTGGAAGCTCGGCAGCTGGAGACGGCTTTCTTCCAGAAGCTTTGGTATTCAAGGTATTCAAGGTATAAAGCCTACATGCCCTAATTTAACATCATGCTTTGATACCTTCCAAGACCGAAAGCAGTTTCATAACTACAATTATCATAATAAATTTGATGTTTTTGTTACAACAAATGTTTCATACAGAATGTCTTACCATGTCAGTCACCCTGGTGAGGATATTTTCTTGTCCCTGTGAAAGCACGTCGACCATATTTCGTAACTGCGAGATTTGATCACATGTGATAGCGCATTGACCATTTGGTATGACATCATTCATGTTCGGCATTGGTCTCGCACCGTTTGTCGGCTCTGCGAAATTGTGCGATCCGGGACTGTTCGGAAGGTATAGCGACGGGAGATTGTAATTCATCGGAGATCCGTCATTGAGCGGTCCCTCGACGACTCCGGGCTCGATCGCGGTATGGGGAGTATTGGGAACGGTTGGGACTTCGGGCATCTTAGGGGGTACGGGTGCGATTGTTTCTTGTTCAGGGGTTTCGACCTCATGGACTGATGGGTGGATATTTGGTTGACTGACCAAAGGACCAACTCCTACTCCTACTCCCACACCGACTCCTACTCCGACTCCGACTCCAACATCTGGTATGCTTTCGTGTCCCCCACCTGAAAACAAGAATAAACAAATTATGATTATGATCATGGAATATTCGGGGGAAACCTGAAGGAAAAATTGTTATGACAATGGAGATCATCGTCAGGCCTATTAACACTCAATCACTGTGGAAGTGTTGAAGTTTCATGATTCAAAATATTGCATTTCTCTTGACTTGTTTATTGTATCCGTGTGTCCCCGTTTTGGCGAGAAAAATCTTTCTTTTCTTTCCTCAATTCCTTATTAATACTCGTATAAGATGCAAACTCTACTATAAAGAAGGTTTGTTTCACTTCAGGCACCGCCTCATCTAAACGAGTCACAAAGCATGGGATTGGTATCTCATGAATATGTTTATTCTTTCCCCTTATAACTATCTTGAATTTGCCTTGTGAAAAAGATAAGTTTGTCTCAATGTGTCTATGTATCAGTAAAGGGAGTAGAGTAAGAACCTGGCTGCAACATATTATCCCCTCGGACAAAATAAAGCGACGCGACTTCCCTGACCGTTTATGTTAAGCTATCATGTATATATAATTGTATAATTTTTGCCCAAAGAGTTGTTGAGAGCCAAAGGAAGGGGGGTTATTAAATATTCGTTAATGGTATAAATTGACACCCTTTTTGCTTTGAGCAGGCGTAGTGAATTGTTGCATAATTGCAATGAATGCGCTATCTGGAAAGGTGAATTTTAAGAAAAAAATAGTTAGACGCATAGAAATGATGGTAACCATAATTATCTTTCACTGAGCATAAGATTGGACTCGATTGAAAATCGTACAGTCCATCGAGTCCTTTCAAATCTAAGGATTCTTACACATTTCTCTATCATGTTATGTTGGAAAAATAGAAACGCATTATGAGACTCCACAAGCACTGTGCATGCATGGGCGGACAATGTGACTACAATTAAGGTATTATTTACGGAACATTCAAACGTGAAAACGCAGTTCAAACAGTCGGCGCAAATGGGTGAGTCCCATTGACGTGTTTCTACGAAATGAAAAGTAGGTGTCATAAGAATGCTTTCACTAGATACCAGCATTGTAATATCTCTTTGCTATAAGGTACAATCCACATTCCAGCCAAGAAGAGGGGGTATAACGTTAAAAGACCACCCATCATTTAGCTATCAGGAGAAGAAAGCATACAAACTGTAACTCTTGGGACAAAAGCGACTTTCACATTAGCAAACAACGCATGCCACCATAAACAGCAATCATGCCTCAACGCAGCTATTATGCATGGATGCTCATCTTGTATTTATAACTATTGTTGTTCCTCTATTTTTTTCTATAATCAGCATAGACAGAAGTACAAAAAGATCACCTACAAAAATAAACCATCAAATAACAGATTTACCCAGGACAAAGAGCTTACCAAAGCAGAGCCTAACAGATAAACATTGTAGGATCCAAAATTCAAATGGAGTAAGTAATAATACATGTCAGGACTATTTATAGTAGGCAGCTTCGCATCATGTTTGTAACATATCGCTCATTGGATATTGTGTTTTGTGAGAAAGAAAAAAGGGTTCAAACAAAAAGCATAGGCTTGATAATCGAAGCTTTGCTCTGCAAAACCACGGTTTTTAAGTGATATTATCGATACTTGTAGGCTTTTAGACAAGACTAGTTAGCAGTCAGTAATGACATCACACAAGCTTTAGTTCACAGGTCACTGATGAAAGATATCCATCTGTCGAAACTAAACGAAAGAAAATAAAGTTTATTCTCGAAACAACTCCATGAATCATAAAAGTATGTGATATTCACCAAAATAACTGAAGGACATTCGTTTGATTTCCTCTGCCACTTATACAACTGCGCAGACATGATGCATACATAGACCCCAGGCAGACCACGTACATAGACTACACACTGTTCATTTGTTCAGCGTCTATTATGATTTTCATCTAAATGCCGAAAATGCAACACATAACATGTTTTGACATATCAGACCAGCCTCTGAAAAGTCCTAAATTGAAGGTTTTACCAGTCTTAAACATGGTACGAATGTCGATAATGTACTTTAAAATTGAGTAGCATTACATTGGATACTAGTATTTAAGTAGCTATAGTTAGGATACCGAATATTACACGAATGTATAACATAATAAAAATTGACTGACACATCATTATCTGTCCGTCGTTAACTGCTGTTTAATTATCGTCCGACTGTAAAAAGTAATAAAAATTTAGTGAGAAGAAGATGCTACATATTTTGATTTTGTTTCAACGTGCAGGAAGGGAGAGATAGTGACGTGAGGATGATAACCCATGGGGTTTTACACAGCAGGAGTAAACTATCGCTACTCTTCATCAACCATCCTCAAATATTGGGAAATATCCGATTCAGTCAGCGTTTTCTGGCGCATCTAAGCAAATAAACCAAACATGACAAGTATTATCAGAAAGACAGACCTCATTGAAGATAACAAGAAGACCTAGAGAGACCGATTGTGTGCTCACACCCATTCATATAGGACGCACTGCTGAATTCTCATACGCAATTACTAACTACACACAAGGTTATCTGTCACTCTCCCTTCCCTGTTGCTCATCTATCTTCACAAATGCTCCGACTTTTCTTTCTTCTCGAGAAACGCCGTCATCTCAGGTTGATTTAAATGACTATAATTTACAGGCCAAGAAGAAAGGAATCAAAACGAATCATGTAAGAAGGGAATTCCTTATGGACAGAGAAACAAATATAAAGAAAATGATGAATGGTCTAGGTATGTGAGATGAAACAAACATTCGTTGCGTATTCAACTGTTTGTCTATTGGACTATGGTTGAGGTCGTCTTAGTATGAAAAACACCTCCGGACCATAGAATTCGAGTTCCGACCAGACAGGTGAAAACCAGAGTTGGAAACCAACACAAAGATGTCCAGAACCAGAACTTAATTTATCTTTAACTTTTAACTCGCAATGGGCTACAGATTTTCTTTGTAGTTATTATATTCCCCCCTCTATAGATGAACATCAGCTCTGTATTCGAAATGGTCATTATAAAGTTGTGAGTTTCTTTTCACAGTTAATAATAATAATAATAACAATATTTATAAAACGCAACATATCCATCTCTAGAGATCCTCAAGGCGCATACAAATAAATTTAAATTAATATTCAACATATTCAACATAAATTTAACAATATGCATTGAGCATCAGGTGAGTTTTAAGCCCAGTTTTGAAAGAAGAGAGAGTGTTGACCGTCTGAATAGAGAGAGGTAACTTATTCCACAAAGAAGGAGCTGCTGATGCAAATGCTCTATCCCCCCAATTTCTAAACTGATTATCTTTCAGCAAAATCTTTAAAAGTAGCGGATAAATACTTATTTTATACAAAGGTCGTCATGATGAACTTTTTGATATATTCACATCAATCATTAGAGATTTCATTTGAATTTATAGCTAGATTCTAGAAAATAAAACTATTTCATGGATTAGTTTAAAGGACAAAGTAATTATTGCCTGCTATAAAAATAATTCTGTCATTCAACTATTACTACAGGCGCCAGCAAGGTAGCAAATAAGCAGATGCATTGGAGTGATTAGAACTGGTTATTAAATTCATGAAGTGAATAATAGAAGGAGACATAGAGAATCACATTAAAAAATAACATCGAAATGCTATTATGGTTGAAAGAGCTCTTAAAAATACTATGTCCCTTTGCAGCCATAAAACGTACGACCATTCGGTACAACGATCTGAAAATTAGACTATTACTTACTGGCTCTATAGCTCTTACTATTCGACAACGAATGGTCATTATTTTCCCACTTACAGACATTTTCAAGCCCCTTTTTTTAGGGAAGTTCTAAATTAGTATTATCTTTCAAATGCCGTTGGAATTTAACCTTTTCATTTATTGGCATGCAAACGGGACATAGTACCTTTAAAGCCCATTGGCATTTATCAGGTTAAATTATGGTGACCTGATCTATCCCTCCCCCTCTCTCTCTCTCTCTCTCTCTAAACTGAGTTACGTATCGGATTCAAGTTATCATACTATTCAACAATTTTCTGTACTCTAACATACTAAAATATCTAATCATTTTTATGAAAACGGGGCGATTGTTATGAATACATCTTAAAATACTTCTTTTGGAAAATTTTCGTTCTTATTAATCAGTTACCATGGTGATAGCATTTGACATCATTCGGTTTAGGCAAGAGAAGAACATTGAACTCCGACTAAAATTTCTCTTAGTCAGCATGTTTATGAAGAGAAAGCATGATGTAGTATTGGAATGTTGCAGACACCACCTGTTTTCATCGGTAAATATTAAAGCCACGTTATTTGATTCCAATTTCAAGGAATAACATGGTCTGTTTGAAAGGAATGTATCCAGAAGCTTGTTAAAGCAACTTCGTCTGCTCATGGAATAAGTAGATACTAGATAGTCAAATAAATTGAAAGATAGATGGATACACAGACAGAAATATATTTGTACATGCATAGATAAACCGCCTGATCACTATAATGGAATAGATTGAGCCTGTTACGTGGTGGAAATCATATAATTTCAGGAACTACTTTTGAGTCTTGTAATCCTGCAAACCATGTTTCCTTTTGTGACGATAAACCAGGGAGGTTAAACCTACTAAAGCACCCGACATTGAATGTCTTCTTGACTCTGTTCTCTCAGAAACTATTTACTACTGTAATTCTTTAGATGAATGATTACAGTGTTATGCTTATTTAGCTTTCGTGTTTGAGATACCACTAAGGGCGTTCACACCTACGAAAAAAGTGAGATTTAAATATCGATTTTTGCATTGCGATAGTTTGCAGGGCGCTGTGTGTGTATGAATGGTACTGAGAATCAGAAATATATATATATTTTTTAATCCCATGATTCCAAGCGCCCATACATTGTCGAGATTCACGCATGCACAATTCGATGTTCTTACCTTCGAGCGAGAATTCTCACTGTGTGTGAATGGTCGCCAAAAGAAAAAATCAATCTTTGCATCGCGATCCAACTCACACTAAGTTGACATGTGTAAACGGGCCTAGTAAGTTATCGGGAGTTTTATGCATCGATTATATAAGAAGAATTAAAAGGGGGCTCCTGTCTAGCATAATAATACTTTTCTTATCAGTACTGAGAAGTGAGATTTGATATGCGGGCTTCTTCACAAAATCAATCATGTGTAAATATTGGCTACACCGGATGAACAGAAGGAATCGAGTTACACTAAATGTATCTTACAAATTAAAGAAAGAAAAAAATACAGAGAAACTAGTAATATTTCAGAATCTTGTGAACGATATCAACGATCTTAATATCCATTTAAATGTAGCCGCAAATTCTGAGCGGAAACTTTATTTTGTTGTGTTGTTTTGTTTTTGTTTTCTTAACAAATATACCATTTGTTTAGGTCGAGTTCAACGTCACGACCATGGTCAGTTAGCATTGACCTATCAGACCAGTTGATTGCCCTATTCATCCTAATGATTGATGGTCAAAACTTCGTCCCATTCTTCACGTTTTTACCGCTCATCTGGGTCACATTTACAAGCAAATCAAATCAAACAAAACGCACATATTTCTGTAATGAAGGTCGTTCAATTTGCTATAATTCAATCATCGAAATATTTTTTTTCCCGTCCGAGAGTTTTGTATTTGTTTCCTCCTTTATAATACAATAAAGGTAAAGGCATTTAAAACGCAGCCATGGTACGAAGATTGATAAATTGTCGTCATACTTGCATACCAATTTAGTACAAAGAAAGAAATTCTGACTATCATAAAACAATTCTAATTCGACTGTAAGTAGTTGTAAGGATCCAATTGGGGTCAATATGTAGGCTATTGTTATTAGCATACCACTCCGTGCATTTCTAACATGCTAACATTTAACAAAAAACTACTTTTATGTGACCGCCGTCAATCTCTTACATCATATTTTATTCAATCTCTAATACAATGTTGATAGCGATTTGCTTAACTTACACTTACTAAAATATGAATAAAATTAATAATTGGCAAGAAACGCTCACCTTTAAAAAATGAAATTAAGCTTATCATTTTTACAACTTTTGACAACGTGCAACAAAGTTTGCCACGATGAGCACCAGAAGACTCTAAAGTATTTCGTGTATAATTCTTACTTTGGTTATTGGTTATTGGTTATTCGCAACAATCATCCCAAAATATATCTTAAGATTAAAATGAAGGATTTTTTTAACAATCCTGTATTGATGAAGAAATTTGTTTTAATGTGGATTTCATCAGGTTCCGGAGATGGAATGTTTCACATCAATTTAGGTATATGAATGAATTGGTGATCGTGAACTTTGACTTGTAAACGTGATTGAAATTGACTTGTCAAGCTGTCTGATTGTATTTGATCTGTTTACATACGTCAGAGTCGAGTTGGCGGGTAAATCAACACTAACATTCCATGACAACCAACCCATGTCGTCTGCGTGTATGTCTCAGCTTAGAAACCAAGCATCATTCGATATGTTTTATGTTAACTTTTGGTCGTCTGTCTATAGCCATTCGAATCAATCGAAAGGTCGAAAATTCAGTGGTCTGCTATTCGTTTTTCCCCTAATTTTATTATTTTCAAATATACTTACAAACAGCTGGATAAAGAAATAACATTCTCTATATTTTGAAACAATAACAACAAAATAAAAGTGATTTTTCTTGCCATATCCTTGAATGCAATTATTAAACAAACTGTCGTAAAATGTATGATCATTTGTGATAGGTTTTATACGTATTTCTGATATGCCAATACTTGGTTTTCAAGGTAACGCCAAGACCCTGAGCATCGTTTTCCACAAAGAGAAGTGTCATGATCAACCTTTCTCCTGAATGTCACGTGATCCCGTTCTCTCCCTCCTAGAACTATCATTACTATCAATAGTAATATCATGTGGGAGGAGTTTATACACACGGCCCCACACTATGCCTCATTTCATAACAAATATGCAATAAAAAACGTCATTCGTAATTTTGGGTTGATATTTTGAATCTAAATGGAAAATCATGCATTTTTGTATTTATAAAACAGATGGATGATTGAAAATAAAAATTTCTTAACAGTATAACAAAATATAATGCCAAGTCGCATGATAATACAATTTATACATTGTTCATTGTTGAAAGAGAGGAAATTGATTTAATACCTAAGCTGTCATCGGCATTATCGCATGTTACATCTCTTGCCATCATCACAATCTTATTTTACTCGTGAAATGACAAAAACGTTTGTTTTCATGTGAGAGATAAGATCTCGGGAAATAAGATAAGTGGGCATTAGACAGGTAAATAATGGAGTATCACGTATGTCACATTGAAGATAGAGAGGAAATCAAAGAAATGTGATCAATCATAGCCAGGAAATATTAAACTATTTCTGACTTCCCGAAGCTCTCTGTCTTCCATGGGCCTATGTCACCATCCAGCCTGCATGGTAGAAGAATTGGGTAGACTCATTTCAGTAACTAATAACTCAATTTGACTATTTTTGTTTTTGTGATACGCCCTAAGGGAGCACAACTTCCATATTTGATGACCTTTCATATGAAAGAAGACAAGTTCTTCGTCTCTATCTGTCTGCGGCTGCGCTGTGTGGGAATCCAGAGAAAATAGGCTGAGTGAGCGAAAAGACTTTTGTCTACTCCCGATCCTGTTCCTCTAACATCTGTGTTTTCAGGGCCGTGTAAGAACGTATGTCAAAGGTGAGTCCGATCGCTGATCAAGCTCGAATAGATCGCAGCAAGTGCATTCACTCCAAAATATATCCCCTCAAAAATGAAACAACACAAAATGAAAGAGTTTGCTACCAAACAACAATAACAATAGGAAGAGGAGGAGAAGGAGGAGGAGGAGGAAAAATTTTATCTGGTAGGCTCCTCGAAGAAGTCACAGCTGGCTAGAATTTAACAGTAAGGTTTGCTGCAAAATACATTACAGACTTGGAGTGTCCCCAGTGTGATCCAATTATGTCTCGCTGTACACCTGGCCCTACCCGTTTACTGCTCAGCATAACACGATTCGAGCGGGAAATAAAATATACAAAAAATATTACATTGTGCTGAGAAGCTGCAACATTTGAGAATCAAATGCGTCATTACCCTATCATAAATATTTTAGATTGATTTTTGAAAGATTACAACAATTTTAAGTATTGATATTTTTAAAATAAATTACTCTGGTATGCCCAATGCAGTAGCTCAATTCAATTTCAAGAAGAGGAAACAAAACCAAGCTACAATATAACAGTGCACAGATGCATAGTGAGGGGGGGGGGTAACCCATCTAATCATGTCCTTTTGTATTGATTTTATGGCGTGTTGGAATTTTGTATTAACCCCCCCCCCCCCCCCCCCCCCCCCCTCCCCTTCAATTTGTCACGCCACAAGACCATCGCGTAAGGGCTTAGGGTGTGGCTCCAAATCAGATGTATTCCTTTGACTACGTCATACATGAGTGACTCCCGTCATTACGAGAACTGGGGAATGGGCTTTGATATCAAAAATTATTTCTCTTCTATATGCCATTTAATTGAATGTTAAAAAAACAAGCAATACAGCTTAAGAATCGTTGAGGTAAGCCGTGTTAAAATGTGATATGGGGCTACAATGTAGTCTGTGAAAACAACCTTGCATAAACATTTCCGCAATCCTCACCGCTTTCATTTTCATCGACAAAGTTCCCATCACATTGATTCTTTTTTAGGATGACAAACGGTCGAAATAGTCGGAAACCTTGCTTCAATGTCATATAATGCTATACAAAAAAGTAGAATCGCATATAGCGTGCTACTGGGAAAATTTGATGTGTTTGGTTATGATAACCTTATAGATGGGCAGGACCTATCTGTGGGAATAGGATGGCCGATAAAAGACAAGGTGTCGTTAGAATACAACCATGACCTTGACTGAGAATACCTCCAAACAAATCCCGAACACAGACACTACTACTAAAGCGTTGAACTTGAGACTAGCTAAGATTTAAATCAACACTCACCTACAAACATTGTGTTTTCTTTTCTATTTTTCTCACTCGAGTAGAGAGAGTTTTCAAAAGATTCTTAGATGATGTCATCAAAACAAGAATGACGTTGACTGATTTGCACAAGTGGTTGCAATCATATTCAGAGGGTATCTTTGATTGGAGTAGGGTCAATCATGGTCTATTGCATATCAAACTGAGATTGATGACTTATGCAGACGTCTCCTTATTTTGATATGGGTGTCCTCCTATTTCTATACATTTTTTTGTTTTAGTGGCTAATATCCTTTTCCAAAAGATTAGAAGCGTAATGATATCAGGTGATATAATTTACAAGGTACGAATCTATTTTAATTGTGTTTTTATTCAAATAAAAAGAGAGAAGAATGAAGAATTGTAACAAATATCCCGTGTCCGCCCTATTTTAATGCGCTTTTTAAAATCTTCGTTCTCTATTTCATGCAGGTTTTACAGTTTTGTGGGTGCATGTGCATTGGATGAGACTGTACTTACCGAACGGTGAGAGTTGACTGTCATGACTTTGTCCACCGAAATCTGGTGATATATCTGAGCTTGACGATTGGCTGGAGCTGGCCTCGATATCACATCCTTGTAGACGGAGAATACGAGTACCTCGCTGACCAAAGATAAACTTCACATCTTCTATGATACCCTGCAGGAAAGAACAAATATACATATATAGTTCATCCTCTTATGAGATCATGTAATACTAATTATATTAAACAATTATTGTATTAGATGCTGCTTGTAAGTATCGGCTTGCATGGTGATGTAGATATACAGTAGGCTTGCTTCAGGAATACACACCCTCAAGAAAGATTACCGAGAGTCCTTTTTCAGGATTCCTCAATCCTCCCTCTCTCTTACATGGTGCATCCGCAAGCCTACTGTATAAATTATTGTATTGTTATGGAAAAAGTTCGTAATACTATATAATATACATAATTGAGATTGATATATCTACAAGTCGAACTCTAAACATCAATTCTAGAACCACCACTAAAGCTAACCCTAACCCTATAATATATCATAATCATGCTAATAACCATATAGACCGGATGAAAGGTCACCGGGGCAAATATGGGATCACCAATTCAAATCATCTGATTCATTCATACATCATTGGTCTTTATCCTCGGTATTTGTCATAATTGCTTTTCAAAAAGTAGTAATTATTTGTGAGTCATCTGCAATAGTCTATTTGGTACTGTACTTAATATCAATACACGGCAAACGTGTCTGCGAACAGAAGGTCGCAGTTGCTATAGTAACAACTCAGTATGGTATTTCGAATCTAGATAAGAATGTAACGTCTTTAATAAGAAGTTCTTTTGGTGATATTAATTGCCAAGTAACTTCTAGAAAAGCTCAACATCATAATTATGGAGTTGACATTATCTCACTTTGGTGGAGGAAATATTAAGGAAGTTGAAAAGTATAGATGTAAACTTTTGATGACCCATGACGCTTGTTATTAGATGATAGATCCATGCACATGATGATTACCGGCTGAGATACATTACTATGATGACAGAATTCAATTTCAGGGTTAGATGGAGGGGGGAGGTCTCACGTCCTTCATTTTCTTCGCTAATGACCCATTTAGAAATACCAGGGAGAACATTCGCTTGTTACATGAATGTCAAGGGTAACTTTCAGTCAAGGGTGTCAGGACATGTTTGGAATCTAGGCTGCTGTCCGATTATGACATCATGGCCAGATCGAAAGAGGGTAATATCTTTAACCCATTCCATTTCTCTTCTACCCTTTGCATATCCCCTTACCCTTGAGTGTGTGTGATTTAATGTTACCTGATGCCCACATCTCTATAGGCATACATTTTAAAAATATGATCATGATCATTGGAAAGTGAGCGGGGGTGGTTATTTGCGTGACTCTTTTGTACTTTTTTACAATGATTTAATCATCATGAAGAGAAGAGAGGAAACAGTGACGGATACCTGTTCTTTCCTGCAAGAAGGAAGGGGTTTTCCTCTTCAATGTTGGCATATTTTGAGTCATTAATAACCGTCAAAACTGACTATCAAAGTACTTTCAGTCCACTTTTTTTTCTCCAAATCAATAGGTTTCCGCTGATAGCAAAAGGATGATGTTTTGATGATGTCCTTGTTGATCAGTCCATCAAATGAAAAGCCACCGTCTGATAATATGTCGTGACACTTTATGATGCTCAGAGCCAAGAAATATCCGTGTATCATTTCGAAATCAAAATGGTTTGATTCCTGTGACACGTCCAATCATCTTTCTCTCCAATCATGACCAAATTCTACTCATCCAATTTTATTGTTTGTTTCATACAGTACAATAAATGTTTAAAGTCTATTATATTGTTGGCTTTTGAAAGAACGGATAGGCAGTGACTTCACCATGTAACCCATCCCATATCATCTCTGCTCTTCCTTGTGACAAACCTGTCAGAACTATTTTACAAATCCTATGTGACAAGGTGGAACCAACTTCTAAAGTATGAGAGTCTACTATTAAATTACTTTGATTTATTTGCTTCTTTTCTATAGGAAACAAGCAAATCAAACATTCATATATAGTCTCCTGCAAATAATAAATCAAATATTGACTTTAAAATACCCTGATTTAGTTGCTTTTTTACTTATACTCCAATAATTCACAAATAGAGAATGTAATTTAACAAATGTAGATCAACATTCTTTCATGTCGATACACTGAATATCTTCGCTGTTGCTCCTCTTGGAATCATAATCTATTTCGATTCCATACTCCATTATTTTGGAGCTGACGAACACCAGTCCCAAACTGCCAGAGTAAGAGGGGTGATGATTCGATTATGTGCGGTCTCCCAGTAGCCGACTGTTTTATTTCATCTACTGATTTCCAATTAGGCCATTGATTATAAGAAAAATAGTAAACCATATTGACAAAAGTCAACTGTGTTGAATTGCGACTTGTGATAAAGTGATTATTGCTATTGTTGAAAACAGGACGCATCTGTTCATGTACACAGTATGTGTCGTAATGAAAAACAGAGCGTGAGAGCCAATGCTCTTAAAGGCCTTCATGTCATGCTTGAGCTATGTCTATATCAATGGAAAAAGGACTAATAGGTTTACATGAAAAAGGGAAGCCTCTTTTCCAATATGGTTTCAAAATTACATATAACAAAATGCATGCTGTAAAGTGACAAATCAATGGGGTTTAGAGGTTAATTCCACCAAACGATAACTTAAAGAATGTGTACATTCCATGCTTCTGTTCATTTATTTAAGTCCACATAATTTTTTATATGAAAAAGTTGCCCATAAACAAAATGATAATAGGAGTAATAATGCGCTTATCAACGAAGAAAAATGAATAGTTTTATATTCCTAATAGAAGCTGGTTACGACGAGTTGCCAATTTGTCCCCCAAACTAGCTCTGACTATTAAAAAGCGGATTCAGTTCCAAACTAGAGTCATCTAGAGACTGATTGAGTATACAATAATTGAAGTTGGACCAATCTTCATGGCTAACATTATATTGGGGGATCAGCTGGTCAATGGCCTCCTGTACGAGACATAGAAGACCCTTCTGTTTGTGGACGATTTGATCTCTCAATTAGCCACCTATTTTACTTAGTGTTTCAAGGTTTCTAGACAAAAGGTTTTCATACACGATGATACAATGCTTGAGATAAATGAATGATATTAAGAGCAGTTCCATAGCCAGTTGATCCAATAGGCAGACCTTGGCCCAAAAACGACGGTGGGTCTATCCTGTTCTAGACAGACTGCGGTTTTTCTTTTGTCGTGAATGAATCGTTCACTGTTGCTGATTGTAAGACGAAAGACAGGATTGTCATCCGCTCTGGAAAGTCATGCTAGTTCCGTCCAAACGATCAGGCCTGTCATACGCAAACGCTTTCTTGTTCTGGTCTTTATCTATGCAGTGGTAGAAATAACCATCTTGATATTTGAACAATATTTAAATTCAATTCGTAGCATCAGAGATAACTTTATTTGGCAAATGAGAATGCAGTACTGTTGAAAGTAACTTACATTTTGCCTTTAAGTTTGATATGCGATGTCATGACGTGGTTGGTTGGATATCTTGGTGGTTTGGCCATGTGGTTCGGCCTCGTCTCAAGGAGCTGCATCCTGAACTATCTTTACCTTGATATCATCAAATCACTGCGCATGCTCCATGAAATCAATCTAGGCTAACAATGTTTTATAACTACATGTACCATTGGAATTTTGGATTGTGTATCGTATCATGTGCCTTGGATTGACAAGATATCTGCAGTTCGCGTTCCGTTTTACGATAATTTTTCAATGACATGTCATGGACTTTTGGATGAGAAATCAATACTCTATATAAGTATACGAGCAAGTAAAATGGCCAGTTACAAATCTAAATTGTAATAAAACATCTATTCAAATAAGGGTTGTGTAAATCGCCACCAAATTATATCTACACTGTTGGTCATAATGGTGGAATATTTATTTTTACCCCAGTTTAGGGAAGGATTTTTAAAAATTATTATTTCTAATAGATCTAGATAATGGCATACATTCTCAGATTTATTGAATATTAAATTGCGAGTGTTTGTTTTGCGTGACTGCTATATCATATGTGTGCTACTATGCTAATCAGCTAGGGAACCTACGTCCTTAAATCATAATTGACAGTAATGAGGATTAATGCCTCACAAAAGGCAATAATATAGCTGATCAGCACGATTTTTATCCTGGCCTCACAGTAACGAGGCTATTGCTTAGCCCCTGAATCATGACTGTACGCAGTGTTTGCTAGGGTACGCGGCCCCTTCCACAAATCCCCCAAACGAAGAAAATGCAATAAATTGTCAAAAATTCATTGCATTTTCCCCCGGCCCCCTACAGGAAAAATTCCTCTGTGTGGCCATGCCTTGAACCATAATGCATGGCCCTACAGAGGAATATAATATATAATATTCAATAAAATCTGAGAATGTATGCCATTATCTAGATCTATTAGAAATAAATAATTTTTAAAAATCCTTCCTAAACTGGGTAAAAATAAATATTCCACCATCATGACCAACAGTGTATATATATTTTGTTTTGATTCTATCCATTTACAGCATCATGCAGTGTCAAGCATATTAATGTTTACTGTATTTGTTAACAAAATATTACAAGACAAAGCTTAAACATAATCACTTTTTAATATTGTGATTTATTTCATCCTTAATCTCTTCCTTAGTCTCTGACTACATACGTTTTTTCTTCAAACTGGTACTAAATAAGGCTGTCCATAAAGACAACCCTCCTTAGGGGACCATTGGATTAGAGATTGCCAGATTTCTTGGTTTCCGGCAGTCGTAGCCGTTTACTCGCCGTTTCTTCAAACTCACTGCACATTCATGATCCGACAAGTCTTTCATCGAAAGATTAATCATCTTAAATTTTTCTGCAATTAGACGTCATTAGTAAAATATCAGTCATAAAACGAATACGTCTTCATTCCCTCAGCTCAATAAGGGTATAATGATGTTTCTACGATAGAAGATTGACGGCTTGGTATGTTCCCGTCTAGCGAACTCTTCTTTACACTGCCATGCAGACCTAATCAAGAGCTTACGCTCTAAAGGTTCAGATTCCTAACATTCTTAAGGAGAATGGTATATTATCTATTTTGCAGGCTATCTGTTTTAATGAATGATAATTTTACCAAGAAGTAGACAGGAGAATTAGCCAGATTAAATGCAAAACGAATGGAGCAGATTAAAATACTGACATTCCCATCTTTCTTTTGAATAAATGTAGCTTTAGCGAACACGCAGTAGATTTGCCGAGCGACTTCCAAAGTGGGGGGGGGGGGCACCAAGAAAAAAGGGAACTTTCTGGAAAACGGCATCTGAATAAAATAAAAACGTGTCGTGCAAGTTCTACCAAACTTAACTTTGACATGATTATTATAAATCTCAAATCGTAGGAACGATCACATTTTAGAATGATAATGTTAACGATTGGATATCTATACTGCGTTGTGTCCAAATGATAAATCTAAAAAAAAAAATCAAACATTGAGTTGATAAGAGATGGAATTAAAGAATGTCCGCCTAAATAAAAGTCAGCACACTATGCCAATTATTACGCTCATCCACCGTTAGTAGACTGAGAAGGATTTGAATCTCATCACTCTAGATATCTTCAAAACTTAACCGAGAGAAGCAAAGCAGTTAGTAAACCCAAGAGGTGTCTCCTCGGTAAACCTGAGACAGGTGAACGTTAACATGTGATACCATTTGAAAATGATTTTAGTTCCATATTCAAGGGTACACTGTGGAGAACATGGCAAGACATTACTCATAACCCTGAAATAAGTTTCCAATATTTCACCGAACATAATTCAGACGATTAAATGCAGTTTACAGGGTTTAATCATTCATCTTTCTTTTATTCCTTTTTTATTCATTTATATTTTTCTTTTTGGGGGAGGGGGTCTTTTTTTGTCACTGCCTTCATGTTAAGTTCCCATCTGAATTGATTTAATTTGTTAATATATACAATCCTTTTAAATCTATCATTCATATAGGCTGTTTTGTTCACGTATCTGTGTTCTATTTGCTATCATACAGATTATGTTTATCATAACGAAATAAATCCTATCACCAGCACTTTTTTCTTCTGTAATGAAATAGATATGAAGCCACCATTTCTTCAGTAACATTTACCAAATGCTACAAGCCCATGCACAGTGAGACATCAAAGAAGCACACCACGCCTGCCGCCAATCAGCTGACCGGGTCAGGACAGAATGATGTGCTACACAAGAACGGCCTAACAAAACAAGATAGTTGGCAAACTAGCAACTAGAGGTGTGAAACTATAGTATGAGAATCCTATGGGGTGGTAAGGTTAATATAGGTCTATTGACAATGATAGATGTACGTGCTTTAATCCTAAATCGTATATTCTTTTAGTGGTAACATTCAAGGTTTATGTCTTCATCGCACATATTTGCCATCTT